GGAGCGAATCTCTGGAAGCTGTCTTCCGTTTCTCTCAATCAGTGCTGCTTATAACACAAACTGCTTTCGTTATTTGAAAAATTAGGCTACTGTCTCTTGTAGACTATCACAGCTCAGGCATTAGTGAGGCTTCCACATGCCTCTGACAGAGAAATCAAGGGCCATCCAAGAAGGAGATTACTCCTAAAAATAGATTAGTGTTTAATCTATTAACAGTGACAAGAGATGAACTAATATCCACGGTCCACCAATTTGATGTTTTGATTCTGCTTTAATTATGATTACCATCAGTTATAAGCAAGTGTGGATCTGGGTTACGCACCTCTAAACATTGCATTTGAGTTAAAACCACCTCTTCCTAAAAGCTACCAATAATAAAATATTATTAATATTAACACACGACCCTGATCGGATGGCTTTGCAAATGAAGGTTGCAGGCCGGCGCTTACCGCGGTTTACGGCCTCCGTCTTGTCTGGAGTGCTCGCGTCATTTGCAACAGCGGCTCTGCAACTATTGACCTACATAAAAAACGAGCACTTCATGCACCAATATGCCAACTACGGCGATGCAGATAGCGGCTGGTGTCCCGTGACGCTATGTAGGCTATAAGGTCACAAGGAGGAGCGGGTCCTGGGTGCACCTGAATGAACCAGGTGACTTCTAATGCCTCCTCGGAAGGATTCTCAGAGTCGTTACAGACGGAAGCTGCTCAGAAGCTGCTCAGTCCAAACGCTCCTGGAGGCGACACTAATATTTAAAGTGCTCGTTTTTCTTTACCACAAGATTGATACACAGCCGCTCTGACTCTTTTTTGTGTCAAAAAAACATTAGTCCGAATATGAGAAGTGTGTAAGAAATACATTTTGAAGCAGATGAGCGATTCCCTTTCAGCCAGTGCCTCGTGTGGTCCTGTTGTTAGACAGTCAGTGTAAAACTGAAAGGTTCAGGCTCTAACTGCTCTCGCCTCTCACTTCTTTATTACCGCTGCCTTTAACATGCAAATGAAACCGTTGAGGTTGCAGCTTCCTCCTCATAGTTGTGACGGAAAGAAAGAGGCCCCTCATTCGTGCATTTTCTTATATTTCCAACACTGGCCCGGAATAAAAATAAACATCATGGTGTATTTTTACACTCCTTTCAATGCAGGATGTTTTCTGCCCTTTTAAAAAAAAATTCTATCTGACATTTCGCCGACGGAGCGATGTGGTGCTTGGGTGAATGGCCGGCCCTCGTCTGCTTTCAGTGGCTCTAAATACCCTTGAGGGCACTTCTCCTGTAAAAGCACCGCGAACAATGAGAAGGCGCCACTGCACCGCTTAATGGTTTAATGCATGTATGTCATCACTGAGAGGGACATTGAGATTAACAGCAGCGAGATCCAATGCAAAGAAGACATATACAAGTTGTTTTTTTAACATCTAAACATGTTTAAATATAAAAGATAGGAAGTAACTGTTCACAGCAGAGATGCTATGAGAACATAATGCTCGTGAAAGCAGCGCTTCCACATATTTTGGGACCATATGAGGGTTGTAAGAAATGAATATTTTATCCTCTCCATAAAAAGCACAACATACACACATCATTTATTCAAATAGGTCTAAAACACTGAATAAGTTCTTCGTAATCGAAGCTCAACATTTCACTCTTATTCTGTGAGGGTTCTCAGAAAGGACCTTAACAGCTATTGTTCCTCCAGCGCATTCTTTTAAAGCTTCAAAGGAAAAACAACAAGACTCTTTAGCCTCTGACAATTAACTGCTGAAATGATTCACACTAATTCATCTCATCTGCGCATCTCTGCAGAGTACTGGACCGGCCACGGTGGGACCAGTGACTAGCAGGGGGACAGGTGACAGCAGAGAGCACCAGCTAAAAGGATCCACCCGGAGGCTTACGCTGCCAGCATCCTGCCATTTGATGACAAGGCTCCGCCTGTCCGACTGCCTTTCCTCGCTGAGCCCCCGCAGGGAGCCTGCCGAGGGGCGTAGCCGAGCAAAATGGCTCCAACTGAGAAGAACGATACGATGCTGACTCAGACCACAAAACTAAATCTGCCTGGTAACCTCTGCACCACTTTGCTCACATTGTGGGGAGCTTATTTTTTTAAAGCGTACATATACATATATATATATATATATATGGTCATGGACGCAGCTTCAGGAATAACTCATTTGTCACTCGCATCTTTTGTTGTATTGTCGAGCAAAGCCTGCCGATTGTCGACTATCGGCAGCAATCTTCTTCATAGGGAGTCCCAGTGTACATCTGTTCAAAAACATGACAAACAACGTGAGCTTAAGTTTAAATCCTGCCAGACAAATAGCATCAGGAGACATTAGCGTGGATCTAGTGACTCAATCTTACCTCTCTACTGTGATGCTGCTGACAGACAGTCATCAGCATTATTCTGTGTTCAGTAAACAAAGGTTCTTCACTTCTCCACTAACAAAAACAACAAAGCTCTGTTCTGCCACTTGTTTTGTATCTCTATAAGGTTTGGTCACGGGGGGCCGCGTTTTGCATCAGCACCGACTATTTTAATCGAGAGCAGCACATCTGAATCCAAACCATGACACATGGTTGTGTCATGGTTTTCTGTTCAGTGTGCTGTACACACTCAAGCTCCCTCCACTCTTGTTTGCCGCAAGAAATAAAAGTAGGCCGATCGATTCACGAGCCTCCTCTGACTCGGCTCCCTCCTAAACCCAGAATAGTAAAACAGAAAAAGACTTTCACAGAAAGAAGTACTTCTCGGTTGTACATTTTGCACTCAAAAAAGCAGAACTCTTGTGCACGTAGCTATTTTGGGGCGATGGACACGTCAGTTTATTCCAATGGGTTTGGACTACAAAAAGTAGTAGAAGAGTATTTGGGGATTTTTCCAGAGCATCACATATCAAACATGTCGAATAGGTGTGCGTGTCGCTGCTGGACTGACGAACCACAGAGGGCCAAACAGAACCACGAGGACAGAGAACAGGGAAGTTTGTCCAGACAAGGTCAAAACATATCCTGGAACCAACACGTCAATTAATCAACTGCAACCATTTGAAAATCGGATTAACCATTTGTTATTTATCAAACAAAAATTCCAAAGATTCGGTGATTGTAACCTCTTAAAAATATATTGATATGCTTATTTTCCCTGTTTTTCATTACAGTACACAAAATGCTTTTTAGACTTCTGGTTTGGAATGTGAGCTTGCACTATGAAATTATTATTATTAAACAAATAACCAATAACGAAAATTCTGAAAGGAAATAGTTAGTTCAGCCCTGATTCACACATACGTTGTCTCTTCTCATCATTGCCAATGAAGTAGTAACTTCTAACAGGGACACGTGTTATTTAAATTTACTGTTTGAGGTAATTCAATTATGATAAATAATGAAAACCAACTGGCAGTAATTGACAAAGTACTTTACCACAAGAGCACATTCTCTGTTTGATTCAGAGAAAAGGTCTCCGAGAGAGACGGGTAGTATGCAGCAGTTTTGTTTGGCAAAAAATTTCCATCATTAAATTTTCATGGAAATAGATAGTTTATCGCAGGGGGCACACTGGCTTCAGTTATTCTGCTATTATCAGGCCTGTAATGGTCAAATAACACATGTGCTGTGGATTAAGGCCGGCTGTGCTTGAGTTGGATGGATGCACAATTTGACTGATGATGATTTGAGTTGTTTGAGATTCATCTTAATAAATACAGCACAGTGGGGCAAAAGTCACCAGGAGGCGAGTTGGATGAAGGCGCTGCGTACTTTGGGCCCCGTTAAATCAGACCCACTTATCATCCACTACAATAGTACGACTGTGCCTACAGTAAAAAAGCATTGCACCGTCCCTGGAGCACAAACGCAGTCGCATTCAGTTATCAGCCGTCCCTCCTCCCATCATGTCAGGTCGAACTGCATTTTATTGTTTAAAAACCACAGCGAATACCAGTGAACGAGGAGCCATGCGGCTCAATGTAAATCAAATGACCCGTCCTTTGAGTGCACTGGCTTATGAAAGATGCTCCCCCCCCCACCCCCCCTCCACCCCTATCCCCTCACCCTCCACCCCAAGCTCTCCATCCCTGGCTTTCTCACCCTTCGGCACCCTTTCCTTCCCCTGAAACCCTGACGTCTCGTGAACACACAGCGCCATCTCTATACCGGGGAGCGCGCGAGGGGGTGAGGGGGAGGGGGGATCCCTGACTCCCGCATCCCTCGTTTTTCTCTGCCACCCTGGAAAACAACACCCCAATATTCTGGGTGTGCGTCTCCATCCCATCATTGTTTGCGCACATCGCATGAAGCCCCCCGCTGCGCCGCGCACACCGGCGGCCTTTTTGTATCTCAAAATATGCACCTTGACAAAAAAAAGAGAAAAAAAAATCCAGTTCCTCTTTTTTGTTTCCTGCGTCTTCATTCTCTCAGTGTCCCTCCATCTACCCCCCCTCCCCACTACCACCACCACGTCTCCGGGGTCCTGCAGCCACATGCAGCGAGGTTTCGCAGCGGCCTCTGGACTCTGTCACAACACCGTTCTTAAGACAATCCTATCTGGTCGGAGGGTGCACAATGGAGAGAGACAGGAGAGATGACGGGGGGGTAATGTCGGGAGGGGAGGACTGGAGTGGGGAAGGGGGGAGGCCGGGGATGAAATGCGACAAAGGTTGCGAGCTGGATTCTAATCCACAACGTCGCGTGCGAATGGCACAAACGCGGCTCCCTGAGCGCAACGCATTATTTTTAAAGAGCAGCCAGCGACACGGCGGCTCTGAGAGGACAGACCGGGGGGAGAGATCACCCAGCCATTACTGCATAGCCTCTTATTGCTCTCCCACATTGTCTTGTGTGAGCAGATGCATGCCTATACAGGGGCGCGCGGCGTGCGCGCTGCGCGGATCCGTCCGTCTGCGCTCATTGTGCTCACAAAGAGGAGAGGACGCGGGGAGGGACGCGGCTTCCGCGCTGGTCTCCGTGCAGAAAGGACAAAAAAAGGGCTTACCTCCACGTTTCAGCTCCGCTCGAGCCTGCCTTGTTTCATCCTGTTCCTCTCCGCCGACTCCCTCCCCTTCTCTCCCCATGACAGCATTTTTCTGTCTATCTGTCTCCACGGTGAGGCTCTTTCTCCTCCTCCTCCTCCTCTTCTTCCTCCTCCTCCTTCAGTTCCTCCTGTCTGCCGTTCTCTTCCTCTGTCCCAAAAATAAAACAACAAACGCACTTCCCGATTCTCTGGCTTCTGCCGGCTCTTTCTGTCCTCTTGGTTCAAGTCAAGAGGCAGGTTGATTTGTGCGCTCCTCCTCCCTCTTTTCTTCCCCCCCCTCGCGCTGATTCTATTCCATTCACATCGCACTAAAGCCACCCCCCCCTCCCTCCCTCTCTCCCTGTCAAACACACACACACACACACACACACACACACACACACACACACACACACACACACACGCACGCACACACAGCTTCACCCGGCCTCTCAGAAAGAGGTTGATGCAGCGACGGCCAGCAGCGGCCAGGAGGAGATCTTTCCTTCCAAATGCTCCAGCGGCGAGGACGCACACATGTAAAATGTGCTGAATCAGGGACCCGTGCAATGAAACGACAAACAGCAGAAGCGTGGAAGATATGAGGATGATGCAACATTGTTTTAAGATGCTCTTTCTTTTAGAGGCTTTTGCGATTTTCATTTAGTCTAATTTAACTGATATTTCTGCACGGGAGAGATAAAGGCTCAAAGGCGTTGAGGGTTAAAGGTGAAAACGGCAGTGTGTGTGTGTGTGTGTGCGTGTGGGTGTTTACATGTGTGACAGTGTGTTTATTTGTACTCCCCAAAGGGTCGAGACCACAACAATCAACCTGCTCGACAATAAGAGCACCGAGAGTGTGACAACGTTCTTCTTTTCCCATCAGTCACTGCATCTTAAAAGACATCACCTACCGGGCAAATTGGGCAAATCATTTGATGGCGGTCAGGAGAGGAGAGGCGGCGTGCTGCTTAACATACACCGGGCCAGAGCCGAGCGTCCGGCACCATCCCCCTAATGACTGCGTGAGCCCCGTCCTGGCCGCACCATATGGCTGTGTGTGTGTGTGTGTGTGTGTGTTGGCAGGTCAGTGAGCTGGGCTGGGGAGCGGGGGAGGAGGAGAGGCCTGCGTTGTGTGCCTTTAGGAGATAAGAGAATTAACAGACGCACCAGTTGATAGGAGTTGAAGGGTTTTTCTTAAAAGCCAGCAGGCCCCAGTGTGTGTGTGTGTTCATCCTGAGAGGGTTCTGGAGTTCGCCGCCTCCTCTGGTGTACCAGCGCTGTTTTGATCAGGGGAAAAAATAGACCAAATGAACAATTCATCATCTCGTGTACAAGAGGGTCCGTGTGGTCAAACCAGTTGAAATGACACGTTTCCAATTACAGAGTAGATGGTTATCGTTGGATCTTAATTATCCGAAGTATGGCCTGTTATGATATCATTAACACCATCTACACTTGACCTACGAATATTCCGATTGATGATATTTAGCATGATTTGTGCTGAGCCAGGAGTCGTGGGGGCCGGTGTGCCTCCGCCACGTGCAGAAAGAAAATATGTGTGAGTTTTCACCACCAAGTGAAAGGCTGATAATTCAACCTGACTTGGTTAAAGATTGAGCAGCGTCACGGCCATCCAACGAGTAAAGAACGCCCCTCCATGCATCAGATTTATAGACCCCTGCAGGGGAAGTTAATGAAGGTTTCACACAGTCACCCTGTTCTGTCCTGAACACCGAAACTGCACTAAAACAAACGTTGCATTGAGTGACCTTGCGGCGGTGTGATAAGACTTTTCAAGACCATATAAATAGTTCACCTGTACCTGCAGACTGGATCGACTATTCTGATCCACTGCGGAGGCCCGCGTGTGGTTTAACGCGTCCTCAGCTACTCAACACAGCGAGGCTGCACTTTTACATCTTATTCTCAATAAAGCCGCCCCTTGCTTCATTTTTTTGTTTGAACTTTAGCCATTATGCACCAAGAGGGAGGGCTTAAAAGTCTCAATGTCCCCCCCTGGTGGCTGTTACGCAGACTTGCAGAAAAGAGTTTAACCATGGGATAATCTTACACATTACCACAAAGATCAACATAGAACCAGAAGACATTTCAGGATCTCTAGACATCCATCGCCCGGCCCACAGTGGAGCATTTAGTTTATTCCTCCCCCGAACCGGGACGTCAGATAATAAAAGTGCGCACCGAACGGGGGAAAGACACACAAGAGTACACTTAGTGTTTTTCATTCTTTTCTTTATCTCAATTCAAGAACCTTTTTATATTAAACGTTCAAATCATACTGTACACTGTGTTTCGCTTAAAGATTTACTAAATCCTTTAAACAGGGTAAATTCCATAACCTTTGTGACATGTAAACATAAAACGCAAACTGAAGGAAAGATACCATTTTTATGTTCCATTTCCTGTTGATATTGTGCGGCCAGTTACTTTACATTAAGTTAAAAAAAAGACACAAAAGACAACTGTACACAAAATTTACATTCCTCCAACAGTTCAACATGGCTTCAGTCTTTGACTTTTTTTTTTTCTTACAATCAGGTCCAGTAATGAGCAACATACATGTTAACAAGGAATTGATTTGTCTCGCTGCACACCGATGATCCAGAGACTGAATTATATCATAAAAAGGAAGAATCTCCCGAATGATCACAAAGAGCATAAATACTATTTCAAACAGGGATATGAAAACAGACTGTGAAAGATAACAAACCCAAATCGTCCACGTTCCTCTCAAGCAACATCAACGGTATCTCTTTAAAAGGGTTTTCTGCAGCCAAGCTGTTTTGGCTGTTTATTTAAAAACATATATTTTTCTTTCTACAAGTAAGCCACATTACCACTAGAACGTTTCTGGCCACGCAGCTAGTTAAAACAGAACTAGGCACTGGAGGAGAATCACCATAAACTTCAAAGTTACTGTGAGAATTAGAACTTTTGTGGTCCTTAAATTGTGTTCCTTTTATCGTCCCGCTGTTTAATGTCACAGTCCTATTTTCATTGAGTCGCTTTTAATACGAGTGACTTGTTTAGCAGTTTGTATTCTATTGCATAACAATTGAATCATGCGTTTGCAGGAACAGGTGTTGGAGAGACATTTTCATTCCTGGACAGTTTGTACAGAAATGTACCCAAAGTAGAAAGTGGAGACAATACTCTGCACGGCTGTCCTGGTGTTTAAAGAGACACCCAAGTATTGTACTTTTTACATTTAGACCAAAGGGATTGAAATAAAGTGTCACACATTGAATTTTACATTTTGGGTAGTACATTAATAATTTGGACAACAAATTTAACACCACTTTGTGCGGCAGATACAAAGCATGTAGACAAATCACATTATTTAACATCTCCTTTCCTTGTTGAATTTAAAAGATAAATCCCCTTTGTGTGTTTCCTTTTTTTTTTCTTACATAATGTGGATGAGTCAACCGATGAAATGATGTATAAAACAATATTGTTTCCATTAGTTGGTCAGTCAGTTTGCCACATACATTACACTATTAAACAAACGTGTCTGACTTTTAAACGCACATCGGTCATAAACAGGATCTTTTACACAGTAGAAGGTGTGCTGTCAATTTTGGCGGTGTCACGGTTAATCAGTCTATCCTTTTTAAAGTCACAATATACAAGGAGTATTCACAATAAAAGTTGACAATCTAAGTTTATTATGTCTTATCTGAAAAATAGTCCTGGCTTGAAAAAGGTTTTGAGGCTGTTCAACGAAAGCCTTGATCTGAGCCACTGTTTGCTTCGAGTCCGCTATATGGCGAGTTTGGGAGGGGGAGGGGGAGGGGTTTCAGTGAGCCTGACCGGGCCTCTACCACTTGCCCCTCTTGCTCCAGTCCTTTGGTGTGAAGTGAAGGCATTTTGGATCTATACGCAAGTGTCTCTTCTGCATCGCTCTTTCGTGACCGTCCACAATGTCCTCTGAGAGAGTCAGGATGTACTGACCCTACATGCAAGAGACAACAAAAAGAAAAGGAATGAGGAAGATGCGACATCACCACGTCATCTGAGTGGAGACCACTAGCAGTTTGTATCAGCTGCAACATATTGCTACACACAAAACAACTGAAACCATTTTTATAGAAGTAAACAATGCAAATGATAAATGGAAAACATCCGAGTATCATGGTAAGTTGATAAAGACTAACGCTGGTTCAGTGCCCTTTTCTACAGCTCTAACGTTTCACAGAGGATGGGATGGCTGAGGATGAGAGAAATACAGAGAGGACGGCTGGTCTCACCTTGTAATAGTTGATGAGGTTTAGGTACTGTAGCGTTGAAATGACGTCTTCTTTCTTAACACTTGTGATCTCACTGATCTCACTGGAGGTTCAAAAGAACATTTCAAATGAAAAGGGGACCAATCATTTAACTGCTATGATGAAAACATATTGTTAGGAGTTGATTAAAGTTGGGTGTCGGCCCCTTTGAGGAAACAAAGTCTGCTCGAAAGTATCAAACCAAACCAGCCCTGTGTGGCCGACTAAAGTAGATGGGTCCAAAAGTTGCTGAATCCTTGCGTCTCCAATTTGATTCCATTGGCAGTATGTTCCTTTAATCTGTCCTCCCAAGCTACTAAATTATTATTATGATTGTAAACAAGAGTACACAGGTAGAGTGGCAGGTAGCCTGTCCCACACCAGATCTTATGTTTTTATTGACATAGCATATTATTGCTACTAAAAGGAAGTCAACTTCAACAAAGACTACAGAAGCACTTCACATTAAATCAGCAAACCGAGGTTTAAGAAGGTTGGAGTGAATTTCCACGAGACACATACTTGATTGTAATCTGCGGCCTTTCTCCGTTGTCGGGTTTAAGATCCATGAGGATCTCCAAGATGGTCTGGGACCAGTAGGAGCGATACGACAAAAGACCCAAGTCAGACAGCGGCTTCTCAGGAGTCCCCGTCTTCCCTTCCACCTTTGACAGCTCGTAACCTGACAAACACACACACACACGCTGACTGAGCACAGGAAACACACTTCCGTGTTGCTACATTCACTGTCACAGAGTCACGGCTTCACTCACTGAACTCAATGAGCAGCTTGCCGTAGCCTCTCCGCTGGTAGGGAGGCAAGGTGAGGATGCAGGCTACGTTGTAATCTTCAGTCGACTCTTTTTCCTGCATGAAGACATTTAAAAAATGAGGTTGTGTTTGGAGAACTGTTCCCAAGCTGTGAGTGGACGTGTATACGCACACGCACACACATACACACACACAGCAGAAGGTTAAAACAGTTTTGCATCGTTTGTGTACCTTTGAAAAGTAGCCGACTATGTGGAAGCCTTTGGAGTCGTACTCGGTCATTACATAGAAGAGGAAAGGGTCTGTGTCGTAATACAGGGTTTTGTGGTCCAGGAAACACTTTGCGAGTAAACACAGGTTCTGGGAGTAAGTCTGGAAGAACACGACAGACGTATTAGTCAGAAATACACAAATGCTTCCAAAGAACGTCTTGGAGAGAGTGCAAAATCTCCCCCCCCCCCAATTACTAACTTTGTTTTTCCTGCCGTCGATCTCAAAAAATGAGATGGTGCCTTTGCGGTAGATCTCGTTGCCTGGCGGATGTCTTAGATTACATTTAGTCTGCAAAAGACGTAAAACACAAGAGGATGAGCGTCATGTGCAACATTCTCAGTGACAGGAGATGAAGTGCTTGAGATAAGTGACATCTTGACGATTCTTACCAAATGTCTCTGGAGACACTTCAGGCTTTTCAGGTACTTGAGACAGAATTCACAGAGGTAGAGGATGGGCAGAGTGGTGAGCTCCTGTGGGTACGGTGAGAAGTACCAGGGCTTCAGTCTGTGCCGCCCCAACTCTATGCACTCGATGTTCTTCATCCGGGTGACGATGTCATCGTGGCTGCGGTCAGACACAAGGCTGCCCGTCATGCGGGGTGCTGACGGGATGCCGTCTGAGCTGTCTTGGGAATCCTGGAGAGACGACATTAGACACATTACACACACTTACTGTAGTTATTTTCATGCAGCTAAATATAGCGTCAAAACAGAAAACAAAGCCTGATCGGAAAGGAGCCTACGCATACATTTAGAATTTCTTTAAAGAAGTAACATGAATAGCCACAGTGGTTGGATGTGTTTCTAAAATGCAACCAACCCTTTAGATTTATTGGATCCACTAAGGAATAGCAGCATACAATAAACGTGTGGTAATAAGAACTGACCTCCGGTGGTGGAAGAAAGACGCTGGCACTTTGAGGGTTGTTATACTGCAAAACCTTTATCATCTGGCAGAGAGAGACACAACGATTAGGCTTTTAGGGACAACAAAAGCAGAATAAAATGCTTCTTATTCATACGTCCGTATGAGTCTTTTGTTATTCATACCAACTTACCATACATTTTAATTTTGTCACTATTGATTGTAATAATATAGCTGAAAGCAAAAGAAGCAATGTGTTTACACTGTTACGCCCATACTGTTTATATTTATAGCGTTCATCAGATACCAAACTAAATAAACCTCAAGCCAAAGAAGCCCTCTACAATTGAACTCCAAAAGGCATATTTCTAGCCTGGTTAAGTGGCAGATTGGAAGAAATATTGAACTTTTGTTTTAGTCGATTGAAGGTTGTGTTCATCACGAGCTAGCAGTAATGACACAGTAGTAACAAAGATGTTGACGAATGAAGAAAAGATTATTTTATATTGGTTTGACAGCTATTTTACTGAGTTACGAGAAACCCACTGGCCCCTGTCATCGGAGGTGACGTGAGAACGCGTGAGGAAAAACTCATAAAGGCTGAGCTGCTCCTGTTGAATAGATTGACGGGTGAAACCGTGAAAACAAAAAAGGTCTGACCTGCTTTGTTTGGACTTTTTGCTTTTTCATGAAGTGACATTAAATCCAGTGTTTCCCCAACCATTAAAGGAGGGGGGCTCGTCTCCTTGTGCTTGATAAGTACGGCTACATAGAAATAAGAGAAACTTGTTTCTCTTAAAGACAGTAAAGAATGATAACAATGTAGAAAGCATTCTTGTGATGAATGTTACTCTGGGATTCGGAGAGCGGATATCCTGCTAATGTAAATAGCAGCAGCAATTATGGTCATCTTGTAAAACTGGAGTAGATGATTAACATTAATACAAATTGTTCCTTGAAGTGTAGAATGTAATGCTATAGACATTTTTTACTTTTTACTTGTTGAAAATCCTGCATTTTTGGCAGGGACTGACATACATTTAAAATAATCAAATAATGAGGTGAATGTAAAGAATGAAATATACTTAAGTTACATACCTCATCAGCTCCCCCACAATTGGCTTTTCTCTTCCTACCAGGCTGCGAGGGAATGAGTCGCCGGGCATTGCCGTTCTATCAACACATAGAAATCAAAAGTCAGAACCAGTAAAAAAAAAAAGAAGACAAAAACTAAATCCAACATTTAAGATAACGAAGTTTTCTTCACCGTTGTGAGCAAGGAGATCGGTTCATGGTCTTCGCGGGACTTGAAAGTGCTGGGCTCCCTCACAGCAGGAAAAACAGACGCCTGAGAGGCTTCGGTTGAACTCGGCAGGGAGGGCACAGGGGGGGCCGGTGGTACCTGAGTCGCCATGGGGACGGCTTCTACTTTTCTCTTCTGCAGCAGACAAACGGGTTTCGTCATTTGGCTTGTGTGATACGAGCTAAGACGGTGTCTTGTCAAACGGCCACAGCGTATCAAGCAGCTTTTAGGTGGGTAAAAGATAAACAGAGAAATACAAGCTACCTTGAAAGACTTGAAATGTGGCTTGACAAGTCCAGTGCACACACCGGACAAACATTTGGTCACACTGTGGGTCAAACCACTTCCAGAAGTGATCTGCACGACCGGCTCAGGATCTTCCTTTTTAATTTCATGGTTGTTTATTTCTGGATTCCCATGCAGTTCAGCGTGACTTGACAGCTGTATGATCACACAAAACGCACGTCAACAGCGGTTTCAAACACGGTGCCAGTCATTTATAGATTGTGTAAATTGTGTTACCGGTGTGGGGAGGGTTTTGCCTCTGGAAGGAGCCGTGGCCGACTGTACGTTGAGATCTAGACTCTTTCTCTGAATTGAAAAAACAACATTCATATTAACCCTTAGATTACACTCAGGGATTTAACGCACACATGATGTAACTACCGTCTTTCATGGTCTAGTCACGGTTGAATATAAAAAAGAAATTTAAACATAGCAAACACTGTATGCAGTGTATGTGTTCCTGTTTAATAAATTATTTATTCAAGCAGCACACGAAAATATTGTATGTCATTATCAATAAGGCCACTTAAATGACCCGACAGATTTGATAAAGAGTGAGGCGCAGCATTCGCTTACCACTTCTCTCTCTGGAGAACTGGGACGGGAGCCTGGAAGGCCGTTCTTGGTTGGCGTTTTAGCTTCTTTCTTAGGAAACTGAAGCTTCTTCATGTCCAGCCTGTCCCCTGTGACCCACTCATCCAGGCGCTTGTTGACTTTTTACACAAGCAGTTTGACACAGACGGAAAGACATCAAGCACTGGTTTTCTTCTAGGTTATGTAATTCAGTCTGTAAAGTAACTGTAATTGCAGTTACAACGTCAGAGAAAAACAATATGTAACACAAAGTATACTCACAGTCGATATAGTGAACATAGTAAAGCTTTCTTGAAGAGACTTCCTTCACACTTAAAATTTCAGCCAACGCTGTAAGAAAAGCAGAAAAGTCCAATTAAAAAAACTTGCAAATGACATGTACTCAAACTTATCGCTATGGACCTCCATGAAATACTTAAAAGATAATAGACCCACAATAATCTCAAAAACATGCCAAAGGACTTTTCTTTTTCATCTTCGCAATTGAGACAAAAAGCTGCTTTTATATTTTAAATTAACGGTCTCTTTTGAGTTTTAGAATGCTGTTCAGCGACAACTGCAACTCAAAATACACAGCTGTGGGCGTGTTTGACCGGACGCTTAAAAAAAAAAAAACTATGAGAACATGAGAAAAAGAAAGATGAACTGCACCCCTCTGTGTGATAAATCAAAAAGGTGTCACAAGAAACTAACAAATACAGGAAAAAATAAATAAAAGTGTACAAGAACAACAGAAATGAAGAGAAATATATATATTTTAATAATACAAAAAACCATGTGAGATGGGAACACCTTATTGTTTTCATTTGTATTACGATTAAATATCAAGCCGTTTAGGCACAAACCCACTTTGACATGAGGCTGCAGCTGAGTGACGTCAGAGGAGCAAAGTGCCGGACTGAAGCTCCACAATTACTGACCTGGCTAACTTTGTTGAGGCTCTTACATTTCTCATTAGTGCAACTTGTCAAAATGTTTAGCATTGGACCACGTTGGCCCAAATGTTACCTTTAAAGGTGAGAACAGTTTCATTTTGGCATTACAGTATAAAACCTGAACAATTTGTTTCACATTTGTAAACAACAGAGAGGTGTCAGAGGGATGTCATGCAGGTTCCCCTAAAACATCTTTTCTATTTAAAAAATCCACAGCAGCTAGCTTGTTTATTACATGGTGGATGTAGGGGTAGTTTCAGCAAGCATTCAAACCAAATCAACCACCACATTTACAGTTAAATGTGTGCGCTTTGAGTGTGGTGTTTACAGTGCATTAACTGGAGGCCGAGGCGTCCGATAACAACAGCTGAGGTTTGCTAGTTAGCATTAGCTAGCTTAGCACAGGAAAACAACCGGACAATACTTACGCCATTCGTCTTCGTGTTCTTGGTTTTTACGAAGAACGGGAAGGCGACAGCCCTCAACAATCTCGACCTGTACGAAATAAAACATTTATTTGCATCCCGAAACGGGTCAATGTCTCTAAAATTAAAATGTGTATCTTGAAAACGTACCGATGATGCGTTGTCCGCCATTTTCGTCATCTGTGAGAGTAGGAGCGGGGTGTTGTGGGAAAATGCCGGTCCACGGCAAAGATTAAATAAACAGCAAGATGGTACTCTGTCGATGAATGTAGGGAGCGGAAGTTGTAAAACCAAACCGGAAACAACGAGCAGGAATCTTCATCAAATGGCAGGTGTGGTGCAACACCTTTATTAGGAACACAAATATGACTGATCAACTGCGTCAGAAGGTTGAGGCCATGTACGGGTTTGCATCTAAAACCTATTTTATTATTATGCAAGTTAAAAACGAGAAGAGAGAGAGAGCCTGCATTCAAAAACGTAAACCTAACTAGCGGCTTGCCTCATCATATTGAGATGAAGTGACATTTTATATATTCATTTACACGTAGTATTTCAAAGAAACTGACTGCATGGCCCCTAATGAAACAGGACACAGGTGGTCAACCATTTGTAATTTAAGGCCTAAAGCCCATTTCTGATGTGAAAAAAAAAATCGAATATCATTCAAAAAGAAACATTTCTGGAGTCAAAAATATTTGCCCCCAAAAATGAGGAAAATATGCTGTCCCAGGGGCCAGGAATATTTTATTTAGGACAAGCAAAAAAAAAGTACTAATGCAATACCGCATATTTTCAATAAAATATAAAATATAGAAAAAGTATAAACTTCTTGGCAGCAGGGGTCCCTCTTGTCTACAACCTAATCAAACAAAGAGGAGCAGAACAGGCTTGAATGTGCATGATTTTCATTGACATCAATAAACATGGTTTAATACACAGCCAAATGGCGATTTAGATCTTAGTTAGACAGTGTGCTGGAAGTGGTTGGTAGACAGGGGGACGATCGTGAAATTATTATCCTTGATGGACAACACCTCCCACCCGATGCAGGACACCCTGACTGCTCTAAACATCTCCCTCAGCCACCAGCTGACTTGCCCCCGGTGTGTGAAGGACAGGTATCACAGCTTCTCCCTTCTGCTGCTGTGAGGCTGCACAAGAGCCGTGCTCCGAGCAGAAGACCAGAGAAACTCAAACTTGTGCAATAACTGTAATAATAGTTATCTTTGTATATGATGTATGTCAGTATTATTTTGTATTTCTGTTTATATAATCTTGAATTTCATTTAATTTCAGCTACTGTGCATTCTTGTTTTAGTTCATAACCGCTATTTACAACAATTTAGTATCTTGTCTTTACGTGTGTGCACTTTACCCCCTTTGCTGCTGTTATCCTATAAATTTCCCCGTTGTGGTACTAATAAAGGACCATCTTATGTTATCTTATGGGATCTAAGTCTGAATAACAACCATGGAAGCACTTTATTTCTTACCTGCTCTAGACAACAACTCAAGCAGCTCAAAGTACAAGTTTAACATTTAGTTTCCTGACCTCAGCCAATGTGGCTGATAAGTTTCTTTTTACTTGAGAGGATGTAGAATACCGCATTCCAATGGAAAAACTTTTGGGCTGTAAAATGTCTAGTTCTATTCTTATTTCTCTATTCATTGGGATCTTTATGGTTCCTGACATTGCCACCCAGATTCCTATTTTTAAAAGTATACATCCTCCTCTCAACAATCGTCTCCTTTTTTCCACAATAACACAGCCTGCATTACAAAGTTGTTCAAAGTTGGAGTTATTGGCTTTCAATGAAAATGTTTTCTTTTTAAACCCCGACATGAAACACTGACCAAAATTGCTAACATGCCTCTTATGGGACAGTGATGCTGAAACCAGTGTCACATCGATATGACGAGTGAACAAAAAGTGGTTATCATAAAACACAAATACACTCCGAAAGATTGCATCATTGATGTCAAAACCCTTCTGTACTTGGTAAATAAAGTATTTGATGCTCTAATACACCTGTACGTGAGGTATCTGTTTAAGCATACAACAAGTAACCATATATCAACTTAATATTTAACATTTTCACAAATAAGTGTAAACTAACAACAGTCAGTATTTGATCATCTCAGGGAGCGAGGGCAAAGGTTATAAATGATCTTTATTATAATCCTTGGAACAGCGTTCAGTACACAGAACTTGCATTTTTTGAGTTGAGAAACCATAAATAAAACAGAAAATGAAATGTAATTCTGACAAACAAAAATGGAAGAAAATCTGTGTTAAACAGCTTTCCATTCAATTATAAATGTCCACTCAAACAACATAGCTTTCTGTAGGGATAGCCAGTGTATTATTATTTATCATGCATGAGTGCACAGAAGTCTGGTGGCTTATTATGACCAAAAGGTGAAATAGTGACTAGTGACATGATAAATTAAAATGTCAAAGACGGCGAAGCATTTTGACATGAGCATACGTTCCTCATTGTACACAGTCTCTTACAGAACACTGCTTCCACTCGATTTAATATTAACGCATCTGTCAGTGATGACCAATCTGACCTGTGAGGGACACTGCAAAGCAAATCTTACGAAATCAATAAAATCCATCTGGATTTGAATATCTACACACATTGTGACTTTTTTAGAGCCTCTTCTTTGGTCAAAAAATGAACATGTTTCCTTTTTTACCATAAGCCTTGAATCTTTAGGACGAAGCGTTTCCAGACTTCTTAATGACTTCAACGCTGACAATCATCATAAACAAAGGAGCGGTTTAATTTCCTTTTTTACCATATAAAGTTATACCTGGAGGTCTAATATTAACTCATGGAATTTAATATATTTCAGGGAAAGTTGAGACGTATATATATCTGCTGTGTTGATTTTAAAACAGACTTTATGTAACACTTCCTTCTTGCTACATATTTTCCTCCGCTAACAATTGGGCCTGAAATTAAAATTGAAATATCTGCCTGGTAGCTTCTCTCATTATTATTCTGCTTCTGTCTCTCAAATTTAAATCCTCAACATAGATATTCATTTAACACACCCACCAAATTAGTCGGTGAACAGAAGCAACAAAAAAATACAAAATGAAAAGATGGAAAAGAGAGATTGCAGTGTCACATTTTTCTCTGTAGAAATTGGCCCCATTTAGTTGCAATACCTTTGGATGGATATTGCACATAGTAAGACTGGTAGCAACAAAAGGGCTCATATCAAGGTCTTAATATAAAACATATTAACTAAATAATGTCACAGGTTTTGGAGGTATGACAATCAAACATCACAATATTGACTATTGCTATTAATGACAGAATCCAAACCTTTCCCTGCAGCTTTCTGTCTGAGCTGTGAAGCAGATCTATGATCATTAAACTGCTTCACGGATCCACTTCGTTCCCAAAGCCGCCAGTCTCTTTAGCAACTTAATGATACATTTGGTTGTCTTCCTTCCAGCACATTTCACACATTACTACAGTACTTTTCAATCTATCTATCTCTTATCTACAGCCGTGATGCACTTGTTTACAGATATTCTATAATAGTTCAGCAGAAAGCAGAGGATTTGCATCTCCTCAAACATGGCAAGATACATACATTTGGATGGGGAAATGAAATTGTTACACTTTAAATCTGAAATTTAATATTTCATAAATTTCATTCCTGTGAACATGCAACATTCGGTTGCTGTTTTCCCGTTATACTTTCAAGCATCACACACATATATATATATATATATATATATATATATATATATATATATATATATATATATATATATATATGTATAACAAAAATAAAATTCAAATAAAAAAAAGAACGAACATCAAAAAGTGCAAAATGTACATTTGTTGACAGCATAACATTTTTCACTGTACAATCACTGATTATATACTTATTATTTTATGCTTTATAATAAGGGTTACCAAGTAGCATAGTTTGAGTAAGAAATATTTCATAGCAAGTCTATTGTAAAATATTTGCATTGCCCCGGAACAAGGAAGTTTCTTCTAAACATTGCAGAGGGTGAATGTATGCGTTTTCTTGTGAGCGTTTGTGAGTGTAAGTCTGTGTGAATAAGAACCTCTGTGAGTGTGTGTGTGTGTGTGTGTGTGTGTGTGTGTGTGTGTGTGTGTGTGTGTCCATAGCATGTACATATACATAAGGTGGAGGTGCAAATAATGAACTAGAGGAAACTCAAATCATTCCAGGTCAGAGGCACAAAAACTGCCTAGCCTGCGTTTCAAGAACCTAGCAATGTTTTGAACAACACACATTTGTCGGACGTCAGCAAAGCGGAAGAAGGAGAAAAAGGATTTAAAAAAAAAATGATTTCCCTTCATAGCTCAGGGAGGAGGAGGCGGTTCAAGAGTCATACAACGAGTGGAAACAAGCAGTTCACAGATATGTGTCGAAGGAGTAACGCCGATTAGACTCTTTGAACTACACTGTCAGCCGTTGCACTTCACCTGTAACACCATTCCCGCTGTGCAACAGCCGTCCGCCTCAGGCTACAAATCACAGTCGCGATTTTGCAATCTGCTCCCTCTTAAATGAATGCTCCCTCTCTTACAGCGGAAACAAACATTGTTATATTAAGGAGAAAGTAAGGAACAATGGGCCTTGTTGCCAGGGTGAATCCACACCATCTTTGTTGAAGACCATGTTAAACCACTAGCTTCAACGGTACTGCAGAAAGTCCTGCAAAAATGAGCAGCACAACCAGCACTGGAGATGTAAAGTGAGGAAAGTCATTCACTGGCAGTTTTTTAATGTTCCATTTCCTCAGAGAAAAGCCATCGTGTACAGCATCTCGGTAAGGATACCTGCTGAGATGTTCCTACCGCAGAAGGAGAAGTCGCACAAAAGCTTTCCGGCAATGAAAGTTTCCACTTTTCCTGATGGAAATAAAAGGGCATACATCATGAAATAGTATTCCTGCGGCATCTTCATGGGTGCTGTCCAATGACGAATGAATTAAGGAGATTCAGATCACAAAATAACCTTGGATTATCAGTTTGGCCATCGGATTGTCAAAATACAGGTTATTGGACACTCCTGCACCGCGATGGTCACTGTGAGTCCTCATAAACCCTGCGGCTAAATCCAAATGGCTCAGTTTAAAGACACATGCTCTCTGGTACGTTGTTGTGTATTCTGTTTATGTAGACTGCAGATACAGAATATTTTTGAAAGTTAATGGTGGGCGGAAAAATACTATTATCTGAAGGGCAACAATGGGAGTCAGAACTACACGTTTTTCTTCTTTCTTGAAAAATGTTTAAAAGAGAATATTATACTGTACAGTTTGGTGGTCCAGCACAGCTTTGTGAGGATTCTTGTATGTGTATATAAAGTGACGACAGGAAAGAGAGACTATATGTTTGCTTACTATCCCACACTGCCAGAAAACGTGCAGGCGTTCAAATCCATCATCCTCTGGACGTCTTAGCGCTCTGACTTGACTTTGTATCGTAGAACCAGGTAAGTCGCTAGTCTGAGGACCAGGAAGAAAACGCCCAGCACAATGAAGTCCACGTACAGCTTTGCGTCCTCCACGTCCAGCAGTTGCAGGACCTCCTCTGGCTTTTGGAATTTACAAACCACACCCGGACACTCAAGCTCCGACCGGTTCATCCCGTAGATAGAGAGTATAACCCCCTCAAAGCCGTACCTGAAACACAGCATTTTACTCGCGCACTAAAGTGAAAAACACATTTTAAAACTTTTTCAGATGAAATAAAAAGTGTTCACCACAAAGACAGGTACAAAGACAGATAAGCCAAAATGCATTAAGCAGAAATACACATGACACATGAAAAAATGTGGACAACATAAACTGTACCTGACGTAGGAAAGATAGGAGCTCCACTGTAGGTATTTTGGAATGGTGTCAAAATTGACAAAGAAGCCAGAGAAGAGAAGTACAGGTATGGCTGTGACTGGACCCACAAAGGTTGCCACCTGTGGAGCAAATGAGTAACATTCAAATTAAAAATCTGTTCCAATAGAATGAATTGTCTGATGATACTTAGAGGAACGGTGTGCAGATTTAGCATTGCACTTCTATTATATTGTTGGACTCATGATGGACGTTCAAGTAAAGGATCAAAGTCAATGCAGCAGAAAAAAAGTTATTTACATTACTCATTACTTCACTTTAATTCCCTCAAAGGTGCCATTTGACAAAACCACCGGCAACTATTGTCTCCTACTTCAATTAAAAGCTCATTCTCAGTGTATGTGCACTGGACGTTTCACGTTTCCTGGCACAGTTGAAGTCAAACGGCCAAGAGAAGTTACAGAAATATAAATAATACCCTTTCTAGTGAAGGGAGACTTGAAAGTGTGCAGCGCTCGGCCTACCTGAAGAGACGTGGATGCGGCCCCTATAAGCAGTCCGAGGGATTGGGCCACCAGGGCTGTGGATGTGGACAAGGCCATGAAGAGCAGGTAGCGAGCAGCCTCTGGTGGCTGATCAGTCATCCAGTACACTATACTACAGTACATTATTGGACAGAGCACCTGTAGAAGAAATTTTCAAGTGTTGCTATGTTGGAATAAACTGCATTCATGTTCAAACCATTATGTGCTATTTGGTTTTAATATTACCTGGAAGGGTATATCAGCCATGGTCTTGGCTAAATAATAGGCCTTCAGGCTGTACCAGTAGTTGAGATGTTCCCTCATAAACACGGACATCTCCAGAGGAACTGTGGAACAACAGCAGGGTTAAAACACTTTTCACTTCATACAAGAAAAACAAACAACAGCTAATGAAGGTGTCCCTTCTATTCAGAGACGCTGCGTCTTACAGGTCAGGATGGTGGGCATCAGGGCAGCAAACATGAGGAACAGCATGGAGAAAAAGAGGAAACCAGTGTTGTTGAAGACCTTGCTGGCATCATTTCCGATATTGAGATAAAGCAGGCCAATCAGCACTCCAATACAAATATGGGACATCACCCTGAGGTGGGTCAGCACCTGGAAACCACAAAATAAACAACAACAAAAAGCCATTAATTGATGTCAGGAGTCAAACTAAACATGTTTCTCATAGTAAGCTTTGCCTTTGAACAAAAAATAATAATTTTACCATGTCTCTGCATATCGTTACAAAAGTTCTTTTGAAGAGGATGCAGAACTGTGTGAATGTACTGGTGGCAAAGCTATGTTTCTCAAGTGTTCCTGTTTCCTGTGGAGAAAGACAATAAGAACAAGTAGTTAAATATGTAAATTTGTGAAAGAAAGAAAAATACAAGCAGTTGGATTGTTTTATTAATAATATATTAATAGTATTTTTGTGTTTTGTTTTTAAATTATTGAAAGTTGAGAGACTTTGACATATATAAGGATGAAATTCATCATACTCTTTGGTTATTAGTGTAAAGGCTATTTGCTGATGCTTTCATGGAAAACACAAGTTAGAAAAGGCAACAGAGAAAATAAATAAACTGATTAGGATTAGAAGGTCAAAATTGCATCATGCAGAAACAATTATACATCAGTGGGCTCTTGGTGGTTTACATTTAGGGTTTAAGCATTAAGCTACTGCTCCCAAAGTTGACTAATGGGGCTGACAGAGAGCAAGTTAGAAGAAGCTGCGAGAGCCTGAGTAGAAAACATTGATGGAGTGGATGAAACGGGAGCCGTTTGGATAACGTATACAGGAACCGGTTTCAGGTGACTACTTATTTAAATCCTTTAAAAAATGAATGTTATTAGAACCGCGGGTCAAAATAGACCATTGGTGAAACAAGTATATACCTTATGGCTTGTTGAAAGCAGGTAATCCATCAGAAATCACTGAAGGAAAATTCTAAAGCTATATATATAAAGAAATTTGAATGCAAAGTGGGACATTTTCAGTGTTCTGTGGTAGTGAAGGCTTGCATTTTCTATTACCACGTGACGTGAGGCTATCCTGTGTGACAGGTGTGGGGTCAGGTGACAGGGGTGGTACCACTCACACTGGGACATTGAGAGGGAGAGGAAGAGTCATTTTTGTCTCTGGAGTTCTTCTTGCTCTCCTCGGAACACAGACCACCCTGGACAGCCTCAAACAGCACCGGATTAAGATCCCCATACTCCCCCGACGCCACCTCAATGACTGAGGACAGGGAGGAGACGCAGGTAAGAACAAAAACACGGTCCAACGCAATCACGTGCTTTTTCTAAAGGAGTTGCTTGACTTACTGAAGTCGGCAGGATTGTGATACGTCGGACAGTGGAGGCCCAGGTTCTTCAGATAAGGGATGAGGTAAGGGACGGTGCCCTTGTATATGCACTGACCCTGGCTGAGGATATAAAGCTGGAGGAGGAACACAGATACAGCGTAGTCAACATTGTTTCCACCGCACCGACTGTCTGTATAATATATGAACAACAGACAAAAGAACAGGACTGTGTATCGACTGCTGTGCTGCTTGTCAGCTGGATGAAATGAATCATGCTAACCTGTAGCGCCCGGGTCTGGGCAGCTGCTAATGGAAAGCTAAATGTGTCCAGCACCAGAAGCACTCAAGTTACCTTATCAAACATCTCAAAGAGCTTCGCACTGGGCTGGTGAATGGTGCAGATGATTGTCCGTCCTCCCAGAGCCAAAGATTTCATCAGGGAAACCACCTGGAAGCAGGACGCACTGTCCAAGCCGCTGTGGGACACATGATGAGACAGAGAACCACGTTGTTCAACCTGTTTTTATGTTGATATATCACACATTAAAACCCAGCCAAGTAACATCCTACCTGGTGGGCTCATCAAAGAACATGACCGGAGGATTGTTGACCAGCTCGAGGGCGATGGCCAATCTTTTACACTGGCCTCCAGAGAGACAGTTTGTGCGTGTCTGTGCACATTCCTGAAGGCCCAGAGCAGTCAGGATCTCATCCACCTTTGACACACACAGACACAGATGTCACATGATGTGGAGGGGTGGGCAATAAGGATAAAATACATATTCATGGAACATCGGACCGTATTTCATAAGGTTAATATATTAACAATTTTATTTTTCCATATACAGATATTTAATGGGACATTCATTTACAACAAGATCAAACCACGTGAAAATGCACATATTTGGCTTCAAAATCAGGATACATTCTCAAGTAGATGTAGAAATGATGAAGCAGGCTGGCTCATTAGTATGTGTTATCACTCACATTGACTAAGCGTCTTTACAAACTGCTACGGTCTTGCACACCTGTTACTGAAAAGAATTCTGCAAATTGAAATGCAACCAATGCATTCAGACTTACAAGCTCTTTTTTGATCTGCATGCTTTCACTCAGTTTCAGATTGGCAGAAACCTGAAAGACAGACAGAAGTTGATTGAACACTGGGATTTTGTGAAGTATTTAACTGTTTATTTAGTTATTTAGACTACATTACATTACATGTCATTTAGCTGACGCTTTTATCCAAAGCGACTTGTGCATGCAACCACAGGGATACAAACCCAGAAGAGCAAGAAACAAGAAAGTGCAATTTCCTCAAATAAGCCAATTTACAATTTGCTATAGATCAGTGACGTTATAAGTACAATTTAAGTGCTACAGATGACCTCACCGTCATGGCCTCCCTCACAGTGAGGTGTGGCAGCAGCATGTCATCCTGCATGATGTAGCAGGACATCTTCCTGAAGGTCCGCAGGTCCCTCGGTCGCCCATTCACCAGGATCTTGCCCTTCATCCCGGTTTCTCTGTTTCCAAACAGAAAACTCAATTATATTACAGCCATTTTCAATGCAGGGAATTAGGATGAAAAATATGATCTTCCACATCCCACCTGTACCCCGCCAGAATATTCATCAGAGTGGATTTCCCAGCTCCAGAAGGCCCCATTATTCCAATCAGTTCTTTGTTTCTGAACCTTCCCGACAGACACTTGAGGAGGGCTTTGTAACCTGACACAAACAGAAAGGGGGAAAAGCTTTTATGTACACTGCTGGAATTGGTCTGGTTTCTCATTCATCATTCTCAGACATGCATGAATACTATCTCTTTTTACGACAAGTAAGTAGAAAGATTTGACACAATAAGCTTAAAGTAACCTGTTATATTTAGTGTTGTAGTCCATTGACCACAGTCATATGTGTTGCAAGATTAAAGAAAATATTAATATATAAAGTGTAGTTGAACATTCATTAGTAATCACAGACAAAGAGCACATATAACTGGTAAGAGACCACTAAAAAGCCAAAGATACATTAAACCTTAATTCATCTATCAAAGCATTCCTGACAACAAAGATAACAAATAGTACGTTTAAAATATATTGAAAGTGTGTTGCACCATCTCTGGTCAACTATTGTGGAGTTAAATTAACATTACCGTATGTTTCCTTTTCTATAAATTATGGAACTTATTGAACCATGTTACACTTAAAATATAAAAAGAAAAATACTTTAACAGAGTTCCCTCCAGCAGAGAAATTCCCTGGCTGGTATTACTGAGCACCAGGAACCATCAGGCAGAGCTCGCAATGTGAAAACTTCCACTTATGGAAAGTTAAAAACATTTAAGTATCCTGTTTTCATTGTCACCCCCTTGCCTCACCCATGTCCGCAGGTATTCATTTTCCCGTTTCAAGCCGCGTACGGGGCTCAGCGGAGCTGCCGGCCCCCCGTGATCCTTCACTCTGTGAATAAAGTGGCCTAATGGCAATGCCCCCTCCTCCCCCGCAGGGTTATTCCATCAGAGAGCCTCCATGTAGACAGCGGAGCAGCCTGCTGTAAGTGAGGCAGCCCTGCTCCGGCATGTGGCGCATGCTGATTATCCAACCCTCTGCGTATGGTATTTTTACACATCCTGAACATGATTCTATGGTTCGAAGAATAGTACTTGATCGATGTTTTTTTACATCAATGCATTTATTGTAATCTAGACTGTTAAAGAAAATTATGTGTAACATGCTCTTTGATAAAATTCTATGACATCAGCATTGTTATTTATTCAAAAATTTTTATTTTACTACACAGCCGTGCCAGACAGGGGTTGCACCGCGGCAAAAGGCATCTCATCAGAACTATGTGATAACCTGTTCATATAAACTGCCGTCACGTTCACATTATACAATAGAATGCTTTTCAAAGAGTAGCCCATCTACTTAACATTTACATACTGCGTATTGTTAGACGCTACAGATGTACACTTAAGTATTGATTATTTTAATAATTTAGTTGACATCATATAGACACAATATAAACTGCTGCCACTTCATATTGTGAAATACATAGCCTTACTCTGACTTCTGCTGTACTTCCTCTGACCACATTGTCTACAACGGAACAGGATAAATAACCAAAACCCTTATATTAAAATCCAATTACACAAAAAAAATAACAGTCCTGAAGCAGCATGGGTTACTTAAAAAAACAGTGTGCAATTCTCATTATTGTGTACACGGCCGATCAAGAGGCATGTGAACTTTGTCTTGGTCTCTCTCCCTCTTCCTGTCCTTCCTGTTTGGTAGCTGGGCAAGTGTTTCCCCAGTTAGGAGAATACCCTCAACCTGAAAGCAGCTCACTTAAGAGGTATAAATGGTGAAGAAGAATCTATAACTAATGCAGACGGGGGGCAGCACGTGGCCAACTAACCTTTCGGGAGCCCCTTTACAATAAAATAAATAATTCTACGTTCACTGTATTGCACATTTTTCCTCGGACATCTTTCCTTAAGGAGTTAAAAGGAGACACTCATGTGTGGCGTCAGTGGCTCAAAAAACGGAACACATTGAATTACAGATGACAGCACGGGTTTGCGGCTCCTCGTTCAAATCTTTCAGGAATACACTACTTGGGTGGCAACAATCACAATAGACACATTAAACAGCCTTAAGCTCTGTGTGATTACAGCTCTTTGTGTTTTACAGCTTTAATTCGGAGAACAGAAACTGCAGAGAATCCGCTTAGTTTGCTAAATGAGACACTACAAGCCCCACCGTTTCAGCTACAGTTTATGTGAAATGTAAGCGCAAAACCGTGATTATATTACCGTGTGAGTGGCAAAAGTAATTAGAGAGGGTCATAAGGGGCTGGATGTACCTGGAAGTACATGAAGTATAGGAGGTTCATTCGGATTGGAAGGAGAGTAAATGGCTGGCAAGGCTTAATTAGTAAAAGCTGAGACCCTTCCTGCTCACACATCAACACCCTAATGAGTTGAAGCAGGCACCCTGAAGGGAGCACGCAAACAACAGCACATACCACGGGTTGATTTAGCTTTCTGATCCTGCTCATTCATGCTCTCCATACATCCAGGTTCCACACGGGAACCACAAACACTCCTCCGCCAGACGTTCATAAAGCACGTCAATATTACACAAGACTGAAAATATCACTCAAGACAACATGCAATGCATAATGCAGAGCCTCTCCTTAAATGGCGAATGTGAATAAACGATTCCTCTCAAGTTCACTGTCCTCACGCTGCTAAATGTACAGAACGTGGCAAGAGCAGCTAAACATAATAGTTTACAGAGGGTGGTTTAGTTGACAAGCACACGTGACTAAAGGTTGGAGGCACATCATTACTAAAGGTGAGTTCATATTTCATGAGAAGATCAATCGTGGGCCTGACTCACCGCCTATCGTATAGACAACGCGGGGAAAAGAGGAGGCAGGCAGTGTGCCAACCGTTGAGTGTAAATTATTAACTAGGTCTAAACTCTGCTGAGCACAGCAAAGCTCCCCAGCACACTACCTGCTACGACATGGTTGAAGTTTGCAATTGTGTGTGTGTGTGTGGCTATACAGTATGTGTCAGAACAATAGAGCAAAGCAAGAGAGGTAGACTAACACTGATAAAAAATATACAAACGTGTATATATGTGTACATGTTTGTACACTGTGAATCTGTGCACTCTGTGATATTGATCCTCGGGGGTGGCGCTCGCTCGCCCATCCATCATTGCTACCATGCAAGCCTAGCTTTGCAGTACCTCTCCTCCTCCACCAGGGACCCTCGCGGATGGTGTACGAGAGCTCGTTGAACTCCAGGTCCACAGCAGAGCGGCGTGGGAGGTGGGAGAAGCGCTGAGCTTCAGTGATGTGGTTCTCCACTTTCTTCAAGTGGATGAGCAGTGGCGCCTCCGGAGGCGCTCCGCTGGGGAGTTTGGTCTCCTCCATGGGGATGCTGACCGAGCCCTGCTCCAGTGTCCTCTCGGCCATGATGGAAGACTGCAAAGGAGGACAGACACGCTCAACTCCAACTCTCTTGCTTCAAGGCTCAACATGTTCATACATGAAGAGTATCAATTTGCAGATGTAGATTGAATTAGTCAGAAGGCAAACAATCCATCGATCGGTTTTGGTTCCTTTGTTTTCCAGTTGGATGACTGATATGTAGAAGGCCGGTGCCTCCGCATGGGATGTGTGGACACAAAGGTGTGTTGTAGGAGGGATTTTAGGTTGACTGCAGACGCTATGGTAAAACTAGGTGCTGGATGTGATCTGATTATAGTTTATTTTGTGAAGGAGTGGTTGGGGGAATGTGTTTCTGAGGAGCAGGATCTGGTTTCAGTCCTGCAGCACAGCACACTGCTGATTCACCTGCATTTCCTTCCAGACAAGACGGCTTCTCTAAAGCATCTTTTATGATGAGCGGTAGTCCATTAGCTTTACAATGATCTGAAACCGCACCATTTTATTTCACCAATATCAGCAAACTGAGGAGGTTTGGAGGTGTGAGATTCAGTCGCCATTACTATTTCATTCATCAGGTTGAGTAGTTATAAATATACTAAGTGCCCTACTTTAAATAAAGACCCATGTAATTATCAGTTGACCCTAGTTGAGTTTAACAATGATCATGTTTAAAACTCAGGAGATGTATGTACAACATGAAATAAATTGCGTGCACTAATGAATACAAATTGTGCACTGCCGTCCATTAATTGCTCATTTCTTTCACAAAAAAGTAAGAAAATAGTTGGAAACGACCATTATTTGTGTACATGCGCTTGGCATTGGTAGACATTGGCATAAAAATCTACCCGCTCCTTTGAATATCGTTTGGCAAATAAATAAGTTATGTGGACACGCAGAGATACATGATGTCTGTTTAGGCTTAAAATGGATTAGTGATAGTTCAGGCACACTTGTAAGGTATACATGTATTTTATGAAAATGTATAAAGGCAAACAAGGTTATTGTAACAAATATGCCACCACTCATCAAGGCTAACAGTTATGGAGCAAAGCGAGCCTAAAATGGATAGAAGCAGCTTCACAAAAAGCTAAACTCGTGTCAAGTTCGAACACACGATCGTGGTGGACAAACATCTACTGCTGTCATGCCAGTCCGATAGTACAACTGTCCACGACCTTCTGTATATCTGCAGCTAAATCCTACTCATGTGAAGAGCGCTGGAAATTGAACATGGCTTTTATTGATCAGCCTGCCATTAGTGAATTTCCCCCCTGCAAACCTGCATATAAACTCAGTAAAACACAGACAGGCTTCGATGGCCTCTTAGTCAGATTGAGGGCCTTGATGTTCCGTCATGTGCCGCCGCTACAGCGAGGACATGTGAACACACGCGGCCGTTGTAAATGTCTCCCGGGGTGAAATATGGTTAATAAATGTAGCTTTGCAGTGGTGTGGTGACTCTGTACTCTGCAGTGACTTATCACTGATGGGGGGGATGCTGCCAGCTCGTCAAAAAGCACCTGTTAACAACACACTGATAGGAATGAAAATACACTATTTAGGCATTAAAATGACAGAGCAGTAAGGAGAATTTACTTTTTCTCTTAGGTATAGTCATAAAAAAATGCTGTGGACAGATATGCAATAAGGCTGCTGCCATGTGTTGCATTGTACATGCACAAACCCTCACGCACGCACACGCTGCACATACCTATTGTGTGTTGAAATGACCAGGTGAGCAGCTTATAGCGCTGGTTGACCTCACTGGATGAGAGAAGCAGTGCTCAGTTGATCCCTTCAGACAAAACGGCACAACCCATGGACATCAGAAGAAGGGGCAAAAAACAACAACAACAAGCTCACTGTGCGCCAGAGTCCAGCAAAAATCCTGTCGACAGGTCCGTGTTCTCCTTATCAATACATCTCGGGGCGCGGCGCGCAGCATCCCGCATCCACTATACTGCAACTCCGCAGATTAAAACCATGTCCGGCCGCCAAACTATGACTGCGTGCCCGAGAACCGTCAGGGGAACAGGGTGCCTGTCATACTCCCTTTCTTCCACGGCGGGGTTATTCCGTCCAGTGAATCCATCCGATCCCACTCTGGCATGGAAATACACTCGCACGCTGTGACATGGTGGGAAGCGGCGAGCGGGCTGCAGATGCCTCAGCAGCAGCGTTCCCCTCGGGCCGGTTAGTGCGTGTGCGCGGTATACGCACGCCGGTCTGGGATACAGGGCGTTGCTGAAAGGATGCTAAGAGAGGCGGGAGGGGGGGGGGGGGGGGGGGGTTCATTTTGGTTTTAATCCTCGCTATAATAATCGTCATTCAAAACAACAAAAAGAGAGCAACATTGTGAAAAGGCAAATTTAGAGACACATGATGATAAACACATCCGAAGTGCCCGTGCCCGTTTTGAAAGATATTACGGTTATTTGAGGCTACCTGAAAGTAGGAATTTAGAACCCTTTACAGTGGATGCCACAGTCTGCCTCACTAAATGAGCCCCTCAAGCGCTAATTCAAAGCGATATTTTCCAATCTGTGTGCGCGTGTCTCTCGGGAAACGAGAGGGATGGAACAACCCAACGGAATCGGGATAAAGCTCCGCTGAGGATTTGCACTTTTCTATTTCGCCTCCTGCCTCATCCCACTGGGACAGACGGTTCGGCTACACCGCTGTCTCTCCTGTTGACGGTATTTGTTCACCAGGAGGGTTTCGGTTTCGGCTTTTTTTTTTTTTTTTTTGGGGCCCCGCTGTCTCTTTAAAGGCCGCACCTGCGCAGCTGCCTGGTGCTGATGCTGCAGTGCCCGGGTTATTTTCGGTAAAACAGCCGGGGTTACTCGCGTTCACGCGGGCCCTGCACGCCTTACCTCACCCCTGAGAGGAAGTCAAAATCATTTTCAGCCAATTGTAGCCGCCGTGTTTAATCGGACCAATTTAAAACGATTGTTCCCGTTGCAACGTGAGTGATTTCAGCAAAGCGACCCGCCTCTCTGTGTCTGATGTGTGCCTCGGTTATCAACCGTGACCAACAAACCTTTATCCGCCCAAAGCATTGCAAAGATTAGAGAATAAAGGTCTTGTCATTATAGAGACAGATGAAGATGGATTGATTTTATGCTCCAGCATGCTACTTAAATCCATTATCCTACATAAAAGGCCAAATCCTGATTGCAAAATTTGCTTTAAGGAGATGTAGATATGGCCTTTCTTACTCTCTGAAGAATAGGTTTGAGTTAATACATAAAGTATATAAGATCAACCAAACGTTCTATTCACACCCTTTGAGGAAACGCAGCGGTGTGGAAGGTCATTAATCAACTAAATGATCGTTAAGTCGCCTCCGAGATAACAGTGGTTCTCTATCATAAAGCACACACTAACAGTGACTGAATGCCACATAAGAGCAATCGCTCTGACAGTTTCAGTCTGTGGCTGTGAATATTTAAACTCGGCAAAGGCATCTTTACGGGGTGACATGGTGACAGCAGGAGTTAAGTCTTTCTAGAACTGCAGTGTGCTCGTAAATGAGGGTCAGGCTGACACACTATAAGTAGTGAGCCGCAGTGTTAGTCGACATCTGAGAGACAAGAGCGTACAGGATGGCACCGAGGACGGCTGCTCTCCTCTCGGCAGGCTTTTTGCTGCTGCTGACACAGAGAGCTCTCACAGAAACAGGTAGATGAATAAGACAATATCCTCCTAAACGAGTCTACTTTTGTGTGCACGTGTCACAGCAAAGCGTCACCATAACTGAATCCAACTTGCCCTGCAGGACCGGGCGCTCGTCCTATCAGACTGTCTGTGGAGAATGACCTGTCTAACATCACTCCCGAGTCCTATTTCAGCTCTGTGGTAGAGGGAGGCGTGCTGCTGAGCGCCCTGAGGAGACTGCAGGAGACGCAGCAGGACTTCAAGTAAGACCACCCATGGCATCCCCTTTAATATCTCTGCATAACGCCCTATTTTAAGAGGTGACTCGGCTGCTCCCTCCTTTGTGATTACCTATTCATGGCGTGGACCGACGTGCTGACTCTCTCCGTGTGGCCAGGTTCACTGTGACAGTGGACCCAAACTTCGGCCTGTTCCTGGAGAGCGTGAACGGAGTGGCTGGAAGTGAGAGCGAGCAGACGTACTGGGAGATCCTGTCAGAAAGCTTCGGAGAGTACACCAGGCTGGATGTTGGTGAGTGTCCTCCCCACACATTCAATACGGCACGTCTGACTTGATGAGCTGTAATGAGACAGGATAACTGGTTGTCTTTTCACTCAGCTACCCCAAGACGTCTTCTTGATTATTGTAAAATATTATTCTTGCGTGTTATGACTGACCCTATCCTTGATCATCCGCTCATTGTTACTACTGACCCTTGTGCGGGTTTGACATTTTTGGCTGTTTGCATACTGCGTCTTGGCTTTTTGGATTAAAGAAGATTATTAGTATAGTTTCTCATTATATAATTACGTTTAATACACCATATGGACGAACCACTGGCCCCTCTGTTGATGATAAAGTTGCTGATCCAAACGTGACCCTTTTCACAGGAATTGGCTGCTACCAACCTGTAGCAGATGAGCACATTATCCTGAGGTTCAGCACCTGGCGCAGACAGTGAGGAACCAGCTGATCAGAAGAAACTCTTCAGGATCAGATGTGGGAGACCAACAAATTAGATTTTTTTCCCTCACTTTGGTCATTGATGGCTGTATCAAGTTCCTTTAAACGCAAAGGGAGTTAAATGTTGTGACCTGATGTGAGAATAAACAAACAGCTACATCTACTGGCAGTAAGGAGCATTTAATTTGATCAAATCCAGAGAAAGTCAGATTTACAAAGCAATACAACTTCAAAGACCACAGAGACAATGTAAGACGTGACATGTCACATTGGAGGAAGGCTCCTGTCCATCAACATTTTTTAAGGGCAGAAAGGTTGAATAATACCACAAAGAGCGATGTTGTGAGTGACATCATTCTTCAGTTGATGACAATTTAAAGTCTGTTTGACTCAAAAAAAAAACAGCACAATAACCCAGTGAATAATGCTCGCGAGATCAAAAACTTGAGTGGTGGTTGACTTCAGACAGGCAGATAAGAAATAAAGATTTCATTTTGCAATATTACATATAGATTTTCACAGTAGATGCTTAACACATACAAAAGTGAACATGGTGCACCACACCAAAACAAAAAGTCATGTTAACGGACTCTAACGGATTCCTCAACCAAAGCTCCTCCCCCAGTAACAAGATTAAGGTTTCATCTCCTTCGGAGACGGAGGGAATGAGAGGAGGAGCGACGAGCAGTGACACTAATCTCTGTGGTTTCACTTCCCTTTCTCTTTTCTCCTTGTCTTTATGTCATTCTTTCTTTAGAAACACAAACATGTTTACAGAATCATGTAAAAGGAAAGCACGTGAGATAGTCCCATCACATAAAATGAATTCAGAAAGCTGCTGTCTGAGTTACCAAATCCTGTGAGCGGTCGTTTGCCTCATCCGATAAGCCTCTTATCAAACACAGACCACCACTTCAAGTAAAACCTTTTTGATTTGAAGTGTTTCAAATTATTATTTGACCCAACTCTGAAACTGCCTCTAACATTGTTCCTGACTCCGCCGCCAACTTATATCACAAAACATGGATAGTTCACATACTGAAGGATTCAAACCTTCAAGCTCTGATATCTTCTCGTCGTTGAGTAAAATCCTATCTTTGGACACCCAGGCGGAGCTGTAGCCTTCAGTGTGCCAAACAGATCCAATCAATGTCTTTAAAGATCCAGATTTTCAGTCCGCTGATTTGTCCACACAACTGGATGAAGCGTTGCGTGGCTTCGCGTAGCTGTCTGTGTCTTTCTTCTTCACCTGGACCCCACTGTATTGTAGCGTTGTGTCTTCTCCATATTCTAGCCAGTGGATGCTAAAAACAAAAAGACAAAGGTGTTTTGCAGGGGATTTCTCAAAGGGGAAAAAAGCTATGTCTTTACATTGCATCAATACATGAAATATGCTGTGATGACGTAGCTACTCACCACATGACAAAGCACAGTCACAAATGCACGGGATGCACTGTGCAAAGAAGCGCTTCCAGCCACTCTCCTTCTTCATACAGTTGTCTATCCGAGAGCAGCCTTGTTTTGGTGGGCCAAAGTAACTCTTATATGCACAGGTGGAGTTGCACGTCCCGTTAAGTTCCCTCTCGCTGATTTCAATGCGTCCCCGCCGACACATTCCTAAAAGGAGGAGGGAGGTCACGTGGTAAGCCAGGGGCATCATAAAGGATCGGGGGATCTCTGTGTTCAGTGTTTACTCACTGAGGCAGGTAGGTTTCGGGGTCCAGAGGCCATTAGGTTGGCAGATTCTGGTGGGTTTTCCCACCAGCATGAAGCCAGAGCGACAGGTGTACCTCACCACAGAGCCCACCCACCAGTCGTTACCATGAAGCACTCCATTGTAGTCCACATCTGGCCTCCCACAGTTCACTGCCATACAACGGAAAGGAAAGCGGTAGCGAAAGCATGGCACAAAGCGCCGTGACGGACAAAGGGCCTTCGTTCTGAAGTGAGGCTTGTGGCAGTCTCACCTCGGCATAGGGACTTCTGGCCGAGCCAGCAGCAGGTGGAGTCTCCACAGCGATCTCTCCTCAACTCCTGGTGTCGCGCCTTACAGCCAGCCAAACAAAGGGGCGCTGACCCGGACCAATACACGTCGTCTATGAGATCTGGTTGAGGAATCCACTCTGTCTCCGTATTGGCTTTTTATCATGTACCACCACAGGAGAAATCACAAACATTTATAAAAGGTATTGGAAATGTTTCTGAATGTACATTTAGATTTATCATTTAGCTGATACTTTTATCCAAGGCGACTGCATTCAACCAAGAGGGTGCAGAACCAGAACAAAGTGCAAATTCTAGACTTTAAAGAGAGCATTAAGTAATACCTCACTGTTATTCTAGAGAAACAAACATGACAAAACATGAATGAAAAATGAAATCATACTGCCATTAGAGGAGTTCTTACCACTACCTTCCACCTCCCCAATCCATCCAGGCAACTGAGAATTGGCTAATTGGAAGGACCCAAACAACAGCAACAGCCGTGGATGTAACATCATGGCGTCCATCTTCAGATGCAACCCGTTTCTGTAGAAAAAAAGATGATGGATGTGGGAGCTGAGTCAAAGTTCTAGAGCTGCCCAGCAGCATTCAACTCATCATCATTCTTGCAAAGTCAACAGAAACAAAGCCATTAGAAGCCGTCCCAGTAGAGCAGAGTTCACTGACTGCAGAGTGAAGAAGCAGAGAGCAGCACTTCAGCTAAGCTCTGCTCGCTGCCTCTAATCTTCCACACTGCTAAAGCCAAGATGTCATGATTTAGGTCACCTGCTCAACAGAGCTTTTCCAATGAGAAGTCTCCATTATTTGGATGTTTATGGAAAGCAGTTGTTTTGGTGTTTGGATACAGAACACCTGATGTTGTAAGTACGTACCTTGGATAAGATTACAATTTACTATATTATTTGGTCAAATGGAGGAACATAGAAATATACCTTCAAATAGTCTATCTAGTTGAAGAGTGAATATTTCTACACCTTATAACCGTTTGACTACATATTGGATGACATTTCTCCTCCAGCAGTGCCCGATGTAGTCATAAAATAGTTGCAGTATAGCAGTTACTCACAAGGGGGCACTATAATGAATTTCAGATAGTACTATGAATGTAGCTTTTTGTAAACCATGTGATTCAAAGCAAATTGATGCATATTCCTCTTAGTTCGGCTCATTTTTGCGCAATATTTAAAATGTCTGAATAAGATGAATACATTTCCAAGGTGATTTTAATGTCACAACTTTATTCATTGATGTAAATGAAGGATATAAAATACACACTGAGGCGGATGTATTTCTGAATATGTGGGACAGCATTTCCATGTAAAAGTTGCTGGCAACTCACCAGGCAGTGCACCATTAGCATCCAACTGTCTACACGTTACAGAATAAGATACAATGAATAACTCGAAAATAATAAATACTAGAAAATTAAGTATCAACACAATAAACAGTAAACCCCCATTAAAATGGGTCAGAAGACGTGCAATGATGTCAGAGTCCTAGTCCCCTTCTTGTGATGAACCTCCAGTGAGAACGTACAACGTGACCTGACTGGCCTCATCGACACTGGCGGTGGGCTCCTCAGTCCTCTGCTCCTCCAGCAGCACCCCTCTCAGTTCTACCTGCAGCTCTGCGGGAGCTGCCCCCGGGCATTCGCCCTCAATCTGACCACTGTCATCCTCCTCCTCCTCCTCCGCTTGACTACTTTGTCTTTCCCTCATCAGCTGCTCTGTCAGTTCCACACTTTCGTAGCGAATCAGTTGCAGCCGCAAGAAGCCGTCCTCGTGCTCCTTGTACCTGGCCGAGCGAAGAAGAGGCCATCAGTGCTGCCACACCGCACACATCCCTAATTCACCATCACTGGGTTGATTTCTTACAGGCAATTGAATACTTACCTGAAGCGTGGGTGTCCGGAGGGCCATTTGAACTGGTGCTTTTTGTGCAGATGGACAGTTAGGCTATTGCCCCGGGTGAAGCACTGCTCGCACACGTGGCATTTGTAGCGAGCTACAAAATTACCCTGATTCAGAAAGATAACATTTAAGAACTACAAATAACAGTAAAATCAGTTAAATTGAATAATTTAAAAGATAATCCCCCTTCACCGTATGCTCTTTTTTGTGGTGAATGTTCATGGTGCTGAGAGTGCGAGAGGTGAAGCCGCAGCTGGGAACATCACAGTGAAACGCCGGGTCACTAATGTGGGTATCCAGGTGTTTACGCAGGTCGATTAGATTCTTACAGCTGCCAACACAAAATAAAGTTTCAGAGTATTAAGAAAACAATAATGTGTACGTTTCACAACTACATCTTGTTTTGCCGTGATGAAAGAAGAGGATGGATACCTGTATTCACAGTAATCACAGCTGTACGGCTTCTCGTTACTGTGGCGGAACTTAATGTGGTTGCGAAGTGAAGAGGGTGAAGGACAAGTCATGTCGCACAGCGGGCATTTGTAGTGGCTCACTGTACCAGCGAGAAAAAGATGAACCAGTCATGAGATTATACATTGATGACACCTATCTGTCAATGTTTCACTTAGCACAGGCATTGACTAAAGCCCTGCAGGGTGATATGATGGCTGCAATTCAAGGCTACAATATCTAAACATGCAAGGATATTATTACAGGCTCCTGCACAAACGTCTACCTGAGAAATGCAAGGAATGTTGTGGAAAACGGTTGTACGAGTTACAACCGGGTGAGATTCTAAATTATTCAGCTTAAACATACAAAAAGGAACAGTGTCATCTTTAAACACTGGCGAAGGAGGGACTGACCGTGGGTTCTCATGTGGTCTCTTAGTAGCCTCTCGGTCGCAAATCGTTTGGAACAGTGGGAACACTGGAACCTCTGTCCTAAAACACACACAAAGAATTTTTAGATGGTTAAATTTTGAACAGTTACAAAACGCGTTATTACGTTTCCTGTAATAATTGTGACGGGACCTTTACCTTCCATGGCGCTCTGTCGTATGATGTGGTCAAAGAACTTGGTATTGTTGGCGTACATCCCCCCACAGCCCGGACACGCCACCACCTTCTCTTGGGTGTGGCTGCGCAGGTGCTCCCGAAGCTTAGGACGCCCTTTAGCAGTGGCTTCACAATCTGTGGAGAGATTAGAGACTTAGTAACCTTCAGCGACATCATTTCTGATCTATGAATTGTTACATAAGCCGTGTTAATTCCCGTACCTTTCCATCCACAGCGTATCGAGAACGCGTGGTCTCCTGCTGGTACGTCAACGCACAGGCTGTGCATCTCCACATGGCGATAGAAAAACGCTGGGTTTTCATACGGCGGTTGCTTTAAAAGATGTGAAAAACACAGAGGAACAACTTTCAGACATATTTATAGTTCCAGCACAATTGGTTTAAACTCTTCTTCACAACCCTAACCCCAAATTAAATCTTCAATTAGTGCACCCAGCGGTTTCAGTCACTCCTTCAATCTCCTGTATCAAGTGATGTTTCCCTTCGCTCCGTTGTATGAACGGATGTAGCTGAACCGTGTCAGTAAATATTTACGTAATCTTGCTGCGCTCCGTGTGGAATTTACCTCACAGTCCTCCCACAGACAGATGAAATTGTCTGGGATATCAGGGATGAGGTTGCAGTTCTGGTGGCAGATGGAGCAGGTCCCTATTTGTGGCTGGCCTTTCAGCACCTGCTGGCCCAACTGCTTCAACTTTGAATGGTAGCAGTGAAAGAAAAGATGTCTGCGCAACTCTTCAGGACCATCCACGGAGCAGAACCCGCAGTCTTTCCAAAGACAGTTTCTCACCCCTACAAAAAATAAATAAAGATAACAATGAGTATTTGGCTAAAGTGGCGATGAAGTAGGGTTTCTTTCCCCCACATCATTTGATATATATTATTAAACACGGACTTCTACCACAGGCTGCTACTTGGGACTATAGTATTTAAACTCCTCACCTTCTGTCTCTTCTTCGTCCTCCTGCGCCGCGTTCAGAGCATCAAAGTGAGTTTCCGCATGATTGCAGAAATGATCCATCTGACTGAACGACTCCTGGCACGAGCTCCACTCGCAAACCAGCGTCAGCGTTTTGTCATGGATCCGTTTGTTAGGAGGCATAGCTCTGAATGGGAAACAGGCTTAAATGTAGAGTAGTTCAACCACAGACCGAAGCGACGAACGTCCACCAGGTTTGAGCAGAACCTGGTGCTAACTAGCTAACACCAGGTGCTGTTAGGTAACTGTAACCAGTAACTAGGAACTGTCCCTGAAACATTTACCAGTCCTCTAGAACTTTAGAAACATTGTCGTGACACACTTTAAAACAAGCAATCATTTACTGCGTTAGGTCATCAGTTGAACGGGAGCGTCAACGCAATAATATGCTGTTCAAAAGCAAAGAATTGGGATAAACTGTGGTTTTGGCCGAGCAAAAGAAACGCGGGCTGTGTGCTGAGCAAATGTGTCCCTGTCAACAACGTAGACGTCTATAGTTCCGGGTGTAGCGTACCGGTTTACCATAATCCCCCCGTGAATGACTTTAACATATTAATACATATACTTATACGTACAAAACAGACTGTCCACTCAGTGTCGGACTCTACAGTAGTAGAGCCTGCTTGATACTGCATTTTTTAGGTTGTGATTGACTCGCATCTATAAAGTCAGATGAAAACATCAGAACTTTTTATTAACACAAGGCATAACATAAATATCCATTGTTTATGGCAATCCTTTTTAAGATACTTTTCCTTTTGATAATTAAAACACTGAGCTGACTTTTACTTGTAGTAAAACATTTATTCATCTTCACCTGGTTCCTTAAACAGTAAATAAAATACCAGCAATAATAATGATGGCAATCATTATATTTTCATTTTCTGAGGTTTAATTTCTTTATTTTAGACTTCCATTTCAACAGTAAAGTTTCTCACTCGTATTTACATTCCTAAGCAAAATATTCCAGTGCCAGTTTACTTCACATTGATATCCGCTGAAACCTTGGGGGGAAAATGAATACCAGATAAAAATACAGCTATAATACCAAGAAGGGTATGAATGATTATCATTTTCGTCATTCTCACCCATCTTCTGCCTTAGTATCGTTGTTGACAACTCTTTTAATGTCTTTTTACCCATCTCCACCTAATTCTTGGTATTCAAATTGATTATAGCCTCATCTCATTGCTTTCCTTCACAATGATTATTCTGTAAGGTAACCAACAAACAATAATTGTATATTAACTAATTCAGTAATTTTACTCATGTTGCATGGCTTGATAATCACAATAAATTAGGTTTTCTTGGGCAGATTTTCACTAAGCCATCTCACCTTAAACAGCAGAATCGTGTAAAGGGCCGCAGGGTGAACTTTTCACACTTTCTCAAAGCACTTCTACATCCATTAAGCTGTTATCAAATCAAAACAAGTTAGTGCCATCAGCCACTAATGTTGGTCGACCCGAAAACCAAAAGGTCATTCCCACGTTAAAAAACAAGTACAAAAATATACTTTCGGGTTGGACACATAAGATCACCAAGTCTCAGTTACTTTTTCGATCTCGCAATTACTGAAATTAAGGAGAAAAGTACACCGCTATTTACGTCAGCCCCTAGCAGTTTTATGTTTGAGCACATGTGAAAATGTTGTACAAAGTGAAACATAGCTTTGAACCTTGCATTAGGTGCATACTGCAAGCAGAGTCTGATGCAGAAAAGTAACAGTGAGGTAATGGAGTCTATCAATAGACCGATGAGTCTGTAAAAATAGTCCCATAAAACATCATATCTTCTCAGTCAATGGTTTCTCCTCTTTCTCAGACTGCTGTCTAGACGTCGTAGAAGAGACGCACCAGATGATAGCGGATGCCGAAGGCAGCTACACTGCCCATCACCTGGGAGAGACACAGAAAAGAACAAGGTCAGCGAAACATCTGCGTGTATCCCAATGACCGACACTATTCCATGGCATTTGTTAGACCTGTATGACGAGCATGATGACTGTGAGGTCTCTCTCGTGAGTGGGACCGAGTAATTTCAGGACCAGATTTATTAAGGTCATGTTGTTGCACTCAATAAAATCATCATCTCCCTCTTGGCCTCTTCGCACCTCGAGCAGCTTTAATAACTCGGCCACCTGTTGAGGATCATAGAAAAATTGTTGTCATTACCCAATAAACAGGACAGTACACTTGCCACTCTACTGTGTGTTCACCAGGCTATACCAGTACTTTTTATATTAACCTTGCTACGAGACCTTTGAATCGCTGTCCACAGTTTTAATGGTGTCAGCAGGTACATAAATTGATTTAATGAAACAAAATAAAAGTTCTCTCCGATTATCTAACAAGTGATATGCAAGTTTACTTAGGGGGTCTGTAATACTAACTAACTAGTCTGCTAATGTTGTTGCTGCTTAAGGTTTTACTGCGTCTGCAGTGCTACCCAGTAGCTTTCATTGACTGAGGGTACATGTTACCCTCATGGGCAGTTCTGTGTATGTACTGTGTATGATGAGCAAGCCGTGCAAAAGCAAAGCCAACAAGGCCGCTTAATTCTGACACTGCACACGGACACTTGATATAAGCAGACATTTGAGGACAATATCTTGGGCTAGAGGAATATACAATTTTTCTCACATTTAAATACGAGAGTTTTAGAGCTTTACCTTCATGATGAGGTTTCCTAATTTAGAGAGGTCCTTTCTTTTGAATTTAGAGTAGCTCATCCCCAGTTTGCCTGTGTCATGATTCAGCCTTTCATGGGAGAAAGTCAAGAGGGTGAATGGGCAACATTAACAGTACATAATCAGCAGAAATGACAGGAAATAATGTTGAAAACTAGTTTTAAGGTTGTTACCTGGGGAGCCGGTGTCTGGGACAGGGGATGACATGAAACAGTTGAGGCAAGGAGTAGACAAAGTTAACCACTTGAGGAAGGAAGAAGAGCAGCATTGTTTTGCTGAAGTGTCCCAGGATGCCGACTACAGCAAAGGTCATCCCGGCAAAGTAGCAGAAAGTGTCTCCAACAAACACGGATGAAGGATACCTGAGAGAAATAGAGGCACTAACATAATACATGCCGCTGTATTTTCAATAAAATGTCCTCATGCAATCGGTTTAACTTACCAGTTGTGGTAGAAAAGTGCTAATGTTGTGAAGAAGAATGGTATCATAAAGTAGAGTGAGAAAATATGGTCCTCGCGATAATCTCCTGATAACAACGAAACATGTTCAGTCATTTGCAAGATAGCCACAGGAAAGAAGTTCACTTTTATAAATGTGGCTATATGAAACAGCCACAATTATAAATCATGCTGCTCCACATTCAGTCTGAACAGGGTGATTCATTTCCACCTCTCTGATACAATAATTCAACACATATTTCCAAACTACTTGCACTTGTTTGAGGATTTTAAAAGTAAAGTTATCCAAGTCCAAGTGTGTGGTCTGTAATGCTGGTCATACGAAAGGAAACAGCCACACACCACTGAGCTCCAGCAGGTTGAAGACGATGATGGAGCCGGAGATAAACAGGGCCTGACCTGACTCAATGCCATTGATGCCAGCTAAGATGTTAATGGCATTTGTGCAGAAAACTGCAAGCATCCCCATGTAGACGTAGTAAAGAATACCTGCGGAAGATCAAACATGACATGAGTTTGCAAAGTGAGTGCATCCATACAAGACACAGTATCCACGAAACAAACGTGTAATGTGTTGCTCCAAAACCTGATGTATGTCAATCAGAATAATGGGAAGAAAATCTAACAGCTAAAGACATTCACTATATGTTTTTGAGGGAGATACGTTTTCACCGTTGAAGGAGTAACCCTACGGAGGTCATGGTGGAAGAGGGTGTGTATCCTTATGGTTGAAATGCACTTATGGTCAGTCGATCTGGAGGATGTGACGGGTCCCAACCAGACAATGCTGCTGACAACATCACAACTCACCCAAGTCCAAATGCAGCCCGAGCAGGGCCCTGAAGGGCTTCGGCACCACGATGACCGTGTTGCCGAAGTTGGTAAAATACACCATGAGCAGCGGCAAGGAAGCCATGGTGGGAAGCAGGAGCTTGTGTCTCCAACGCAGGTTCAGCACGTCGTCAGCAAAGCCCAGGAAGATCATGCAACAGATGGCCAGAAGTGCACCAATCAACTGTACAAACTGATCCACCCCCCAGGAAGAAGACAACAACACAGAGAACATAGTTGAGTTTCAGATTTGAGAGGAACAAACAGGTGTGCTGCAGGAGCATCGGTCGACCCACCTCGTCGTGTGGGAAGCCCATGCACTGATCGCCTACAAAGCAGCTGAGGAAAGGCACCGGGATGAAGCAGAAAAGGATGATGAGGAAGACTGTCCCACTGATGACTCCTTGGGACTCTGGGCTGAGAAAAGGATGGACCAGGAAGAGAAACTTACTGCAGGGAATGAGCACATTTAGCTTCCAACCCAGACACATTAAATGTGATCACGGATGAGAAATCTTAGCATAGACATAGTATAACATAGACAATTACTCACACTTCCTTTTTGGAGGTTTTGTTTAGGTCCATTCCGTACAATCTGGCTGAGATGAAATGGTCTTTGAAAGCAGGAATGAGTTTCAATGTGGCCATACAGCCCAGTACAGAAAATAAACAGTTGATCACTAACGGCAGGACGGGTACTGGTGACATTTTTCCAGACATTTTGGTTGGTCTGTCTCTAATAAATCAAATCACGTTTCTAGCTAATTGCCTCCCTTCAGGTCGATCGATGAGCGAGTTTTGGCTGTCTTCCGTAATGTAAACACGTGTCATATCGCTATTTTAAAGCGTGATACATCTCCGTGTTTCCGGTGTCAAAGAAAAATAAGTCCACGAGTTGCGGTGGTGGTCCATACTATTCTGCATTACGGGTTATTGCTGCTAATATCGGCTCACCGCCTTAATGTCTGAACTCCACGTATGTTTAAGCACATCCCGAGAGTTATAGAGGTGGAACTTCCGGACAATTTATTCAAAGTAAAATATTATCCAAAACAAAACAAGCTGTAGCATTAGTGTTCAAAAAAATAAACACATACATTTAGTTAATGTGTTTTATAAACACAATACCACTGTATTCGTGGTGTTGTTCAGACTGTTGTCTCCGCGCTACGTTATTGCTCTCTTGACAGACGTGTAAACAAACATTTAACTTTAACAGCTTCCGGCCACTGCAGTGTTGACACGGAAGTGACGTCTCCTGCTGCCGCCGGTGTGCTTGTCCGCTGTCAAAATTCTATTAAAGTCCATAAGTCTTCCTTCTTTCTTGTCAAGAAAACCATGAAGCTTATTTAACAGCCAGCTCTAAATAAAATTCAGGACACGTGACTGTGTCGGTGCGACGAGCTATACTTATTTATTATATCATTCTAACAAGAATATAGACTACTGATGGAATACGTACCACAGTCCATAACTTGTTACAATGCAAAACTGTCAAATAAAAAAACGTTGTAATCAAAAAATGTTTTTACCAAAACACATCTTCAAAATCATGTTTTTCTTTTCTTTTCTATCATCATCATGTATGTATCACACAAATGTGTTCTGGTTTTACTTTGAAAGGTTTGCTTTTCACTTCCGTTTGCGTTCCTCTCCTGCAGTGCCACCGGCGCACCGCTGCTGCTCTCGTTCAAATCAGCATCGCAGAGAGATGACAGAGGTACGACGGTACGACCGCCGGCGGATAATTGAAACCCACTAATATCTGTAATGAACAAACAGATATTTCGATAAAGGCCGCAGAGAGACACCAGTCCAGACGCCGCGGAGAATTCGGAGATGGGACAAACATATTTATTGTCGGATGCACATCGCTTTGAAACCAGTTTCACGTCCCTGATTAAATTGCTTTCGATTCCCCTGCAGCCTGCAGATCGGACTGTGTAAGTTTAAACGGTGGGTCGTTCTGGAGCCACGACGTGTTCGTTGTGTCCGCTGAACGGAGCTGCGTCGCTGATAATGCACGATGCATTCCATCTAACGGACGTACCCTTTGCGCTGGTTTAGTGCATGGGCTTCTTCTCCATAGACACACGCCTGATCTTTTTTAACCTGATTTAAAAATAATTTAAAAAAAGCTCCTTTTAAATTAAAGAGGTCAAAGCCACCATCTCGGCGCATCCTTTGTGTATTTTGCAGTTATTCCTCATTTCCAATTTGCTAAAAACCCTTTGAATCTTTTGATGCCACTCACAGGCAGCTGATCGGCTCTGAGTGACAGTCCTGATATTTCCTTCCGGACCTGGTGACATGAGAGGCTCCAGGAGACGCTGATGGAGCTGCAGGAGTTGTGCTGGCTGTGTTCGGTGGGGCTCTTTCTAACCTCCTTGCTCATTGTGCTGGGATGGCTGTTCCAGTACCTGCTGACCGTACTGTGCCTGTGGAGATCCAAGAAGACAGCAGAGCGGGACAAGAAAGACCCGCCCCGGCAGCAGCTCCCCCTCACGCAGCCCCGCCAAAGCCCGGCTGGAGGTGTCTGGGGATTCTTGCTGAAGCTTCGCTCGGGCCGGGATGGAGGAGTCATGCCTGAGGCCGGGGTCAAAGGCTTGTTGACCTCTCTGTTCTCCTTTAAGTCCTTCAGGGAGCACTGGCAGATGACCTGGATCAAGGCTCTGAACGAGCAAGCCTGCAGGCATGGGGTAAGTTGATAATTTCTAACCCGGGGCATATGTGGAGATGAAGCACGAATGGTGTGGCAAGTGTGAGCTGAATAAACATGATGTGTAAAGGAGGACGCCTAAGTTCACTCCATCAGGCGCAGGCATGCAAAGTTGAGCCAGGCCTATGCAGGTGGTGCGCTGGAAGTGTGTGTAGGCAGGGAAGCGGAGGTGTCGGAGTGTCTAATCGACGAGAGGATGGGGGGGCCGAGCATTGCGTAACCGCTCTGAATCAATGCACATAGGAGCTGAGAGGAGAGACCAGTCAGCGGAGCCATGGAGCGAACACCCACGCTTCATAAAAATAGTCTGATACCCCGGTCGGTGGGGGTGAAGAGTCTACATCAATGTTGTTGCTCAAGACCGAAGTACGGTTGACTCACTTTGCCTGCAACTCCTAATCGTGATTTATTAAATGATATGATAACCCCAATAAGTAACTGATTCACATAGACACTCTGGATTCAGCGCGGTACCGACAGTCCGCCACATATTAGAGGCTATTGCAGGTTTCCAAAGGTCTTTCTCCTTTCAAATGGTGCTTTGATCCGTGTGACTCAAAGTCTGACACACAGTCAGATGCGTGCGATGGATCCTCAACTCACCTCACTCAGAAATTCTGTGTGTTTGGAAGATGAGTTGGCGGGGAGTTAAATAGAGGTCAGATCAATCCTCAGCCAGCGGCACTCAATTCGAATTCATATAGGTCACCTTGCTGCGACTGACGGAAAGCCTCCCTCAGATGTTCAAGTGAACACTTTGTAGAAATACTCGTTCAGTGATGGTGCACGTTTTGTGTATTGGTTTGGAAACAATATACTCTCTCTCGCTTAGCCTAACCATGCAAATGATAGGCCACCGCTTGTTAAGTTATCATGTCCAACCTGCTCAAATCTAATCTTTTTTTACTCTGCTGACAAACACACAACAAGCATGAGTAAAGAATATATTATGATATAGTTCCTTCCAACAGAATACTAGTTATTATGCTTGGGCTATAATCTAATTCATCGACATTCATTAGTAGTGTATCGTGATGTAATCATGTGTTGTGTCTCATGATTCAGGGCAAATTGTTGATTTTAAAATAAAAAATATATTGTAGTATACAAGTAAAGTTTTATTTGTTTTAGTACATATCACTAAAACAAAAATAATTACACATCTGATTTGGGGTACATTTGCTATATTGTGATGTACACATTGGAAATACTGTGAATAACATGATTATGATTTCAACTCAATCAAATTTGTTGGTAGCCAGGCGAGCTGTTTTCCTCCCTTTCCAGTCTTTATGCTAAACTAAGATAAGCTAATCGCCTGTTGGATCGAACTTCACATCTAAGGTATAAGAGCAGCATTGATTGTCCCGTCTAACTATCTGGGAGTAAAAGTGTTCCACTCTGCCTTTAAAGCCGGACAGTGTTTGTGTGAAGAGTACAGTGTCCTCTACGGGGACGCGTGCAGTCTAATGTACTGTACAAACTGCACAAACATGTTTCTTTGTGTTAATCCTTCATGGTTAGAGGTCCTGCGTGTATTTTCTCTGCATACCACATATGCCGCAGCTTTAATCCAGCTGCGTCTGTTTTTAGTGGGAGCCATGGGATTGTTTGGAACTGCTTCCCTTTCAGATGTGACGATAAATGGGAGCGTGCCAACTGAGTTATCTTACAACGGCCTAATTAGTTGATCCTTGGTGACCTTCTTTGCTCTCAGTTACCAAGAAACTCTCTGCATCACTGGAGTAAACCTTCGATGAACTTGTGTTAAGTGCGAGTAGGATTAATTTATTAAAATTAGATCAGTTTTCCAGGTGAGAAATCCATTGAGAAAACACACAACTTGCTGTTTGGAATATACTAAACGCACAAGAAAGACTTTAGTAATGGCATTTCAAGGGGATGTGTTTTGTAAAAAAAAGGAGGTTGCTAGGGGTATTTTTGTGCATAAGAACCTTCATGCTCCTCCACGGGATTAATCTGTAATGACTGTAGGACCTTCAGGCTTTTGAAATGCCTACAGAACCCAGTAGACACGAGGCTTTCTACCCGGCGGTGATGAAGCATATCATGTTTGCTGTAAGATAATTCTCCAGACTGAGCAAATGCGTCAGGGGGGGACGGGGGGGGCAGGCAGAGGCAAGCACTCGGTGTCTGTCTGTCCATGTGGTGTTTGGTTTGTGAACCAGAGAGTGTGAGCCAAAGCGTCCCATGAACTATCGGCTCGTCATTGTGTCTGCGTGCAGAGACATCTGTTATTCTAAATGTGTCTGCGCCGAATGCAAATACGTTGGGAGGATGTTAATAAGACCTTGAGTCTGATGTTGAAAAAAACAAATCACAACTGTGTCTCGTTGAATAGACATCCAGAGCCGGTGTGACCTCGTGATCCAAGACACCGCCTTTGACCTGAGACTAAAAGGTCACACGTTTGGGCCTGCATTCATTATTAATCTGTGAGATCATACATTCATGGTATACTCTGTCTTCTGTTTGGTTGGTTCTTCTGGTGTTTCACCTCCTCACTACAAAGACAGCTTGGGAAAAACCTGCCGTGTGGAGTTTGTGGAAGTGTTTCAAGTATTAGTAACATCGCATTCGTCACCTCGCACGCACAATAAGCATCTGCCACCTGCCAGGCGCGCCGCCTCGAAAAAAAAACACACTAGAGCAGCCGGGCCTGGGCTATAATCCCGAAGACTCGGCGTTCTCCTCCAACTCGCGTTTCCTGATTATGTTTCCACATCCGGCAAAACATGGAGCTTCTGAGCAGGAACACAGAAGCCCGATAGCGCTTCAGTATCATCAACGTAGGGATTAGCACGCGAATCCTTTTATAGCGTTTACCTGCCGGTAACTACTTCTGCGGAATTTAAGGTTGATGCCGAAAGAGGCCTTTAAATAGTTATGTGGAAATGTATCCCAAATATAGGCAAGTTGAATTAGCTGGCATGGAATGTTGGCACAATAAACAGCATTAGGGTGGATGTTTGTTTTACTCGCCACCGTGTAAGAAAGACGCACAAACACTGCAGAAGATTACATTCCAAAACTTTCCATCCAAACCCTCCATGAAATAATTAAAAGTAGAGCTGAATTGATGAAACGCAAATTAATCAGCAACTGATCTGACAAAAGGATTAAGTGATTAGAGGTCTTATTCGCGGCCTTGAGTGTGCAGTACAGCCCACCATAAAAGTTGTGCATTTCATATCTTTTGAAGCGTAAGGCTTTGATTTTGTTCTCTCTGGCTTTCCATAGTTCAGCCAATGCTGAAGTAATACTTCTGACATCGAGCTCAAAGGCAGTGAAGGATGTAAGACTCACACAGCGACTCTCTTCTGATCTTTGTGAAAATGTGTGTTCATTTCAGGACACTGTCATCCAGTCACTCTGATTTGAGCTGTTTGCAGTAACATGGAAGAACCTTATGGATATTTCCATCACAAAATCATGGACTTTTTGTTTATGTTATTAATGCTTCTATTGTGTGTATTTGGTCTCCATGGGGGGTTAGCGATCTTCGGTCGCCGTCCGTAGTATTTGAATAACAGTAAATAAATAAAAATAAACAGTAAAAGTGTAAATGCAACCAGCTTTCAGAACCGCTTCTGTTGAGAGGCGTCAGAAGGCCGCCTGACGACGCTCCGTCCTGACGGGAGGCCCGACCCCGACCCCCATGTACAAAATGCTTTGGGGTGTTGTTGCATAAATATACAAGAAAAGCGGCACACGCGCTAAAGCGTTCGTTGTAGGGACAAGAGACTTGGTGTTAGTGGCAGGGCCGCATTCAGCTTCTGCCTTGAAGATATTTAGCTACGGTTATTTCTGTCTTCATCCCCTCAATTTTAACTCTGAATTGTACACGCTGAGGTATGCAATTGCCTTTAATATATTTGTGGAGACAATTGCTACCCAAGGGTGAAAAAAAGCCGAAAGGAGGAGGTAGTTGCATCACAATTTTACAGATATGTCTAGTCTGGACTCCCACAATGTTACTCCAACAATGTTGATCGAAGGATTACCACTTGCTGCATAAAAAAAAGAATGTGTAGATTTCCATGTATTCCTGATTGCTCACTAGATTAACTTAAAGCATAATTCAGATTTCGCTGTATGCGTTCAAAGATGAATAGGCTTTCATTGAACACTCATTGGTTTGAACAGTTGTTACAGACACCTCAGTCTTTTCAGAAGCATAAAAAACACCTCCGGCTCTTTTTGGATAGAAACCCCACTATGTGGCTTCTTTCACGCCTCAGTTGTTCATCCAGAGAGAATGTCTCTCTGTTGAAGTATTACCGTGGAAGCATCTGGATATAATCTTGCCTTGGCGTGCAGAATTGATACGAAGCTGTTGAGATGTTTGAGGGGCCCGAGTGTCTCGTGAAGGACTGAACTGGTGGGACTCTTCAGATCAGAACTCAAACCTAAACTCTATGGGCATCTGCAGCTGTCAGATGATGACAAGGCAGCGTCACTGCGCGCAGCGAGGAGGACAAACAGAGCGAGCATCTGCAGAGAAGGAAGCTCCCTACAAATATCAAGAGCGTGGTGATTGTCTTGAGGCCACAGTTACCTACTTCCCTCTCTGACTGCGAGAAGCCGGTAGATGATTAATGCCGTGTGATGATTTTCAAGTACATTTCTTCTTAACGACAGGGAACGTTAAGCAATCCGCGCTCATTTCCATTGACTCGCCGAAGGAAACTTACGTCAGTCGATGATTCAATTTTTAGCAAAATACATTTGTAGATTTATTTATACTGCAGTTAGAGTTGTTAGCCGTTAGAATGCTAACGTTCCCAACAAACATTGCAAACTCCCAAGCCAAGCTGTTAGCGTGGGTAAAAAAAATAGTTCTGTCACTCATGAAACCAGCGTGTGGTGTATGTAGGCTAAGTGCATTAACTGCTACCAATGATGAAACATCAATTGTTAGATGTTTTACAATCAACGGCTATTTAGACACCAACACGTTTGTACCCTCTTGTAGACACAGTATTGCAAATAAAGCAGGAAAGGAAGATGTGGGTCAACAAAAGCCGGGGGGCTTTTCTGGTTGACCCACATGCTCTATTGAGGCGTTTAGCCAGTTGAACCCAAGGGGGTGACGCTGACAAACTAGAAGTGACAACGTGGATGTCCTCAGGAACCGTCTCCTTCCAGAAATACCTTCCTCACGCACACACACAGACCCGGTATTTCACAAGGACAAATCAGAGGTAATGCTGCTGGCGTTGCCCTTCATATGACACAATTAGCTCTGCAGACTCTGCCAGGAGGATGCACATCACCACAGAGCACCAGATGGCAACCTAAAAAAGCAATGGCTGCAAATATCTTAGTTAAATGTCTGGTAAATAAATAAAATAGTCTCTCAGCCACACAAGATTATTAATGACACAGTATTTGGTGTGTCTTGAAGTCATTTTGAAAATGTTGGTTTGTCTTCGCCATTATTTACATAAAAAAAACCTTTTGTCACGCTTGTCATGAATTGTCATTTGGTTTTTAGGCATGAAAATTGCAAAATTAGGGCAACACTGGGGAGTGTGGTGGTCTAGTGGGGATGTGTACCAAATAAGCAAAACATACACTACATATAAAGAATAGATATAAATATTTCTATACACATTCATTAAAATATTTGTATATAATCTATTGTCATAGCTGCTTTCCCCTTGTATTTCCGGTTTATGTCTAAACCATCAGATACCCAATGGAGGCAAAATGCAGGAAACCAATTAAAAATGTAACTATTTAGCTCATGACTGCGGAATGCGAGTGTCCCTAAATAAATACTGACATTTAGGAGTATTTGCTTACAACCATTTGCCTCACCGAAAAGATGTGAGTAGGGTTGGACTGCGGTGACACGCAGTCAGAATCTCGTGATTAATCGGCTGCTCACATATTCGTTGTGCACTTGTAATGAACGGGCGGCTGACTGAACAGTTTCAGAAGCTCCAGCCAAACAGAGTAAACACAGGCGGTTGTACGCTCGAGTCATGTGGCTGCAGTGGACGTCCAGGGAACGTTTGGCTCCCTGAAACACTGACACACACACACACACACACACACCACAAACTTTGTTATATCATCCTCCCAACTCTGCCCCGCCTCCACTGCTGTGTTTGGTAGAGATTGGACGGGGACCTAGAGAAACATATGCCTTGACAATAGGGGATTTGTTTTCTCTCTCTTGCATCTCTTGAGCCAGTCTATTGAAACAGATCCTCTGACACACACACAAACACACACACAGAGTCACAAGCAGTCAGCGTCACATACCCTGTACCATCGGCACGAGAAAATAATCCTACATTAATAATTTTCACTCTTTTCACGCGTTCACAAAATCTGCCAAAAGGAACATTTATGTTCATGCGAAGCTCGTGTGGTTGCTGCGGCAGGGAAACAGAAACATTGTTGGATTAGCAAGTGGATGAGTTGATCATTACCATATGTGAATAGAATCACTGATTGAAATGGGGATGCATGGTGAATAACGGCTTACCAGCAGCATTAAAGGCTTCATCGCTGCAGCACAGTCTTTGCTGTCAGCCCCGAGTGTCAATCTTCTTTTCACTTATGTAATATTTAGAACATTCTTTCTCTTCCTCTGTCCCTCCAAGAGCTCCATCCAGATCACCTTTGACAGCAGCCTCCAGTTAACTGCTGCTTCTGCAATAGATAGTGTGACCTGCACAGAGCAATCGGCTAATCGTATGGTACGTAATCTGATGCTGTTAAATACAGTTGTAACTAATGAATGACTTTTTTGGCCATTTTTTTTTCCATAGCCATTTGTTTCCTGCCATCCTCTGACAGCCTCTTCTTGCTTTACAGGTTTTACACTGTAAATGTTGGGTGGAGACAGTGACGTTTCCTGTGACGGTCACTCAGCAATCGCCGGCTGCCATTTCCATGGAGACCTATCAGATCACTGTAGCACCGATGGTGGCTAAGGTACAAAAGCAAGCTGCAGGGATCATTGCAATGTGCACGACCGAGGACAGGCATCTAAAACCAATTGTAATTATTTATTTGCATTCAAATAGGAAGATCCTTTTGTAATGTACTTTTCATTCAAAAATTTAAAATATATTTGACTATCCATCCAATTGCCTCTGTTCGTGCAGTAGTGCAGGTTCCAATCGAAAGGTTGATGGTGTCATTATTATTTTATAACCATTATATTGTGCAATTAATATTTACTTCATAATGCAAAGTCAAAAAGGTATTTATTTTCCCTTTTAAGACTATATTCACTTTGGAAGTGATTTTTCAACTGAAATATTTTCTGCTTATTTTTGTTGCTTACAAATGTCACCGGTTCATCATAAAAATTAAATCGTGTGGAGATTATTTATTAATGAAAAAGACATACTGTATCAAGCTGCTATTGTCTCTTGTCAGGTGGTGGTGTCTCTGGAGGAGGTGGAGGACGAGGGTCTGCTGATGTCCTGGACTCTTTCCAAGCAGCCATCGTTTACTCTGAGTGCATCTCCGTGCAAGCTACAGAGACTAGTGAGAATATCAGATAGTGATACCACCAAAATGATGTCCGTCTCATATAGTCAGCGGAGGTCTCGTTTCTCAGCCTGTTTACTCTTTGCAAACTAGGTTGCACAAATTCAAAAGGCTGTTCTTGAACACGTTTAACAACAGCGATAAAGTAAGAAATTGAGTAAGATGATATCAGGCGTAAGAATGTATTAAAAGCCACAGTTTTGTCCACAGTTGAGATTGTTGAGCCCCCCGTAGTTTATCATCAGGGAACAATCTGCTGCTTCTTTTTTATCCCAGGGCACTGAGGCGGGTGCAGACCTGGACATGATTAAGGGGCTGATAGAGGACACTCTGTTCAGCACTCAGCCGGCGATGGTCCTGAACCTCAAGACTTGCGCATCCAGTCCTCCGGTGAGAAAAAACATACTTTCTGCAACAAGCTGCAATAAGAGGAAACAAATCTACAACTGGATAAAGAACGATGGAACCTTTACTCTGCACCATTCTTCTTCCCACTCCCAGGCTGCCACGGACCATTTGTCAGTGAGATTGAACTCCTTAAACCAGAACGTCTCGGTGAAACGACTAATGCTGCGGCAGCTCAGGGCGACCTTAAATAAAGGTCGGACGTGCGTCCTCGTGCCCGAGCATCGGATCATTTCCGCCCGGCTTCCTGCAGATAGCCGAGGTCTGACTGTCTGGCTTTCTCTACGCAGGTCACTGGTCCAGATCAGGGGAGCTGTGCTGTGTCCTCAGCCTGGACCAACCCTCCACAGAGAGGGCGACATGCTTCCTGCCTGTGCCCAGTGACCCCAACGTCCCACTGGAATGGAGCGAAGAAATCACTCTGTAAGATGGCGGCCATGAGCTCCAGTTTATTGGTCATGGTTTTACAGGCTCATGCCGACATTAAGGGCCCTGCAAATTGATTCTCTCGATCAGCCAGAACAGTCATTATTATGTCACATGAGAGATTTCTGTTTTTGACGTTTTGTTTCTCTGTTTGCTGATTTAAAGTGGGTGACGTCTCATTACGTGCACCCATAAGGATTTAGAAACATTTAAATCAGAATCGGATGACGGTTAGTTTATAAATACATTTATGAATAATGTGACTGTTATATAGGCAGGAATATTAATGTCGTAAAACATTATTTAAGATTTGATGTGTTCAAGAAGAGTCTGCTCGAGGAAGGAGACCCACTGTCTGCATTGAGGGGCTTTGCTTGAATTCTAACACAGTCGTTTCCTTTGTGTTGAAGGGAGTTGTGCCAAGTGACCAAAGAGATGAGAGTACGACTGCTGGAGCGGGACGGCCAAAAGGAACGTAAGGCTTCGCTCGATAGCACTTGAGTGTTGGCTGCGCCTCAGAAACCTGATCAGCAGGAATGTTTCAGACTGCTTCAGCTAAATCTTCATGCCTGAAATGCACCATTGGCAGGTTCACTGTAATCATTAGGGGCTTTAAGGATGTTTAAAACCTCATGCTTTTTCTTACAATTGTGTTAATTATGTTAAAACCGGATAGAATTCCTGCCCGGCCATGGCTGCATGGCCTTGGACCTCCGGTGCAAAGTGCCCACTGGACAACATACACTGTCGATCAGTGCCGACCGCGGCCTGCTGGCTCCCATCGCCTCCGTCAGCGTAGAGGTGAGGAACGGGATGCATCTCATTTTTGTGAAAACGACGGAAAGCTCTTTCACAGCCGTTCTCATGCTTTGAAGTGTACATTTGCATCGAGCGCGATTATTGAGCACAAGCAAGCTGGAACGAGACAAAGCTTGACCGCAAATGGAGAGCAAGTGTTGTATATCAGCTGTTGTATATCAGCTGATGCATTGTTCTACATGTGATCGCTGTCTCAGATCTGCCAGTTGCCTTTTTTTCCATTTCTTGCATCCATCTACGCATTTCTTTAAAGACAACACAAACGCCTGCTTCATCTCTGCAGGCTCACATTTCGTATTAGTACACACGCCCTGCTTCCCTGTACCTCTCCTACGACCCGTTCTAAGATATCAGTCTAAATGCCCTGCTTGTTGTTAAAGTGCCTACTCTCACTTCATACAATTAACTAAATATTAACTAATATTCTTGATCCGCCAGCTGCATTACGTGGAAATAGAGGCGCCCCGCGGTGCCCACAATGCTTTTCCACTTCCGCGTTCCTCACCCACCCCCTCCAAGAAGGTCGACGTGGACCGAACCGTCATGCCAGACGGAACCATCGTCACCACTGTCACCACCGTCCAGTCTCGACTGAAAGTGGGCCGCAGCCCAGGTGGGTGCACTACCTGTATAGTACTGCGTTGTGTCATATTCAGAGTACGAGAAGATCTGTGATAATAATGGCAACGACGTGGAATATCTGTGATGCCGTTCAGGTGATTCTCCTTTGCATTCGCCGTCCAAAGTGGAGGTGACTGAGAAGAAAGCCACGATCCTGTCAGATGGCGGAAGCAGCACAAGCCCCAACCTCAGCAGTGAGTTTCAGACCGTATGCCAGACGTGGTTTTACAAATAGAAAGTGGGATAAGCAGTGAGTTGCGTCGTAACACAAGATACGTTTATATGAAGGAAGTAACAATAATTAATTTGGTTTTACAACATGTTTACACAGAAACTATTTCTTATCTGAAGCAAAGAGCAAAACAGTTTGATAGACCTGATAGATGATGTTTGACAGATCCAACTACATACTGTGAATGATTTCCCTTTTTTCATGCAATACAATGATGAGCTTTTGGGGTATATTTCTTATAAACCAAACCTTTTTTAATTGACTTAACTCTACCACAAAAACGTATTCAATAATTTGCACCGTTTCATATATCACACTTTACTTGTAAAGCCTGTTGCAAATTTACACCTCTGTGTGCCTGTTGCTCAGAGAGCAGCCGCCTCTCTAACGGCCTGGATCCTGTTGCGGAGACGGCCATTCGCCAGCTGACGGAGTCCGCCTCCAAAGCAGCACGGAAGACGCCGACAAAGAGGAGCACGCTGATCATCTCGGGCGTGACAAAGGTCGGGGAAGGAAAAGTGAATTGACTGTAGTGGATTGTTGAAATTTGTGCCAACACCATTTATTTAGGCATACAGTAGCGTATATTTATTTTAGTTCAATTCTCTTGGTTACAAATGTATTGCACGTCAGTTACCTGCACAGGTCTTCTTGTAAATGACAACAGGTACGAAACTCCCCGCAAAGTACAAGAGTCTACAGAGACAAAGTCTACAATAACTGGTTGCTCATTACAGATCATATTTTCGGCCGTAAGCAGATATCAACATGTCGTAAGAGATAACGGTGCTCATACTGCACGTCGCTTAAGGTTATTGAGGCTGAAAGTGCAAACGTCAGCGTCAGTAACAGTGTTTACCTGAGGGCTTTAGGATGCCATCGTAAGCTGTAGCCACAGTGCACAGCGTCCCGAGGTCCTGAAAACCCGAAGAACAGTTGCCCAAACTTTCACTTATGTTAAACACAGTTACGGAAAAAGTCAAAAATGATTTAAATATTCTTCTATTTTCCTTCAATTTCAATTTAACTAGGCTATTATATATAAGTTATGATCATAGTAACAAGCAACTTGTTTATGGACAAGATTATTTTGAACATGCTGTTATGATGAGGAAATGGCAAACTCTAGTCACAATACATGGCAGCACATGCCTGTGGCTGAAATGTAAGTTATCCTTCATATGTAAATATTAGGCACTTCTGACACATACGTAACTGTGGGCCTGTTTTATTATTATATTGTTTAATATATATATAATTCAGAAGCAACTAATGGTTTAACATATAAGTTACAGCCATAGACTGCACCTCTTTTAAAACAAACTTCCTCAGAGAGGAAAATATTAGTGGATTGCATGATCCCTGTCTGCCATACCAGCTCGGTCATCCCTGCAATGTTCAGAAGAAGTCTTAATAAATGATCTCTAGGAATGAGTGGGAGTCTGCATGCGCTTTGGGGAAGGTAGCAGAAAGACTCACATGCACTAAAATGCACGGGACGGCCCGCCTTAAAAAATGAAAGCATTCGAAGGTGGAAAAACAACAGACGTAGGGGGAGAGCAACTTCATCCTCTGCTAAGGTAGACCGTACTCTACTGTAGCTTTATGTTTGAAAATGTGCTTTACTGCTAGATTAATTGACATATAAGATATATCAACTATTACGACATGAAGCCGTGCAAAATAGGTTGGTTCTACATTTAATCCAAAAAAAACCCATTGTTCCACATTAAAGGAGAAATAGAGTTATCTGATCTAATAACACTCTCCCATCATTCTTATAACCCCTTAATTAATCATGCCGACATTTTTTGAAGGAAATTATTTGACTCAATTTATCCCAACACTCAGGTTCCACTCTCAGAAGACGACTGTGCATTATCGAGTGGCTATGCTGCAGCTATGGACGCAGCCATGCACGGAAACCACTGCGTGCCGGGGCATCACCAGGAACCAGACGACACCACACCCTCGGACCTGTCGGAGCGCCCCTCAGTGGACGATGTGGAATCAGATACTGGTTCTACTGGCGCCTTGGAGACGCGCAGCCTCAAGGACCATAAAGGTAACACCGTTGCCGTGGTTTCAGAGGTTCCACTCACATCAATCAGTAATGTGTTAATGTTTGTGTAAACGTACAAGCACTCATATTCAGCCATTCCGGTGTTTCTTAGATTGTTAAATTGCATGTTGCAACTCCAATTCCATCTGTCCATGTAAAATAAGTTTTTATTTACAGAGCACCGAGAACAGTATTTTATTTCACATCAAACAAATATTTTATAGCCTTACATAACATCAAAACTTAAATTGAGCATAATGCATTAACTGATATTCGCGCCATATAACACAAACGACTCTTCTGCCCTCTGGAGGCCCTGCTGCAGCATCCATCCAACCGGAGCAGAGAGGTTTTAGAGTATAAAACAGTAATTATGGGTTGCCACTCGTATACAGTGACGTATTCCCTGTGCTTCCTCCAGTGGGCTTCCTACAGAGTGGGACGAAGCTGTTGTTCCGCAGAAGACATCGAGAGAAGGAGTCCTGCCTCAGCCAGTCGCATGAAGACGTCTCCGACATGGGCAATAACTTTGCTGCCGCCGCTAACATCAGCCGCAAGAAGTCCGGCAGCTTCTCCCGGCGTCTCATTAAACGCTTCTCTTTCCGCTCATCAGGCAAATCGAAAGGCAAAGCTACCAACGGAGGAGCGAGCGCACTAGATAACTAATTATCATTGTTTGGGAGATTGGGGTGGGTTCCCTAACTTAAGCGTTGTTTTAAGGCCTTTGTTCATACTGTTAGAAGCGCAGATAAACCTGAAGAGAGTCCAGTCCTTGACAGGTTTGAACACTGCAGGTGGGTTTTCACCAGTGCATTTTGAAAAGAGGAGACCTCTGGAAGGGCTTTACTATGGATAAAAATCATTGCACCTTCAAGAGAGAAGTCACGTTCCATCACAGGAAAGAAGTTTAAATGTGAATTTGTAATTATTTCTTTCAAGGATAAATCTGAATTTGTAATTATTTCTTTCAAGGATAAATCTGCTGCTTAAGGAGACGATGATCATCACAATGATATGTCTTGTTCCCTGTTTGAACACAAACTATAGTGGGAGTGTTTGATTGTGACCGATGGTGAAAACGCTCTTAAACTACTTGACGATAACAGATGCCAGTATGAAACTAGCGGTTACACTTTGGGGTGTTTTTGTAACGGCACATGTAAAATTCTTCAATTGTAGAACAGTAACTTATTATTTGTGTTGTTCTCATCAAACAAGTGCTATTTAATTTACCTTGCAAAAAAGAAGTCATAATAGTTGCATTACATTGTAAAATAGAGACATTGCTGTGTTTTTTTTTCATGCAAAGTCATTTTAAACGCATAGTTAAGTAAGATCATTCTAAATCTAGCAGTCCATCCAGTATTGCTGACATATTGGTTTTAGAATGTTATACAATGTTGTATCTTGAAGGAAAAAAGTTAATATATTCATTGTACTATTTTATAAAGGTACTTTCTGTGGAATATCATAATGCATTTCAGTTTGCTTTTGAAGCTGCAAACAGCCAGGATCTCTCATAGGCTCTTCAAGCCAGGCAATAAGTTTAATGTTTTTCAGTCAATAAAAAACAATTAAGTTTATCACTATCTGCACAAATTATGGACACCTCACTTGATGCTCATTGGGACTTCAATATTGCAATATCATTATTGTGCAGCCAGACCATATTATATTGTACAAAATGCCCCACATGGGTAGCAGCCAGAATCGTTTGCAGGAAATGCTGACAATGATAATCATCATACAATATAGCAAAACCTATTGTGAATCCAGGAGCATTATCATAATGCATTTCTCATAGATTGTTTATAATACGGCATTTCTTTTAGAATAAATGCAGGTCTCACGGGAGTGACAATATTACAACAGCCATGTGGTTTAAATTGTAAAAATGTAACTTTGAAGTCTCCGGGAAGGTTCCAGAGATACTCTGCTGCTGAGTCACTGTGAGCAACTATTGTCAAAGTTTACGAAAAGGTGCTGAGTGGAGTTCATATACTCAGGGCTGGAAATTAAACTGCAACAAGCAACTTGAGATATGAGGAAACCTGTACCTAAAGCAAACAGAACCAGTATCTACAAATGTACACACAATTGTGTCCATTTGTGCTTTGTGAGAGAATATCTAAAATACTGTCACAGAATTAATTTAATATGGGACCTCAAAATAATAAATGATATGATTTTGCTAACGCTTCCAGGATATGTTTAGTAATAGAATAGCAGACGAATTACAGACGAATCACAGATGTGCAAAATTTAAGAAATGTACATTTGAAATGTTTAATTTATTGCAAATAAATTATTTTTGGAGCATCCTTAGATTACTTGTGGCATTATTTTTAGGAGGTAAGTTACATGTTCTGTCCTAATACACTGTGTCTGGGTAGAAAATGTTACTTTATATAATGATAACTGATGTTATAATGAGCTAACGTCATCATCCTGCTGCTAAGTTCAAATCTGCTCATGAATGTACGAGTTTTCATGGCTCTTTACATTGTTTCCATACTCTCACAAATCATCCGTACTAAGGAGATATACCACGTATGATGAGAATCACACACAAACACATAACCAATGATTCTCATTTCATTGTTCAGATTCATTTTACTTTTACTGCATGATATAAAAGCGCCCAAAAACTTGAAGCAGGAGGGAAGATAACCGATTGGCGTTTGATTCCCGCCTACAAAAGAAGACACACCAATAGCCTGTGACTTCCTGTGAAATAGTCAAGACTGATTGGCTTTGTTGACACGTCGAGGGCGCGGCCTCAACAGAGCCAATCAGTCTCGACTATTTTCACTCCAACAGCCAATCGCGTCTCGGGGCGGGACCAATCTTTGGGCTTATATGTAGGTTGTGCTACCAGCCTTACTACAGTTCGTTTTACGTACGATTTCAGCTATTTGCAGTGGAAGAAACGCTCAACAACAGAACATGTCTGGAAGAGGAAAGACCGGAGGAAAGACCCGCGCTAAGGCCAAGACCCGCAGCTCCCGCGCCGGTCTGCAGTTCCCCGTGGGCCGCGTCCACAGGCACTTGAGGAAGGGTAACTACGCCCAGCGCGTCGGTGCCGGAGCTCCGGTGTACCTGGCGGCGGTGCTGGAGTATCTCACCGCCGAGATCCTGGAGTTGGCCGGTAACGCCGCCAGAGACAACAAGAAGACCCGCATCATCCCTCGTCACCTTCAGTTGGCGGTACGCAACGACGAGGAGCTCAACAAACTGCTCGGTGGTGTGACCATCGCCCAGGGCGGCGTCCTGCCCAACATCCAGGCCGTGCTGCTGCCCAAGAAGACCGGCCAGTCCGCGCCGACCTCCGGCAAGGCGGGAAAGAAGGCCTCCTCCCAGTCGCAGGAGTATTAGCTTGCCGGCTAATAATCAAACCCCAAAGGCCCTTTTAAGGGCCACCCAATCGTGATTCAAAGAGCAAAGTTTCCTGTTTTATTCATTTTCCGCAATACTTTCATTCAATAAACGCTTGTTGCGTAAACGTGTTCCTCCCCATTTGTTGCTGCACTAGGCTAGCTGCTATAGCTATATGCTAATCTTGAAGTTTTGTTAGTCGGTAAACTCGTGAACCTCTTCAGCATACACCGGATCACATGAGGCGTCCTGCTTTCATTTGACCGGAGCTTCGTAGACCACCTTGTTACATTAATCGTGCAGCAGGCAGTTTCCGGTCTACAGAGACTCCTCCAGTACCGACCAAGTACGCTGTAGAACCAGCAGATTGCTCTACATTAGGTTGTAGCACGATTGTGCAGTTATTAAGTAAACGTCCACTATTAAATCTTGTAAAAAGAGCGAGTCAGTTAAGCTTTAAGCAAAGTACCGGTATATCTTGTCTCCATACTCACAGGATTCCCTGGTTCTTGCCCAGTACAACAGAGTACACTCGGCTAAAAGTAACATGGTAAAGTTCAATATGTATCTTTAAAGTCACTTTGTCTTCAGGAGGTCCAATAGTGCGTAAAATCATCTCAAGCAAACATGGGCAGCACCACAGACCAGTCTTCTAAAGGACCATGACAAAATTATTTTAACAATAACATTGTTTTCAAGGATGTAGGATTCATTGCAGCTTGATTGTCTACGTTTACCTACAAACGTGTATGAGCGGTTTGACCCCGTTTTTAGATGTAGGACAAGTTTGTTCGAAGCCCTTTGGAATTGTATTTGTTAAATCGGTAGTCGTCAGGTAGATGTCTGTGCCTCAGTGTGGTTAAAGCTTACTTTGTAACGGCTCTTCCTGACCGAGCTCCAGGTGTTTCCTTGTTACACACGAAGAAACAAACAACTGCAGCTGCTTTGCATCCTAAGCCTGAGCACAATGACATGTGACTGTAGAGCAGCAGGTAATCATACCATTGTGAGTTAATTTAATCCTTAAAAAATGCACTCTACAGTTTAACCTTCCCCATCCGGATCAGTAGTTGATGAATTAGGTAGTAAGTTGCTTAATATTTACATGGACCAGGTATTGTAGTGAAGCATTTGGATAAAGTCCCAATATATCATGGTTATAATTTTCAATAGTGTAAGACTGCAATACATTACCATTTTATGAAAACATAACTGACAATTACATCTCATACTGTACCATGTGAAGAGTTTGTGTTTATAGAGGCTTAGGGTAACGAATTTTGTCTACTTAAAAACGCTCCGCCCTCAGAGTTCCAAGTCAACAACGCACTCTGGTTTGCACATATGAAAGATTTGACTTCTGACACCTTGCCAGACATGCACAACTCACGCATTGCACTACAAATATATCCAGGAGTTGCAAAGGCAAATTGTACAGTTAAACAGACACAACTAATCAGGACAATCATGGTGATGGTGATGATGGTGCGAGTTTGCACTTCACTGACTTTGACACCAGGGGGTCAATTGTTTCATGCTTGAAAATCCGGAGTATGTGTCAACTCTGTTTCCATTTAATAACAATTGAAAACAGCTGACTGCACAAAAGCTTCTAGCAGATATTGTACACACAAACGCCCTCACCATAATAATCGAATACTGCAAAGAATTAGAGTCGTCGCCTGTGACATTGAAATAGTAAAATATCTATTATTACTTGGTTTTCTCATTTCATCTTTGTCATGTGCAGGCACAGTCACTCATAACCTTTCCACAGGCAAAGGGCCTGCCCGTATTTCTGTCTGCTTCCACTGTTTTATTAGTGGCAAAAATAGTACGACGCCACAAGGTTGAACTGAACAGGACAGGCAGAACCAATTACTCGGGACTTGACAACGTGTACAACACCGGCAGCTGAGCTAAAAATTCCAGCTCGAGAGGAGAAACTTGATGTCTGTGAATACTATAATTTCCCCATTGGCACTCTGTCAAAGACTCCAAATAAACAAGCTCTTCTCAGCTGTTTCAAAGCAAACACATTGATACTCAGTTTTTCATATTTTCCTGTGGTTGTAATTTTATGCATAAACTGTTGACTTGAGAGGAAGCATGTCTGGTGAATTCCCCTCTTTTAAGGACCTAACAAAGGCAGCCCAACCACACATGGACACTCAAACCACGCTTTGTTAATTCCTTGGTGGGATGGCATATTGAACAATAAAAAAAAAGCCAGATATGGCATATTGAAGGGAAAGTTTTCACTTGGTGTTCTTTACATCTGAGAATCTAAGATTATAGAGATCACGTCTGTGGGAGTCACACAGCAAGGTCACAGTTAAATGAACAGGGAAAAGGAATGATGAGTGAGGGGGGGGAGAAAATGGGCCGGAAAGAGGGGAGGACCCAGTGGAAACATGCATGTGGATGCACTGAATGTTTCCCTGTAACACTGTCCCTGTAGCAGAGATGCACTGCAGCATATTTGAATCCTCCAGGAGAGACATGGAAAGTCAGGAACTGCTTTTAATCTTTGACTGAATCAGCCAACAGACAAGAAGATGTTCCCAGCCCCGCCTGGTAATGAGAACATTTTTTGCTCCATTATGTGAGTGTGTGTGTGTTGCAATGAGAGACGCAGTAAGTGGGAGAAAGTGCGAGATAATGGGGCTATTGTGATAGTGGGTTTTCAGCCTAATGTGACCCAGTTGTCTCTCACTCATTATACACTGTGCATGACGGAGTTTACATACTTCCTTTATAATCTTTGCTATCTTTTATACCATACCAGAGCAGTCAGTGCAGGTGGAAGTCATCTGGTTTCACAAATAGAACAAGTTTTATGCGAAAACTTATCTTTCTCTGTGATAGGATAGTTTCTGTGTGCGTGTAAGATCCGGCTGCCTGTGTGGCTCATGCATCCTGTGATGTACTTCGTTGGAATTACAGGCTGGTGAAGTATTTCCCCTCCAAGTGTGAGGTGCATGGGTGCCTGAGTGAGTACCTTTAACTTAAAAGTGCCAAAAACCTTCTAATGTGATGCATTTCTGGGAAACGCTGTAAGATGTACTTGTGATTACGACTTGTTTGATGTCCTCTGTACTGTTCTTATGTGCATTTATTTGGCGTGCAGATAAATTCTGAAAAAGTGGACAGTTGTTGCAAAGGAAATAGCACATCAGCTTGATAGGAGACTCCAAAGAAAGGTTTGGAGAATATCAGTTACTTCAGGTGGTTTCTTTCTTTATCATTTTGAAATTATCAACAAAAAAATACAACACGCCATTACAAAGCATCACAGCCCAATGGAATAGGCCTGCAACAAATGCTGTATTTATAAAGCTTATGATGTTCAATTTTGGTTAAGATTGTGTCCCAAGATGTGAGTTGGTACTCTCTGTCTGTCTCTGCGGTGAATATATACGAATGTGGATGTGATATATTCATGTGGACACGTTGTTAATCTTTGGCTGCATGATTTCCTTTTTTATTTGACCAAAAAAATAAACTAGCGGCATCCTGCTACTATATCTGACTCTTTACTGTAGGTGTTAATCTATTTAACCCATCGGCCTTTTATCACTTGAGTCTCACGTGCAGCATTCCTACAAAGACACAACAAGCGCCGCCTCTCAAATGGTAAACTTCAGCTCCAGGTCATGGCACAGCTCCGGTATTGGCTTGTCATTTAAAGCGGTTTCCTGAAGTCCCTGTTACTTTAATTAATGCCTGAGGGAAGGTGAACGCTTTTTCTCATCTGATAAGCTGTTTGAATGCTGAGGCATCTCTACAGTCGATTCAGGCTTATAATCGAGACCACGTAGGGAAATATAAAGTTGTATTCATAGTGTTTGTTATGGGAATCACGATCAAACGGCAATCCGAGTATTAATTGTTGGGCCGTTCGGATCTTTTTGGATGATTTAGGCATCGTTTAAACAGTCCAGACCAATGTGGCTGTGTTTGAAAGAATACATCACCTTTTTTCAAAGCTAACAAGGAATCGCATTGCAACACCTACAAATTTTACTTTTTAAATATCTGTTAATAATCTTGTAAATCAAAATCGTTTTAATAATGCTCAAAGTATAGTAGAGTAAGAATAATTGTCAATTTCATTAATTACACGCCTTTGGAGTAGATATTTGTCCATTTAATGTTGGTTAGGGTTGTTACTGTCACTAAGTATCCCTCTCCTTGATTACCGTATTTGCTGTTGATACTGCAGAGTGTAATATACCTTAGAAATCATTATTTAAAGGGATATTTAACACACTTTTCAGCCCCTCAGCTGTAACTTCCACATCATCACTGACTCCGAACACCCACCTCTCTGCAGACCGAGCTCCAGCTGGTTCCTTAGCTGCCTCTGGTTGCTTGTTTTTATTTTCCTTCGTGACTCGTCATCTGCTTCATTTCCCCCCATCTCCTCATTGGCTTCAGACCATGGGAAAAAGCCTTGAGAGATCCATAGTGGACTCTCTCTCCCACTCCCTCTCCCTCTCTGTGTGTCTACGTAGGCCAAATTGCTCCTGCGGGACCCCTGAAGAGATGGTTTGCTTGTGTTTGCTTGCTTCCTGTGGAACAATGTATTCCTCTATCTGGTCCTCATTGATGTATCAAAAACAAAGTTGACACTATTTAGTCCCCTGTGCTTAGTCATATGATCAGAAACCGTTATTCATTTGTATTCCACAGTGGAAATACACGCTCTGAAGTTTGCTCCCCCCGTGGTAAAGAGTCCAGAGGACACCAAGTCTTCTACATCTCTTGCTCCTACGCCACGTTGTATTTCCTCCCTGGATGCGACTCTTAACACCTGCTTTACCAATAGACACAGCTGGGGAGAATTCCAGGGGTTTGGTCTCCGTCCTCCTCCTCTGATCATGTGATGCGGTCCAATTCATCTTTCAATCCATGGAAATCCTGTTGGAGTGAAAACATCTCAGGGGCTCTTTGTGGACACCAACATAGAGTTAATTTTCTTCACTCGCAAGGTTAATCTGCTAAAAAAGGAAAAGAGAAGAAGAAGTCATAAAAAAAAACAACAACAACAACAACATGTACTTAGTTACTTACTTACTTACTAGTGAAATGTAATGGCACATTTTCGAGGGCAGTGCCGATGCCGGGTTCCCCCTCTTTAACTCTGCTCTCGGGGAGGAGAAGAGGTTGGGAGGAGGGAAATAGCACAGGAGCTCAGTGAGTGAATGAAGACGGCTGGGAGCAAGACATAAACAATAATGTGGACAGCGCTCTACGGATAAGTACACCTCAGACAAACCCATGGACCTGGCAGTCGCCTGGACTCTCTACGGGTTGAGCAATGGTAAGATCTGCATGGCTGTCTGTGAACTGAGTGAACTGCGGACTGCGTTTACAGCACTGTGGTGTTTGTAACTGGATTAAAAAAAAAAAAGGAATCCTTTATAAAATAACAATCATTTTTAATTCGTTTCATCAAGTTAGACGTCAATTTTGTCGCCGTTCCCTGACGGCAGAAATCATTTCTCTCTAAAAGTAGCAGCCCAGACCGTGTGGCTGGCGGTGTCTATTTTCAGAAGCTCATGGCAACTCCGACGGGCATAACTGCCCCCGTAATTATAGGTTCCAGTGGAAGGGCCTGCATTTGCGAGCACTAAAACTATTCTCCGGCCTGGGTGTGTACGTTAAATCACAGAGGCTGGCGGGAGAGCGTACGTGTTTGCATGTGTTTGTGTGGCAGAGGGTGTGAGTCAGACGGCCAGAGGGGGGAGGGGGGGGACGCTGCTCTGCCCACTCTGGTGTCTTGACTGCGTGGCTCAAACAGGGGCCTGCGTTGACAGCCAGGGAGCAGAGGCGTTAAGGGGTCCAGTGTCAGCGCGGGAACACAGGGGACAGTCTGTCCTCCGTGCCACCGGGTCCTCTCAGAGACACACACACTGGATTCTATTGTCAGACGCGTCTGTGGCCGCACACAGGACGCGGGGCTTCGTCTGCACTGACATCAGAGGCGGATTGAACACCCTGCTGCCTCATCCGGGGCTGAAGTTGAGGTTTTTTGAGCAACATGGAGCGACAAACAACCCAAGCATTTGCCTTGGTCATGTTTTTGTGTGTGAATGGTTGCTAGTTTAATTTTCTGACCTGCAAAAATGAAAAAGGAAAAAGCAGAACATTTCCAAAACACAGATTATGGAATGGTTTGATGAGCATGAACGTGAGAACGTCATTCACATCACAATACCCCTAGAGAAATTAAATTAAACAAAACCAACATTTAAGTCTGATTATGGTAGACACAACAGACACTAGACAGTAGGTGGGTACGTCTGTATCAGTCTGGCCTGGAATGCTGAGCTGATACTAAATTGCTGCCAGGACAAGCAACCCAATGAGGGAGACAGTGAGAGACCCGGATACCAGCTTTTAGGAGAAAAACATGGTGAGTCATCTGGGCTGCATGCGTGTCTTGTGTGGGATTGTTTGAGGTCCGTCTGGTTCGGTTTCCCTCTCGTCGGATGTGAGCCGCGATGAGCAGGCAGCTGGATGTAATCTGCAGCATCTGTCTGCAGACATGAAGCTCGTGTGTGTTTGTGCGTGTTTATGTGTTTGTAAGATGTGTATGTGAGTCACAGTGACTCACGGTGGTCCAGGTGAGCGGAGCCCCTGATGTGTGAGGGACCCGCCGAACCCGCCGTCATACCTCGAGCTCCATCTCAAGAGTACAACAACAGCACGCTATTGTCGCATGCATTAAACCTGTAATCTCTCCTAGATTGAGGCACAAATGTTCTTCGTGGATTATTTTGTCTTGTGAAACAGTCACCCAGTATAATAGTTTGGTCACATGGGCTTACAAGTGGGGCAGGAGGTTGCTAAGGGAAGCACTGTTCCCATTGTAGTACAACTGTAGTAGCAGTATATTCCCAGAGCTCCCATTCATGCCCTGCTCTCTCTCTCTCTCTCCCTCTCTCTCTCTCTCTCTCTCTCTCTCTCTCCCTCTCTCTGTCTCTCTCTCTGCTTCAGGATCTTCCTGTGTCAGATAGCTCTGCCGGTCCAGACGAGATGGAGCGTGTAGGCAGGAATAAAGTGGAACAGGGGAGACAAGTGCACCAGGTGTTACAGGTGAGTCGTTTGTCATGATTTACAGATGATACAACTAAGGTGCTACATCGTGAGTATGTTATTGTATCGCTATTGAAGAATCAGCTGGGAGTCAGTAGGTCAGTCAATACAACTGAGGAGTGTAGGATTTGTGTAAGATGATTACCAATTAATTTAGCATCAGTGGTTGCAATAAAAAGGCACACTCTTTGTGTATTTATAGTATATGTCAATTCTCCTCATATCAAATGTATTTATTTAATTCTATGCTCTGTCTCTGTGATGTATGCCTTGCAATTCGTATTATTATTATACTAAATGCAGTGCACAGTGTACAACTAAACATTGCTTACTGAGAAGTGTAACTTAGGATCATACAGTCATGATTTCCTTTATTGGTTTTGCTTTGACAGAGCACTCCTTTGGACCTCCTCGAGAAAGGCAAATCCCTGAAAGTCCAGGCAGAGCGCCCCCACCTGGTTAGTCTGGGGAGTGGACGCTTGAGCACAGCCATCACCCTGCTACCTCTGCTGGAAGGTAAACATCTGCTTGTGTGTGTGTGTGCGTGTGTGTGTGTGTGCGTGTGTGCGTGTGTGTGTGAGATTTGGAGTGTATGTCTGTGTTTAGATGGAATGAGTGGATATTAAACACTCCTTGTTGAATGGGACGTTAGAAACCTCATTGAGAGCTTGTTAATCGTGATAATCGTGATTATCCTTTTAATGTAACCAACTGTGGGAGCAGCTAATGACTCGACATCGTTTTAACTTTCATTGTCATTTACTGTCTGTAACGTCGAGACATCTCAGTACCGACAAGCCCTTTAATACATGTTATGTTTGCGCATATAGTCTCTTCCAAAACCACATTATTAAACATAAGTCAGTTGATTTGTAATAAGTAGGCAACAGTACTCGTTGTGATGAGTTAGCCAAAAATGATGACACCTTACCTTCTGACCATCTTGTTGCGGCTCCACAGCTGCAATTACTTGCAGAACTGAGCCTAGAAACCACAGACGAAAGAGAGAGAAGAGGTGTTGACTTCACAACTCGAGAGAGAAAATCACAACGGACTAAATACTGATACAGTTAAATCGCTTGCACTCAGACAGAACTATTGAGATGTTTTCTGTTGTTCAGGGAGAACCACGCTGGGCAGCGGGGAGACAGACATCCCTCTGCAGGGCCACGGCATCGCAGATCACCACTGCTACATTGAAAACCAAGCGGACAGCATCACTTTGTACCCATGTGGAAACCAGTGCTGTGTGGATGGCCTTCCCATCACCAAACCCTTTCGCCTGACGCAAGGTAGTTCTGTCACAGGCCTCATGACCATTGATGGTTTTGAAGCGTTTTTTTTTTAAGCTACTCAATTGAGTTGTTTAAAAAATGACACCAAGCAGATTTTAGTGGTTGTTTATGACTGTAGTTTGAATTGCACAGTCCATACCAATTACTTTTAATTTCAGAATCAGAAGACATTTATTGCCACATATGTTCCACATAGAGGAATTTGACTTTGACGAATTTGTGCAATATAAGAATAACATAAGAAGACGTAAACTAAGATAAACATATACGAACAAAAATTAAAACAATACGAACGGATAAGATAAGTACGTTAAAACGTGTACATCTGCAAAATGTTTCCAGGATTGAGTATTTGGGTCAATGGGGGACTCAGCTGACGGGGCTTCTGTAGCTATCATTAAGTTGGCATGTTTCAGTGAAAGGGCAATATCTCACAACCATTGGCTGGATTGTGATCAAATGTTCTTCCCTTCTAGATTAGTTGTAATAACGTCACATTGTCATATAGCATTGTCGTCATGCCAGTACTTAAGGTCCTCATAATGTTTAATTAGTAAAACTAATGATATTCTCGCCAGACTTAGCTGTACCCTGTCATTATTGCAGTTAGCAAATGTTGTTGAGCTAAGCTAAAGTGGTGATTTTAGTCAATTTCAGTATTTCATGAAATTCACAAAAAGCAAGGCGCTCGATAGCAATGCCTATAGCTTTAAAAAAAAAAAAAAAAACAGCCCCATGCCTTTCCAGTAACGTGCATACTTGCCATAAAAAGCCATTACAGTCCCGCCCCTCTCGGTCCCCCCTCCATGGGATCCAAGCCAGCAGCTCCCCCAGAATGTCATTTGAAGCCGGGTAATCAGCCGGCGAGTGTGGAGGCAGCAACTGCTCAACAGGAATACTTCAGGCTTCATTCAAAGGACTCATGAAATCCTGAATAAGTCTACCAGGGAATGGAGGAAAGTTTCTATCATACGGAACAATACTGCAGCCGTGTGGACTTTTGACCTCACTTTGAAGGATGAGATAAATATTGAGCTCCCTGGGGGACATCCAGGAATGGAAAATAAACTTCCGCATGTGACTCTCAGAGAATAGATCAGGCATTCTTGAATGAATCTGAAAAGGAAACGAAGGGGAAGGAGTTGATTTCACTTACTGGTTAATTACACGTGAGTTGAACTTTAATAGTAGAGATATTAAACTCTTTGCCATGTCTGTGCCACACTTAAGGACTGTCTCTTCTCTCTTCTCTCATTTCCACTTGCTTACACGTATTTGATCAAATGTTGAGCTGAAGTTCTGTGTGTAAAACTAATCTTCTAGAAAGATCAGACCATATGCTCACAACTACTATTGTCTTTAATGTAATGCTGTTAAGTCGGAAACTATGAAATTGTTTACTTCACTAAGCCTGTAAAAAAACGGTGACTGACAGTTTTAATTAGTCAGCTATTTTAATTAATGGTCAAAGTTACCAATCAGTTACATATGCAGTATATATATATATATATATGCTAATCTATTAATTTATGGTGGTGTTGATGCTTTCCCTCTTTGAAGGTGTTAACGAACTCATCACTGACAGCTTTATACCCACACGGCCTTTTCTTCTTGCAGGGTGCATGCTGTGCTTTGGCCAGTCGGTCTTTTTCCGCTTCAACCATCCAGAGGAGGCGCTGCGAATGAAAAGCATGCTGCCTGGAGGGAGCCAAGGGTCGAGCACCACAAGAACTCACCCTACAGGTAGGAGACCCTGCTTCAATAACACACAACACCTACTAACAGATTGTAATGTTCTGTTGCACAGATTGTGTTGGTACTCATACATGCGTGCAGTTAGTAGGAATAACTGGTCAGGGACACTGGTATGTAGGAAGGTTGTACAGTTTGTTTATTTGTTTAGAGAAAATGCTTTGGGTTTATGGATATTCAGTCATTGTCAGGTTCTTACTACTTTACTGTACAAATAAAGGAGATCCTGTCAAGGCTGACCTATTATACACCTGTTGCATTGCATGAAGGGACCTTTGGTAGGGTGATATATAACATAAAAGTACATAACATAAAAGTACTTACGTTTTAAGGCTCACGTCATAACAAATGGTTACTCAAGATTACCTACAGTAGGCTTGATGAATACATAACTCTTTTGCCAAATATTTAAACCCAGAACAGACTTACATTACCATGTACATTTCTTTAATAACACTTTGTCAGCTCGTTATCTTCATATCTGCTGCACAATTGGTCTTCAAGTCTGACTGCAACATTGGTCATTGTGAAGATGCAGAAATAGATTATTCAGGACCAATTATCTTTGGCCTACATTGTGATCTAGTTCATTTAAATATCAGTTTTTTCTCTCAAAGTGTGACCCCATTGTTACTGAGGATTGTTGTAACCTTTCTTTTTACAGTTACATTCAGACGATGTAATGTTGTTCTGTCCTGTTAGCTGCTTTGACCGTTGCCTCGCGCTGTCGTTGATATTTAGAATCCATTCTCCTCTGACCTTATTGGTTTGGCTGTGGGTGCTCAAACTGTGCAGGAAGAGCCGTCACACCCTGCCCTGTGTGTATGGCCCACTCTTTCCTGACCAGGCCCCGATTTTAGCTGCTCTGAATGAGGTAGACCGCTGCAGCTTTTATATTTAGCAGCTTCAGATCCCTGTAGGATTACAATACAACTGAGGAGTGCACCATCTTGACTGCGGGGTTGGGTTCATGCAGGAGAGAACAGCTTCAAGACCGTTACCAGTATTTACAGTGGGGCAACCAGGACACTGTGTATGTTCAGGCATGTGTATTTGTCCTTTTAAGGACCACCACGTTTCTGCATGTCAGAAGGCAAAGACCACACAGAACAGATACCTCCAACTGTGTCTGAAATGCATGTTTTTGCAACTGTCTTGTAGTGGCTCCTCTTCATTTACTTAACAGGAATGCTCATGCACAAATGTTTCTGTCTCCCTGTGCAGGCTCTCTAAGTGTCCTAAATGGGAACCATCAGGCTTTTTCTAGCAACGGCGACTCCGAAATCAGCAACATGACAAAGAACCTGCAAGACTCTTTATTGCTGAAGGCTGGGTCTGGCAAACGGCTTATTCCTCAGCCCTCTCCTCCAAACATGCCCAATGGGAGAAATGGCTCCGCGGCCGAGGATTCCATTTATGAAAACAGCAGCAGCTTTCTAGGCCATAACCTCGGGAGCGAAACCCCTCCAGTACCAGTGCGATCCGCTCATACCGGACATACTCCTGTCCCCCATCCACGGATATCACTCTCTGTGGCCTCAAGCGGTACGAGTGGTGCTTGGTGGGTCAAAGAGAGCCCAAAGCTCCTTAGGAGTGCAAAAGCAGAGGCCACGTCGAGCCCATCACCGCCTAACGGGGGGTCAGGACAGGGCCCTGTCAAACGTTCCCCAACAGCTCCATCCAGCCCTCGAGTAGGAGGTACTATCCTGCAGAAGAGACCCCCTAGTCCTCTGCGAGATCAGCATCTCCATAATGTTGAAGTCCCTCAAAGGCTCAGGACTCCAGAGCCGATCGGGTCCACCAGCCTGAGAGAGCTTCCACCTCTCAGCCCTTACATGTCCCGCAGAGCGCCTCCAGGATCGCAGGGACACCTCAAAATCACAGCTACTTCAAAAGAAGAAGCCTCGAAGGGAATGTATTCCCAAGGTGTATCATCACCTTCTGGGCTGGAGAAGGAGTCCTCAGGCAAGCAGTCACGGTCTGGCCCAGGAGGCGCCATCCTGTCAGGCCTGGGTTCTTTGTCTGGTTTATCTCCTCTTGCTAGCCCTCGTAGCAATAGGAAGACCTCCTGCATGAACATGAAGGGATCCACCAGCAAAGAACAGAGTCTTGTGAAACCCCACACCCGCGAACGCAAAAATAGCATCTCTGAGATCAGTGACAATGAGGACGAGTTGCTGGAATACCACCGCTGGCAGAGAGAGGAGAGGATGCGAGAGCAGGAAATGGAGAAACTGGTAGGTGATCTGCACTTGAAAATGATTTCACAAAGATAGGTTGAGTTACAATGCTAATGCTAACGTGAACTTTTGTTTGCCCTGTCGACCAGCGGAATTCATATATATATTTAAAATCTTCCATTATTCACATTTTGGCCAATTAGGTGAAATAGATATAAACAAGCACAGGTAGAGCCAGAGCTGTCATCTTTTAAAAATGAAATATTAAACATCCAGCAGACACAGGACAACAAACACATGTGACAGTTAAGCGAAGCTGGGGAGACCACTGGCATGGCAGACACCATGTCTCCATTCGGATATCTCGTCTAAATCCCCTGGCATACGTCCACTAGCTCATCTCCCCACAGCATTACTAGCATCGTCAGTCCATGTGGGCCAAGCAACACGTGGTGAACATTCCTTTGCCAGTCTTAAGGTCCAGAGTGGAGGGCGAGGCTGCATGTGGCTCAACACTATAATTATCAAAGGGAAGAGTGGCCTTTACTTTCAAAATTGCCGTGCTTGACTGAAGGCTCTTTTCTTATTCGTACCCACACTTGATCAGAGACTGCATGCTTGTTATACATCCTAATCCACACAGCCCCTCCGCCCACAATGTTCCAGCCTCCTTCCGGCCCGCTTCTGACAGCTGAAGGGACCATAGGGAGAGGAGCGGGTGGGGGTTACATCCCGTTCATGTCCACAGACTATTTCAGGAACCAAAAGGTTTCTGGTAACAAATGAGAGACTTACCGACAACACGCATCTGATTTGTACTGATGAGGGTTGGACTGCTGTGGATCCATTTCCGCCGTGTTTGTGTAGAGTCATGCAGAATATATCACTTATGAAGTCCCCTCTAATACTTAAATAGATCAACAGCGATATTTCTTGGTCCATGAAAGTGTATTCACAATAGTGCCTTTGATTGACACATGAAGCAGAAAACTACTTCATTAACATCCAAGATGACAAATCCTGTAGCGGTGAATGGCCCTTCAGTGCATTGATGATATCCAGTTAGAGGAATAGAATTTTGGTGTAGTCAATTTTGTCAATTAAAAATACTTTTGGACTGCGGGATACACTAATGAGATTCAATGTGTTAATTGATGAGATTTAGAGGTATTTCCACTCCATGATAACCTATGCTAAATCTTCAAGATTTTATGTTAGCTTCATAGATAGCATACAGATACACGAGTGGTTTAAATCTTCTTTTTAGCGGGCCGCACATCATGAGTCTAGAAGCTCCATTACATCCCCTCTATGCTTCCTGTTCTCTGTTGCAGTAGTGCTTGTTGTTAGTATGCCTATGTAAATTAATTCAAACCAACCTGAACTAGGTTTGAGGTCCCTGACTATGTTTGTGGTTTGTTTTGTATGGCAGCTTTGAAAGAAGCACAAAAAACAATCAACTGACCTATGGATGAAAGACACAGAGAGGCTTTCCTCACAGTGGAATGAATGTCCTGGATCTGGCACACTGCTCTCTTAGCACAGTTGGCACAGCTATGCATGACTTTATTTATCTCCCTTTATTAACCCAACTTACATACATGGGTCTTGCTGCACTTAAAAAAAAACATCTTGCAATTTAGGAAAAAGTAGAGGACATAGTTTAAAAAGGAAGGGATGTGATTAATCCGTCTTCATCTGCAGATGCTGTAAGCTTGAATTTGAGTATCAATTCCACAAAGAGGAGACCAGACTGTGGGTTTGCAACGCAGTTCAAATAGTTCTATCTTTAAGGTGGTTCTTGTTAATAGAGAATAATTCCTTGATTGGAACATGAAAACAAATATTTAAATTGAAATAAACTACAACATTTCAATAAGTATGAGGCAAAGGAGTTTTACTTTTGATGATACAATCCAATAATTCATCAAAACAAAATATTTAGTTGACTGTAGCATTATATTTCTATTTTTACATCCATAATTGACTCGTAAACCTGCCAGTTTACACCTCTGAATCCAGAAGTCAAGAACTGGACCAGGCAGACGCCATAAACAACTGTCTGAAGTTGTAAATCTTGCAATTAAAGTCAGATTTTAAGTGGTTAGGTCAACAGCTGGAATAACTTAAATACCAGACAAAGGCACCCTGGTGGTATAGTGGACACAACAACATTCACTTTAGGCACAATTCCCAGTCTTGCCAGATTTCTAATTATAGTTTCTCATACTGCACTGTTATTCTGGTAGATGAAAGCAAACATCTCATTGTTTGGGGTGATGGAAGACAGCAGGTTGCCCACAAGCTAGAACCACGTGACAAACTAACCCCGTGCAGAGACAAATTACCATCTCTTATTGAATCAAAAAGACAGATGACAAATGGCGTGCAGCTACCAAAACCCACCAGTGTCTTACATTGATGCTTCCTGTCAGATGCCATTTTCATAAACAAAATTGCCTCTGACCGATTTTAGCATGAGCCCCCCGAGAGACAAACTACATCAGCTTCGGCCCTCCTGCTATCAGGTTACGGTTGCCTCATGCCGGGGAATGAGGGACAGCTGCTAAATGGGACAATGTCACACAAGGACACTCGCAGCAATCTGCAATACCGGCTTGACTTTAGGACAGAGGCACTTACGTCCCACATCTCTTCTGTAGGAGCGACAGAGGCTGGAGACCATCCTCAATCTGTGCTCAGGCTTCAATCAGCAGGACAGTGCTGAGGTGGGGAGGAGTGGGCTGTTGGGGGGCGCCAGAGGAGCCCGCTCGGACTCAGCGGGGGGGATGTCCCTTGAGGGAGTAGACAGACCCCAGAGGCTGAGAGAGAACGATGAAGAAACCCAGAGAGAGGAGTCCAGCAGCACAGAGAGCACACACCAGGAGGTAAAAGAACACATCTGTGAAGGCGTGCATTTGAAACGCTTCAGATTTGGAAATCTTTTTAAAAGTTGTACGTGTTTTCGCTCAGTTTGAAGAGCTTTCAGCCGGTGCGGAGCAGGTCTGCTTAGAGGAGGAGAGGAGCAGGATCTTGGCCAGGGTTGATGACTTGAAACACAGAGTCAGTGAACTGGAGCTGCAGCTACAAGAGACCAAAACAGGGAGGTCCACACACACACACACACACATACACAAACCTTCAGCTTGTAGGCTCTTGGATAAACACTTAAAGTGACGCCTCAAAGTATTTAGTGAGCTTGCAAGGTAGCTTGCACTTTGTGACTCCGTCTTTGCCTCTAGGTGGAGATGGAGCAGGCCCTGCTGCAGGCAGAGAGGCGGGCAGAGGAGCAGCAGGTGGAGGCTGAAAATGAAATGATCTCTCAGCTGCAGCTCAAACTCAGCCAGCTGGACAAGGCCACCCAGAGGGAGAAGGACAAGGTGGGCACCCACTGGGAGACAACACAGTAAAAAGCATTTGTTTTGCTAAGTATACTTTGCATGTGAAGGTTCAAACATCTGCGTTTGACAGTATAACAACTTGCTCCTTTACAAATTTGCAAGTATAATGATCTTTTTCTGAGATCTTAACTGACATGCACTACTTATTATATCCTTCTGTCCTAAAACAAAAAGGCCAAACTTTCTTCTCTTTGAAGTGTCCAGCTGCTTTTTAGATCTCTTGTATCTCTTCACATGTATGAGGCTTTTAGCTGGATGTGACCAATACTGAAATGTTTATTCAGATGGAAGCAGATACCTGTTTATTTTTCGGTGAAGTATTGTGACGTCTTAACACGCCTGCTAATCTAACCTCTGCTTTCACCCTCTAATACTTTAACTGCTCTGGCCTGTTAGCTTGGCTGCATGGATTTGAGTTATCTGTGATTTTGTTTTTCCCTGGGGTGGTGTGTATGTGTGTGTGTGTGTGCGTGTGTGTGCGTGAATGCGGACCCATTCGTATGTATGTGCGTGTCTCTATGTGTTTTTAGGGGAGGGCTAATGTGTCGGCTGAGCGGAAGGCCCTGGGAAAGCAGAGGAATGAGTACAATGAGCTGAAGAGGCAGTTTGATAAGTGCCCCTTGTCTCTCAGGGGAAGGTTACAGGAGCAGCTCAGCAGGGTCAGTGTTCTCACGCAGCCCACTGGCTGGCAACAGTGAGTTATGATATACCAAATACCACAGTTGTGTAAGATCTGCACTGAAAAACAGCCGCAGACATAACGCTGACTCGGTTGTGAAGAACTGCGAGGTAGTCATAAGTCAGCAGACTGTGTGTCCCCTCGTTTACTGCTGCTGGCCGCCATTATCTAAGAAAATAAGGTTGTACGTGTAACTAAACAGCAAGCTATGCTTAATCTCTGCTCATTCTAGATGCTTGAAATGTCAAATGTGATTAGTAATAATCAATAATGGCATTAACAGCTCTGCTGCGAAAGTTTGCATGCCTTTTACCAGCAACGATTCTAATCACATACACTGTTGCCAGATTTCTTTAAACTTTGGACCGCTTCATCATGGACATTTAGAAAAAAGCTGGTATTTTGTATACATTTGTTATTGTGAAGAAATCCCATGAGAACACCACAACCAACAATGTGTTTCTGACCTCACCAACCATATAAACCATCACTGGCTGCTAAATCCTCTATATTGGGTCGCACATTTAGATATATTTTTGAAAAAGGCAAAGTTGTTTTCAACCTTTAACAGCCGTTTTTTGGTTAAAAAAACAGTTACTCAAAAAGGAGCTTTAGTTATGGGGACCATTTTCAACCTGGGATAAATCATATATTAATCTAAAGTTGAAAATAGTGTGCATTTATAGCAGTAGTGTCAGTGTTTATCACATGGAAAGCTCATAATATGTATTAAGCATTGGATACACGGACAATATTAATTAATCAATGAAGGTTTTGGGGATTTTTATGGGATTTTGTTAACAATAAGAAACCAAAACCAAATTTTGCATGTCTTATCATTTTGAAATCTCCAGTGTGAATAACCTGCACACATATCTGTACATGGACAGACATCTGAAGCTCTGGAGTCTGGGACCAAGCAGTTTGAGGAGCTTGAGTTCTGCCAACTGGAGGAGGAGAGCAGCTTGGAGGAGAAGAAGGAGACTCAAAGCTTGCAGCTTCACCAGGAGCGAGCGGAGTATCACTGCAGCGTGGCCAAGAGGAAGGTGTGGTTGTGGCAGAAAATACGTATCTGTGTGTAAAATATGATCGGGGATGTATTTAGGGGATGTCTGAGCGTGACTTCAGTGTTTGATTTGCAGGAGAAGATGACTGCTATTGAAGCACAGGCGAAGCAGTTGGGGCTGCAGGCGGCTCAGGACTGTGAGAGGATGGCTAAGGACCGGACGATGACGTTGCAGCAGCTACACAAGGTTAGCCTGTCACTGGTGTCGAAGAAAAATCTAAATCTGGTCCTTTTCTGTGGCTGGTTCAGAGGACTTTTAGTCACTTTGCAGCGGAGACAAAGGTTTTACGACAACGCGGTTTAATTCTCTCCAACCGGAGGGACTTCTGACAATGATTATGATGAAGGGTTATATGAGGAAACAGTTAAACAAAAGGTGGGAGTTGGCCTGAGCTTCTCAGGAAGGACAAAGGACCGTAGATAAGCACCTAAGATGTGTTGTAAGTTCAGGGGGCGTGTCGGCTGTAAAAACCCAACTCACAAGGCCGTAGTAGTAGAATTTCGCAAGAGGCGATTGACCGTTTGGTCCGGGCTCCCTTCACACTACAACATACGATTTCAATGACGGAGGTTTGTTGATCAATGTGAAATAGTTTTCGTCTGAGGCAGGATGGTAAGATGGCTCTAACAGAATCTAAAAAAACACTGTTCTACACCCGTCCATTTAATTCATAGTAGTGATGCATGGCAGACTGTGAAAGCGCTTCAATGTCCAATGCTGGTTTTGCATTTCAGGAGCAAGAGAGGTTGTGTGCCCTGGAGAAGAGGTACCACACCGTAACAGGCGGGAGAAGCTTCCCGAAGCCCCACAGCAGCATGAAAGAGGTGAGCAGGAGCATACGGCACGGTCTGTGGTTAGTGAGCTAGAAGAGGAGGACAACAAAAAAAACAATACCCTTCAAGTGGATTTTGTTTTAACTGAAATTAACTTTTTAAACAGGAATTTCTACACATCAGCGAACCTGACCTTGTTTATGCGGATGGTCCTCCTCATAGCCCCTCTCCCTCCTCTGCCTCCTCCTCCTCCGTTCACATGCCCTCTCCTGACCTTTATCCTGTTAGGCCACAAGAGGTAAACCTCAAACCAAACCCTCTCTGTGACCAAACCTCCTAACAAATGGCTCACAAATGCGTGTGCTGCCGTTTGTGCGAAGAAAATAGAGCATGCGGTGTGTTAGCAAAAATGCATAAACAAGACGGCAAGCTTGTTTCTCCCCACATGCAGGGTCACACTATTTAGACTCAAAGCAGTAAATTATTGCAAAAAAAAGAGCAAAAACCTGGAAGATGATCCTGGCGTCCATCAAAGTGTAACGTCCATATTCATTTCAAAGACAGAGACCAAGGGAGTTGTGGTGCCCACTTCTTTGCTTTGCATGACAAGTATAGTACAAAATATTGCCGTCTGCATCGTTCTGATCCCTGCGTTTGGCTGTCGCTGCAGGAATACCTCAGGCTCTCTGATATCTATAGGATGTATGGAAATGCTTCCATGCAGCCTGACTCATCCTCTCCTGCTGCTCTCCACTGCTTCTCCTTCGCTGTAGGTCCGGCTCTGCCGTGCGAGGTAGGCACCCTGCCTGCTCTCTGCCATAGTCTCTGTTCCTCTTACTCGTCATTCTACTAAATACTGAACGTACCCAGGCACATTTACAACGTCTCAAATTACAATCAAGATTTGGCTTCTAAACATCTACCTCTCCACTTGTTTCCCCCTCCCTATTCTGTAAATGTGTGTGTCTTGTGTCGGCATTGACTGGTTGTGTATGTGAAGGAGTACATCACAGTCAGTCAGTTAAGCCAGATCTTCGGGATGCAGAGAGTTGACCCCTCCTCCTCTTCCTCCTCTATTCCATCATTCCAAATTGCCTCTTCTGAATCCACCTTCTCGTGCCACTCAGCTGCATGTGGTCCTTCCCCTTTTCTCTCCGCCCAGGTTTGTTTTTTCTCTATTTCTCTCGTCCGTGCGTCCTTCCTGCCTGCTTGATGCTTCTGTCACTGACCCCTTGTGCTGCTCTCCTCTCTTTGGCTGGATGCTTCTCATCACCTCAGAGTCAGCCTGAGCTGAGCAGGAATGCAATGTCTCCTATTAACCTCGAGCGCTGGTACCAGGACATCATGGCCGCTGGAGAACCTCAGTCATGTCCACCACCACTGCCCGCCAAGTCTCTTTCCACACGCAGGCACAGTCAGGTAAATGATCGGGCTCTCGCTGCACGCTGCTAAAGGGCACTACAGCAGGCCACGTGACATTACCAACACAATGCCCTGCACACGGCGAGCTTCACCCCTGTCACTTGATTCTCTTTGTTCTTATGACTTGAAGGTCCTCTAGTGGATTAAACATGACAGGGCAGCATTTCTTGTTTTAGGGAACTTGGGATGCTGATATTAATCGTATGATATATTCGGCTCTCTATCCAAATAGCATTAAGTACAGCAGGTTATAACTTCCTGTAGAAAAAGAAGAAGAAAATATTGCAGGCTTGAGGTGGAAGACTTTAACATAAAGCACTACACTTACATATAATAAAATAATAGCGTGCAATGTTGAGCTCAGCTGAAGATGTGAGAAACGTAAAAAGATGTAGTGGAGTGAGAGGTTGCAGAAAATTATAATAGTTATGTAGAACAGTGCACCTCAAAATTATGTTGAGTACCTAAGTAAATATACTTCCCAGCACCGACCACCATGTAAGTAAAAAAAACCTGCAAATTAAAGTCAAATAAAAAAATCAGTTTCAGCCTCTTTAGGAAATCTTTGAATGCAGGACAAAAATGTACTAAATGTAAAGAATTTTGTGGAAACAAAAATTTTTACCTTCAACTTCCTCTAGAAATGATCAAACAGTGAACAGATCTGTCGTTCTTCTCTCAGCTATTGAGGTCCAAATCGGACGCTGGGGTTGCACAGGCAACATCATGCACACTGCCGAGCTCCAGTGGTGCTGCTCATGAGAAACACGCATCCACCAAGGTGAGCAGATCTTTTCGACAAATAGGAAATTGTAAAACAAATCTTCCAAGTAGTTACACATGTGATGCTTTCGACGGGTTTTTCAGGGGTTACAGTTGATGCTGAGAGAGATGTCCCACACCTTAGACACGGACTCTCGGAGACGGTTGGCTCTGCAGAGCAAAGGTACAGCTCATCTCATCCATTTAGCAGACTAAACGCATCTGTGAGTCTGTGGCAATGGATGTTACCAGTTACCATAGCGTAACATGCTTTGGATGTGGTTGCAATCAACAAGTAGCAATGAGTTGACGCCGTCAGCAGAGGGCGCTGTGAGTCTGTGACAGCTGTCCCTGCACCCACAGATCTGTCTCCCACCGTCCATCGCTCCATCTTGCATCATCAGGCGCCGCCGAGTGGCAACCAAGCGTACGACACCCTGAGCCTGGAGAGCTCCGACAGCATGGAGACCAGCGTCTCCACTGGCAACTCTGCCTGTACCCCAGAAAGGTGAGAGACTGGGAAGTCAGCAATTGGCTCTGTTTCCATGGGAACACTCAAGTCTGCCCCGTCTCCCACGAGAAGGGTCATTGCGCTTTGTTCCCGCGACAACATGTTGTGGTACACGTGTGCTCAGTGACTATGGTACACTAGCTGTTGCCATGCCAACCCTCTCAAGTTGTTTAGTGTTTTGTGAAGTTTTAGGGAATTTAAAGAGCGTGTTTTCTCTTTGTGAAGAAAACATTGCCTCCCGCGGTTCTTACCGCTGTCAGTGTTTGGTTTCCACGCATGTGTGTTTACTGTTTTTCATCCCAAGTCTCTCCTTCCCTCTGTGTGCTGTAGTGCCTCCGGGTTTGAGGCCCAGAGAATAGAGGAGATGGAGAAGATGTTGAAGGAGGCGCAGCAGGAGAAAGCCAGACTGATGGAGAACCGGGTAAGTGGCAGGGCTGCAGACTTTTGTCACTTATATCACACTCTATTTCAACAGCATTAGTCAATTAGACTGGCCAATAACGAGAACATATATTTGACTTTTTTGATAATTCATAATTCATTTTAGCCAATTTTAAGCAATAAAACAGGAACTTTTAATTAATCTTCTGTGGGATTATAACAATTATATTCACATATATATAATATTTTATAAATCAAGTGATAAATCTCTGGTGAAAGAAATGCTGTATAGAATATATTTAAGATGGTTTAAGAGGTGTAATATTTCATGTTTCTGGCAAATATCAAAAAATACCACTCAAAGTTTGTTTGGTACATATATGTATATCACCTACAAAAGAATCAAGTTAAATGCAATACTCTCCCAATTTTTATGAAACAATACACTTTCCAATTCCCCTGAAAGCTGATTCTGATTGACCTTTGAATTATCGCGGGAGACGTATGTTCCTCTTGTTTAGTAGATAAAACCACACAGTGTATCAAAGTGATTCACTCAGCTGCAGGTGTGGTGAAATGATGCTGTAAGTACTTTGTTTACCTTTGTATTATTTCTACATGTTGAAACAAAGTAGACCTTTATGTAAGTATCTGAAAGCCGCAAAGGATCATTTTACATCAGCAAAGCGCACTTAGACCATAGGGATATATTTTACAAAACCCTGGATTGGGACCCGCGTTCTCCCGAGCCTCCTCTGATAGTCGCTCACTTTGTATTGCAATATTTGCCTACCGTTTACATATCCTCCACTCCCTTTTGCCCTTGTTCTTTTCTCCGCTCTTCTCTCCATCTGTTCCCCTTTCTCCTCTCCCCCGACGCTCCCAGGAGAGGGAGGTGCAGGCTCGGCGGCAGATGTTGGAGGAGGAGCGCAGGAGGCGGGAGGAGGCCGAGAGGAGGCTTCACGACGAGACGGCCCACAGGCTGAGGCTGGTGGAGGAGGAGGTGAAGATGAGAGAGAAACACTTCTCCCAGGTCAGTGGAGCAGCGGGAGGAGAGGGAGGAGGAGACGGGAGACGATAAAGGGAGGCTGGGGATACGGGAAGATCAAAGATGTCAACAAAGAGGAAGAATAGAGGGGAGGAGGAGAGGAAGAAATAAATGGATGGATGAGGGGGGGCAAAGCATATAATGTACACATAACTAAAGCTTTAATCTCGGCAGTGTTTAACTACCAGTGGTGTAAGCGAGTAAACCAATATCCTCAATTCATCAAGTATGAACGCCCCCAGTTCTGCGTCCCATGAGTCCCGTCAAACGGCGAACGGACACATTTAGCGCCTCTCACGAGTTCCCTCGTTGCTTTTCCCCCCTCGACTCGGTCAGCTGCGTCGAAGCGTCACGGAGCTTTTTCTCCACAGGCCCGTCCGATGACGCGCTACCTGCCCAACCGCAAGGAGGAGTTTGACCTGCGGGCCCACGTGGAGTCGTCCGGCCACAGCGTGGACACCTGCCCCTTCGTCATCCTCACGGAGAAGATGTGCAAGGGCCACCTGGTGAAGATGGGCGGCAAAATCAAGTCGTGGAAGAAGCGCTGGTTCGTTTTCGACCGCATCAAGAGGAACTTCTGTTACTACGCAGGTGAGGATACGATGACATCATGGGTTATATCTATCTGTTAGCTTTATTGACTCAGGGAGTCTCATTGATATCAAGATATATTCCTGCGAGGTGGAGGGATCCGGCAGAAGCTGACTTTATCCTACAGTTTGAACATGGACAACAGGGGGACAGGTCCCTTCGGCGCTGTGTTTATTAGTGGTACATGAGCAGCACAGCCTGCTCCAACTCAGTGATGCCTGGTTGGTCAAAGGAGAAGCGTTTGTGGTCAGCTCTCAATTCATATCAAAAGGAGACACCACCCTGTGGCTACTATCAACTCCGGCTGTTTCAACCCCAAAGTGAATCACATCTGTTTCAGTAACACAATCAAAAACTTCTTAATTCAAGCAATCACAAACCTTATAAAGAATATTGAAGGTTTAAGGAATTAGTATCTATTAACGCAACCTGGGTTGCAGCACGTTTTAGTATTGAGGACTGCTTGAGATCTCCAGTTCAGAGTTGCTGTAGAAGTACACCACGTTACTATGAATGAGTACGTAGTGAAGTTCAACATTTAAAAATACTGTCCCTCGGTTTTATTCGATATTTAAAGAGACGCTTTGACGCCTAAAAGTCACTGCGCCCTCCACACCAGCAGGAACATAATGTGTTCAAGTCCTGCTGGACTTTCAGCAACAGTTTCATTTCATTTCTTAGGCCTAGTTTCCATAAGATTGAAGTTCTCAATACTCATACGTAGTATTCATGAAGTCAGAACTTTGTGCTAAGGAGTTGCTGTGCATCAAGCCAGGACCCGATTTATTCAGTTCACCCGGCAGCAGCGCCGAGGCTCTTCTGAGAAACGTACACTTCGCTCTCTCTGGCGTGTTTTTCAATAAAAACCCGACTTCTGTCCCGACCGGCGTTTATTCATCTGGCAACAAACACTAATTAAAGCTGCACTAAGTGGAATTGCCCGCCTCGTTCCTGTGTGTTAAAAGGCAGTTTGCAATGTGCGTCTATCAGACTGTCCCCTGACTTTGAAACGCACGCAGTTATATTCCTCAATAATTCATGAGCGTGTTTCAGAGGCATTGTTTTACAATCAAGTTGAAAATAGAGCCTGCGTATATTTTCATTGCCGTGGCCCCCATTCTCTCCGCTGCTCTTTCTCTCCACTCACTTGCCTAGCCTTTTCACCCCCTTACTCCTGACGAAGATGATGGTGATGATGGTGATGAAATAAGATGCAATTCTTTCTCTAGATGTGTTTTTCTTGGGGAGGAGGCTAGCTCCTGGCTTGTTCGTGACTAATAAAACGAAACTCACATTTCAAAAACATTTATCTCATTACTAAGCAGATTTGACTTATTGAAAAAGAGGAGCAGGAGAAAGTGTCAGACGCATTTCAAAAGATTGGCTTTAATTGTTGCTGGATGCTTGTTTCATGGCCGCGGCGCTCCAGTGTGAACCGGAGAGACGAGAAGACCGCTGTTTATTTGAACAAGACGGGAAACCAGAAAGTCTTTGAACCAATTTTATTTGAAGAAAATGTATCTTAGACGCGAGGAAAAGACGTGCCTAAAGTTTGGCCCCAAACAAGAGAAACCCATCAGTCCAACAATTGCGTCCGTTGAGCTTCATCCACAGGTTTCCCTGAAACAACCAGCAAACGCCTGAGTCTCCGCCGACTTTAACATAAAGACATTCTGTGAGAAGAGAACAGGGACCGAAAGGACTGGACAGAAGGTCGGACCGGCTGGAAGGGAAATTGTTGAACTGATCTGATAGATAAAAGATCTCGAGATGTGAACCTCGCCAGGAGGGAAAGGCTTGAAAGAAAAAGGGGGGCAATCCAGAAAGTACGAGTGAGGAAAACAAGTCAAATTAATAGGATGGTAAAGACTTGAGGCATAGCTTGAAATAGACTTGCACTTTTAATTAACTTTTACTGTGAAACTGTGCGGCTCATACCTATTCATAGAATATGTGCTGCTGAACACCTTTCTGCTGTTGTTGTGTCTGGTCTCTCTGTTTCCTTTGTTTTACCTACTTACAAACTTATCTTTTAGCATGAGAGTAGTTTAATAAGTGATAATAATCACTTATTAAACTACTCTAGCTAAATAAAGTGATTTAGCTCTTTAAAGCTAAATAATTAAGTCACAACTAACAATCCTCAATGCAATTCATTTTAGAACTGCTTTAAAATCATCACGGATAGAACAGACAGAAGGACCACTGTCCAACAATAAAGATGTTTTGCTGAAATAGGAAATTAAAAAACAATAATAGTTATTCACACATTTTGAAATGTGAAGTTTATTTGGTTTTGTTTAAGTTTAAATGTGTTGTTTGGTTTATTTTCAATTACATAAAAGCCACAGAACATTATGGCTTTAATGTAATTGAAAAGGCATCATTTTTGTAGATAAAATATTATTTCTTTAACAATCCATCTATGGTTTGTTTTGAAATATTTCAGAAAAAGACAAGAAAATTATTTTATTTGACCAAAGATAAACATGAAATGCATCCCCACATAACTGGCTGACAGAGGTCTTGCATCAGTAAAAGGCGTCATGTATCTTAATACGTCTTTTTTTTCTTTATCATTTTCTCTTCTCAGATAAGCATGAGACCAAACTGAAAGGACTCATTTACTTCCAGGCAATTGAAGAGGTTTATTACGATCACCTACGCAGTGCAACAAAGGTAACTCTTTTTTTACATTTCTTACCATTCATCCACATTTGTATGATGTTTAAAGTAGATGTTTATTATTTTTAAATGTGCCAATAAACGTTTTGGAATAAAGTCTGAAATGTAAGTTTAATTCAAAAATGCTACAGATTCTCTAACATTTAAGAAACTTTATTCTAATTTTCCTTTTACAATGATAATATCTTATCTCATCATATTTTCGAATTAAGTTTGTGTCTACTCTTCTTATAAAATGTAATTAGCCATCTCATTTTCAATAAGTGCATTGTGTTACAGGTGAGGAAGAATGTTAAAAAAGATGATTTTTAACTGTTCATGCTATTATATTTTTAGTAAAACCGTAACAGGTGCAGCTATATTTTTTGAAAAACAGTAACAGGTGCAGCTCACACTCCACCCATTCTCCTCATTATCCTCCAGAGCCCAAATCCATCTTTAACCTTCTGTGTGAAAACCCACGACCGCCTCTACTACGTGGTGGCCCCTTCCGCGGAAGCCATGAGGATCTGGATGGATGTCATAGTAACGGGCGCCGAGGGCTACACGCAGTTCATGAGCTGAGGGACCACGAGGCGACGGGCCGCGGGGATGACAGGGACTAAGTGAGAAACGCAGACACCTGCCAGCCAACCTGTGCTGCTACCTGCCGGGGACAGAGCTGAAATGCAACACACACACACACACACACACACACACACACACACACACACATGGCCTGCTGGTGTGCAAATGGATGGACGTTTGAAGTGATTAACAATCCGAGGCTCTCGTAAAAAGTCTGATTCCTACAAGAACAGGAGGGTTGTAATGAGATGGGTCCATTTTACGGAATTTAAAAGCTGTGTTTACCTTTCAGCCACTATGAGAAGGAAAAGAGTTTGAGCGACGTGTTCATGGATTTACTAGGGAAATTTCTCAGAGTTACCAAAACATATTGTTAATATTATGTTTAGAGGTTTCAGGTAGAACAGTTGTTAATCCATATAAATGTAAACTGTGTCCACATTGAAGCCAATCTCTGCATGCAGTGTTTTCACTCCAATCGTTGCCCCTCCCCCCCCCCCACACACACACACCTTTTCGGTACAGTTGTACTTTTCTTTTGAGTTTAACTTTTCTCAGATGAAAGAAATATCTCTTCACATTTCAAAACACTAAAAGGTTAACAGAGTAGTAGTATCAAATATTCTAAAAACATTGTAAATGTTAATTGTTCAGTCAAACAATACTTGGAGCCAAATACTTGTAATGTTTTGTTGGATTTTTACTACATAAATGTTGATATCACACTATATTGTGTTATATATTGTTTTATTCTGGAATGTAACAACACATTAATGTGTCTGTATTTAAAAAAAAATATGTAAAAGAAAACACGTATTTTAACAAATTTCATAAATTATAGTCCTATAATATTGTAAAACTACCATGTACATGAAATAAATAAAAATATATGATGTATCAGTCTGTTAGTTTGTCTAATTTACTAGTTTGTTGCTGACAAATAGTTTAAACTGAGGACATTCAACTTCAAACCACTTCATGCTTCCTTAATTTGTGTTTCTCGCAAACAAGTCGTTAATTACCAGCTTCTTTAAATAATCTCATACGCCCTAATGAGCTGCTAGCGTTCATATTTAAATGAAACCACACAATAGGTGTTCCATTCTCTATTTACAGATAGATAGATATGTCGCTCATTAACTCTAATTATCTATAGTTGTATGTACATGTATTTCTGAAACTACGGCAATTAATCTTATGCGTGTCCCTGCAATAGGTCGGCCAGTTAAAAAAAGAAAACATGAGGTGAAATTACATGCAACTTAACATGCATGATTCAACATCAGGAAATTTGAAACCATGTGGAAAGAAAATGTAGTGAATAAAATAAAGTCAGCCCATAAACAAGTTCTTGTATGAAAATAGATCTGTGTGGTGTATATTTTGTCATTCAGCTCAGACAGTAATAGAAATGTGTTTGTGCAGATAGACGATAATGTATGACTGCAGATATGTGATTCATCTGTTTCAGGTAAACCACTGGAATATTTCACAGAAATGCCGGTAATCAAAGAAACACGCCTTTCCCCGGACAGGTGTACTTATTAGATTCAACACATAAGAGCTTCATTTCCAACCTCGTTTGGTGAATATCGTGTAACATCCAAAGATATTTAGTCAAATGAACAGTTCTCAACAGGTACTTTCCCCTGCAACCCAGACACAAGAGAAGTCCACGTCCACCCTCAGTCTCATTGACCTTCAGAGGGATTTTCACACATCGTGCAGCATCTTTGAGTCTCTGGCGCACCGGGCTGAATAACAAACAGATCTTTAAGACGCCGGCGTGAGCTCATTACCGTGGTGATGAGCCTGAGTGACACCCGGTCTTATAGTCGGTGAAATATTAATGAGCCCCGGGTGATCTCCCCTCCCTTTCACACGCACAGACTGGCCGCACAAGTAAGATACAGCCGGGCTGTGAATTAGAACGCTTCTCACATGGTTTTGACGACGTCGACAGATGATATTAACCTGGTCTGAAAACATCCTGATGAAATGGAGACGTCTCTCGGCTAAGAGGGCGAGTTTAACGCTGAACCTGTCAGAGGCTTACACATCCTTCACAAAATATCACCGGAGACATTTGTTGCTTAGAAGTGTTCATATCCAGATGTGAGTTCAGAGTAATTTAAGAGATTAAAGAGAAAAATCTCCTGCCCAACCCCGAAACATGAGCCCCCCCCCCACCCCCCAAACATACACACACACACACACACACACACACACACACACTTAGAGCAGATGAAAGAAACTTTCACTAAATACATCTCATCCACTATTAGTGTTCACCGCTTTGAACAAATCATCTTCACTCTCTTTGAAGGCAATGTTAAATGACAGGCATGAATTCCAAATAGGGCACACAATGTACAAATCATTAGATCACAATAAAAGAAACATGTTTTTGGATTTCACGGCAAGCACAACAATGATATCTGAAAAATATCCAGAGGGGGGAATAAGCAGAAGCTGCAGCGCTGACCTAATGAGGCCAACAAAAACATAGGTTGTGAAAACCACAACTGCACCCCAGAGTGGGATATTATCATATTTTTATATCAGTCACTAGCAGCCATGAAAGTGAAGAACTTATCACTTAAAAATATCATTGAGAGAACGTGTGAGTATTAATATTTTCAGATCTACTTCTGTTCAACCAACTTTAAGATAGAAAATAAAGGTTTTAAAACCAGAAAGTATTAAACATAATTCATTTTAAATAAAGTGAAGCAGGATTGGTTGTTGCTGAATATGAATTAACTCTGTTTTATTTTCCGGTTTGTAACATCAGCATCTTGGGGGACATTGTTGGGATGCCATGTTCTTGACGTATAACCTCAGTGAGTTTGGGATGTGCGGATAGGATTCATAGTTTAATTAACGCAAAGGCATCTCTAAAATATAGAGTGAAGATGAACTGATGAAGAGTGAACATCTTTTTAACTTGACTTAAACATATTTAACGTTCAGTGTAGAATAAAGTTGAGTGACTTTAAGAAGCATAAGGCCCTGACTAATGTGGTCCGTGTAAAGGTCGAAGGCGATAGACGGCGATCCTCTGGGGTCGAGCCGGCTTGGCGGGGGCAGAATGACACGGCCTGAGTGCTGCGCACGACACAGAGGGTTCATGTGGGATTTGTTTTTTTGAAGAGCTTCAAAGTCGAAGAGAACAGGTGATGCACGAAGACCGAAGTTTGAGTAAAAATCGGCTCATCTTGTTTACTCCAACCTGCTGATGTTGAAGTTAATTTTTACAACACTGGGTTTAATTTTCTGTTTTTTTCACGCCGTGTCAGCATGGGCAGAGCTTTGTGTGCCTTCAGAGCGAGGAGAGTTCTCCTAGAAGCCGTGACATCCCAGAGGGGGACGAAACAGACGCTGTATCAAACACCTCTAATTTACCATTGAGTCCTTGAGGAATAATAAATAAAAAATAATCCTGTGAATGTCTGGTTCACTTCCGTCAAAGCTGAATGCAAATCAAGTCAGACAAGGAACCACACATGCATGAAAATGATATCACGCTTGTCACGTTTTTTGGGACTTGATCTGCTGTTTTCATGCTAAACAAACAGGAGTGATTTGCAGGCTGAACACACACAGAAACATCCACTAATCCCCACCTGAGAGGCTCAAATTCACGAGTCGTAACCGAATTCCATGTTTTCATCGTATGTTCAAAGAGGGGCAAAAGTTGAGGACAATAAATTCTGAGAGAGATGATGATGAAATGATGGTGTAACCCTTACTAACGTGCCATACGTGCACTTGGCATGCAGAATCAACTTTTTGACTGACTTCTCGCCTCATGCACGACATTCACACAATGAACTTGGGCACCAGTTGATTTCAGCCTTATATCGCTGTGGAAAATGTTAATGAATATGTGTTGTCCAGTCTGATTCACAGCTTTCCTTTGCCTCACTCGTTGTTATACATTGATTGGGGTTTTTAACTTGGCAACTTTAATAGTGAAGATTTTGCCCCCAGATTCTGAGCACATTGAATTTCAAAAGTAGCAACGAAAAATACAGTTTGCTGGATATTTTACACCTTTCTTTTTCTTGAAATAATGTCAAAGGTGACAAAAGGTAAATGCAGCACTGCCGTCATGAGCTGCACCTTGTATCTCTCTCTCCCACAATGCACAAATAGACGGTCCTGGTGGATCAATTAATACAGACAGAGAGAGCAGTCAGCGATTTCCTGGGAGACCTTCCGACTTTACCGGCTCCTACCATCTCAATCTGGTCTCCATTACAACCACATTTATCTCGATTGCATCAGGTTTCCCTTCTACAAATCTCCCAAGCTCCACTCATGTGATAGTGGGCATTTTGCTGAATAGCTCCTCAGAAACAGGGCTGTCATTAATCATTAATAATAATAATAATAATAATTATAATAATAAGGAAGGATGTTTCGCTCTGTACGGAAAAAACACAATGAATAATTTGGACAATAGTCATTGCTGGAAGAAAAAGGTGATTTGGTCTGAAAGAGCAATGTAAATGTTTTAAACATTACTTTAATAATTATTTTTTTAAACAGGCTGGTTAAAATTGAAATCTTTACCTTCAGTAAAACTAAAATGGAACTACACACAAAAAGCATCCAAATCATATCAAATATTTTGGCCTGCCCTATAAGTGTGTTATTAAGTGTTGTTAAATGTGTCTAAACACAGACTTGCTACCCAATGGACAGATGTATTTGAGGCTAGACCCAAGTGTCCCCAATGTGCTAATTCAGTTGTTTTTTGACCAAATAATAATGTCATAGAGATGCAACTCAGCAAATGAGATGGAGGAATTATTGAACAAGGAACGGTGCAAGGTGTAGTGGAAGGAAGACAGCAGGTATGGAGGGAGGGAGACAGAAGGAGACCAAGGGAGACAGAAAGAGAGAGAGAGAGAGAGAGAGAGAGAGAGAGAGAGGGAGACAGAGAGAGACAGAGACAGAGAGAGAGAGAGAGAGAGAGAGAGAGAGAGAGAGAGAGAAAGAGAGAGATGCAAATCCCATGGCAACAGCAACCAGAAAACAAGTCTAAAATAGGGGGCAGTGTCCGCTATTACTATAGCAACAGGAGAAAAGCTCATCCACTCGGCTTGAAGTTTTGCTGAAATGAGAAAACAAAGATCAATTTCACACTTAATAATTGACAGTCATTATAAGTAAATTAAATTGGTTCGGCCGGCTGCTTCTCCCAAATCAGCCCCGGAAATAGGGATTTTATATTATATTATAAATATATTATGATAACACTACAATATATTGCTTAATCCTTTAATAAGATACCTTGCATTATGCAGTAACTTAGTGTTGTTTCATTGAACAATTCCCTGATGGTTTATACCCATTTAAGTTGACGGGTATGACGATTAAATACATATTTATTTAAATAAATATTTATTTAAATAAAGTAAAATGTAATCGCGTTTTGATGTCTTTACATTAGACTAATTAGTAAACTTTACAAAGAGACTATGCCGATGATGACAGGATTACTTCCTATTACAGTGCATCTTTTGTCTGTTATTAAATGCCTTTATGCTCTCATTTAACTCGCTCAGCTGCACAATCGGTGACTTGATTACCAGAATATGTGAGATAAAAACTGTGACACAAAAAAGCTTTTCTCAGCTGTAAAAAGCTGCGGCACCAATATCCACACCCGGTTTGTTTACCTGAAACATGTGCACAGTCTGCACTGCAGGAGAAAAAAAAAGAAAAGACAACAACACGGTGACGCTTCGCCTTGCCTACCACCGACCAATCATATTCCACGCGGAGCCGACTGTAACCAATGGCAGAAGGGCTGCCTGCGCCCACGCAGCCAATCGCTGTGAACATCGACCACTGATGCAACGGCCATGCAACAAGGCGGCTGAAAAACAAAGTACGCTGTGAATCAAATAGTCCCTCGTCAAAACAATACCAAGCTGCACAGCGAAGTACAGTCGGTAAACTGGATCGGTGTGTGCGTGAGAGTCGTGTCCACGTAAACTCGCTGTCCCTACTTCCCTTGTCATTTACTGTCCCTGTACAACAACGGGTTGTAGGAAAAACAACGGCGAGTTGTAACGCTTCACATAATGTGATAACTTCTCAGATTACTGCCGAGATTAGACTATAAATCAAAACGATGGGAACTACTTGTTTTCCATCAGATTCAAAATCCGTTGAACTATGGGTTACATTGGGCCTAGTAAAATGTTATGGCCTATTCTTTTGTTAGATTTCCTATTTACTTTTGGGGGTTTTGTTTCATTTTCACTCAACGCGACCAATGTTTCTTTTAAAGCCATCTCCATTGTGTGGCCGCATTACACCAGCAAGCCATTTGTAAGATATTACAAACCGGCCATTATATATCAATGGTTGTACAAGCACAAAAGGAACGAGTACTTTCGTAAGTGTGCGTATTTCATCACAACAGAGCGCAGCAACGGGTGTGCGGGACGTCCTTCCGGAGGCGGAGGGATCTGCACTGTGTAGCGCGGTTCCTCCCTGTGACGTAGATGGTTGCTAGGTGTGAAAGAACTGATGCATTCTCACAATTAAGCAGCCCCTCAGTTTACAGGTCGACCACAACAAAGCAACAACTCGCCTTTTTTTTGTTGTTGTTGTTGCGCGGCCCCGGATATTCGGAGCTAAAATATGGCTCTTTAAACTCGCGAAGTCGTCGGACCCGATAAGAAACCGTGCTTTGCCTTAGCAACGCACCCTAAGTGCTCTACCTTTTTTCTCTGCAAGAATGGAGTAAGTCAAACTCTTTCTACTCGCTTTGCACACGACTGGGTCCAGTGTGTTTCTGCGTTGTCGTGTTTGTTGTATGCTTGTGTGTCACAAGTACAGTTGCGGAGGGGTCCGTTATTTGGCTGCTTTCTCTTCTTTTTACATTTTTTTTCTATTTTAATATATTCTTACAGACAAGTTGCCTTAATATTTAATTGGTCTTTAATGGCGGTTTTGGTTTGCTTTGATAACAGTGCGTGACAGGGTTGATATCATAGAGCTCTTACTTTTCTTATTCACTGAAGGGTATCACGTTTCTGTCACTTCGTAGTGCGTGTTTTGCCACATTATTTCCACCGCATCTGCTAAACGGCGTAAGTAGTCAAATTGATTAATTGATTAATTTTAAAAAAGGAACATGCAATCAGAACCAACTGGTCTGTATTAATCCGATTAAATAATCGCGGTGTCTCTCACTACAGTTTCTCTAGTCTGGTGCTACTTGACAACAGTCGGGCCGTTGGCATGGTTACTGGTCCCACGTGCATTGTGCTGTGGGGGAGTTCAGAGCTCCGCGGACTTCCATGCAGACGGGCTGGTTATTTAAAAATAGTTTGGTCCATTTTCATTTCCAGACAATTGATATTTGTTATAAATGCAGTTGATTTGGCGAGTTATTTTGCTTTGCACCAACAATATATTAAAAAAAACATTATTTTAACATGATGACCTGCAAGCGATTTCTTATTCTGTACTTTATCTCCATCTACTAACAGATTCCCATTGAGAAACCTGCTGAGGGCAGCAAGCCTAAAGTCCCGGTCGACTGAATAAGTTGCATCTTTGAAGCAGCGTGTTTCTGATCCATGTTTCTGTTTGCCCTCCAGGTTTCATTATGCTCACCCAGCCCTGCTCTCTGTGGCCCATCTGTCAGACCCTGCCTGCTCCCAGCACATGCTTGGACTTGGACTGAATCAAAGTGCCAACAGACAATATGATGGCAACATCAGCTCCTGTTTGGAAGACTCTTCGTGTCTGCCCGGCAGACCCCCTCGCTCCCTCTCACCCACAGGCTAACCACAGCCAATCACAGGGGTGCAGGGGGGAGGTGTCAGAGGAGAGTCACCACTTAATTGGTGAGTTGCAGCGAGTACGCTTTTTTATATTTTTCCCCATTTCAGGTGGGCTCGGCACTGCAGCACATTCGTCCTTCTTGAACAGTAAGTAAAAAACTAGCTACGCCTAATATGTTGAGACGCCACAACTATAGTTTATGAAAGTCGGCTTTTGCTTCTCTCGATCTCGATGGCTTTGGGAAACTGCTTGGTGCAATGTCGGACGACTGACATTTTTATACTGAATCGTGTTATTTAGCTTGATTTCTTTTCCTCCACCAAACACATTGTCACGATTGCAATTTTTCTCTCTCCTCAATAGGTGATGGTCTCACTGACTGGATGACGGAAGAAGTGGATTTTTCCTCGTACCTCCCAAACCCTCCTTCCCCTCCCTCCTCCACCAATGCCTCCCTTCCCCCGTCGCCCCTTCAGAATGATATCCAGGTGCCCTCTGACTTGGAGGTCATGACCTCTCTGCTGCAAGAGGAACTTGCCCAACTTGAGGACTACTTCCTGTCTGAGCCACTGCCAGAGAAAGGGCCACGGCTCGGAAAATGCGACCGGGGTCCTCTGCCGGCGGGTCCTCAGCCGTTCTGTCAGCTGCCATACGCATCCTACTCTACATCTAACCAATCAGAATCCAGCCCACTCCTTGTTACCCTGGCAACCGGAGAACTGGACCTGCTGAGTGTCTGTGGCGGGCCCATCGGGCGATCCAAAATTCCAAGACACGCCCCGTACAGCTGCAGTCGCCCCAGTGGGTGTGTTAGGAAAAGAGTCCCAGATGGGGCGAGGTTCAGTGAAGGCTACGATAACAGTTTGTTGAGTTCCAAAGGAAGCAACTCAGGTAACGCAGCGGTGACCCTCGCAGGTAGCTACGACTACGTAGAGGACGAGCAGCTGGTAGGGAAAAGCTACTGTCTGGGTAGTGCAGTCGAGGTCAGAAGATGTGGCGTTCTACCAAGAGACGAGAAAAATTGCTGTTTCAGTCAAGATGTCATAGGTGGCGCGAAGGTCGTCGGTGGTGGATTTGGCTTCGGTGGATCAATAAACGTCCCGCACAAGAAAGAGGATCTGCTGATGTACAGCATGAGGGAGGTCAGCGGAGGCACTAGTAACAACGAGGGGCTGAATAGTATCAAAACAAGTGTGGAGATGACAAAGGCCACCGTTTCGTGGAAATCGGAGAGCAGCGACGGTTGTTATCTTCCAGCAACACCGCAGTCCGAGGCCTATCATAGCTTCTTAAGCAACATCAATGAACAGGTGAAAGCAGAGAGTCTACAGAGAGGGCAACATGATTTGCACTGTAATTTCCTGGAGGATCAGGGCCCAGAGTGTCTTTTAATGTCGAGGGAGAGTTTGAGCTTGGAGTCACCAGGGCACAGACAGGCATGCAGGCTGAAGGAAGACCACTGCGCTTTGAGTTACGAAGACGACCTGGTTCCAGCCGAAGGCGGGAAGCGCAAACAGAAGAAGAGGGATCAGAACAAAACTGCCGCTCACAGGTGAGCTGCTCAATTCTAAATACAACCCTCGCCGTGTTTTCACAGGTAACGATCTGCATTTAATCTTTGCTTTCCTTAATCCAGGTACCGCCAGAGAAAAAGGGCAGAGTTAGACACTTTGGAGGAACAGCTGCACGGCCTGGAAGGGAAGAACCGGGAGCTCCGGGATAAGGCAGAGTCGGTAGAACGCGAAATCCAGTACGTCAAAGACCTGCTGATTGAAGTTTACAAGGCCCGCAGCCAAAGGCTCAAGCAGGACACAACAGCGTAGCACCAAGATCCTGCAAGTAGATTTAAAGCGGCCGCCGCCGGGAGAATGTGGCGCTCTTTGTGTCTGTGAGATTGTCCAGGATTGAATGTTTGATTTTTTTTCTTTTAATGCGGGTGGGGTAATTGCATGCTTTGCTATGACGTGAATTCTTTTTTACATTTTAAAATCAACACTATCCAATGCTTCCATTGCTTTCGCACTCTAATCACTTGAGCCTGCACTGTGGCATTGCAATGCTTTAAATGACAATCATTTTTAACGGATCTCACACTGCCTGGATCTACCAAATATGGTTATTTCCAAGAAGTAATGTTATTCACGATGCAGGTTTAACATGTTTAAACGCCTTACATTGGAATTGATGTCAGCAATAGAACTAAATGTGTTGGGTTTTTTCAAATTTGATTTTGGAATTAGTGTATCACCCAAAGTTGAACAGTTAAAGTCATCCAACATGTTGTTGTCCAGACATGAAAGGGAGTCATTTCATTTTGACCACATTTTTTATACCTTTTTTAGAGTCATTTCTCGCCCCTCTTGAACAGCAAATATTATTATTATTATTTCGATTGCTATGAATATTTTAGAATATTTGGATTGCGCTTGAAGATGTATTGACTTTTAAAACTGCAAAAAAAACGGTCAGTGTACCGAAGAGCAAGAAACCTTTCGTCATCAACCGTAGCAAATATTTTATTAGTTTAATATTGTTATTCTTTCTTGGACAAAGCCTTTGATAGGTGCAGCCCAAAATATTTGATATGATTCGGATGCTTTTTGCATGTAGTTCCGTTTTACTTTTACTGAAGGTAAAATCAATTTTAACCAACCTGTTTAAAAAAATTATTATTAAAGTAATTTTTAAAACATTTACATTGCTCTTTAAGCCCAAATCACATATTTCTTCCAGCAGTGACTATTGTCCAAATAATTCATTGTGACTAAAACAGAATTTGCTAATAATTATTTTTTTCCATGTTGTAAAATATCTATTTTGCAGCTCAGGACATACAATTTGTTCTCCAGTCCCATCCCAGTAGATTCCACGCAGGAGACGTTTGTCCTTAATTTTACAAGATTTAATTGTTTGTTTTTCCTGATGTAAGAAAGGGGCTCCATATGTAGAACGATTGTAAGTAGTGGAGTTTTCGCAGCCTCCCTATGCATGTTTTTCCATAAACGGAGTAGAAAATGTAGACTTTCAGAAATAAGATTTTTCTCTCTAAAGTGCTCGTTGAGGCAATACGTTTTATAGGCCTCTGGCTGATCTGCACTAATTTGTAACGACTTTGTATGTTCAGGGAATGAAGTGTGTTAGCCTTGTCTTTGTAGAAAAGAAAATGTCATTAGGGTTATTTGTTTTGGCAGTGTATGGATACTGTCTGTAATTTATTGTCTGATTTATCTGATTTATTGATCAGGAAATAACTTACTGTTACTGTTAAATATGCCTATACCGGGCATATCTTTTTTTTTTCTATGCATATTTATTTTAAGACAATCTTCATTATGAACGCAGAATTTTTTATTTATTCAGCTTTTGGCAATACATGTCACATGTTCAACTGCGACTTTTTGAAACCAAAAATATGTGACAGCACTTATAACGCTTTGTCATTTAATGTTTATTTAACCATGTATGCTCGTGTGAGGTTACTTTTATTAAAACATCAAATAAAAGGAGTCTAACTCGGCCCGTTTTGTTCTTTCAGAGGTTTTCTGTCCGGGCTGCTGCATCGACTGCAGCTGCTTCTGTAATAATCTGAAATCACGACCTGATGTCTAATGTATCTCGAAAACAAGTTGTGCCTCCTGAATGACATACATTAAAAAATAAAAAAAACTGCTATTGTTAGTCGAAAAAAATTATCGTTTTAAAAAGGAGAGAACAAATAACATCCAGCCCTCCGCAGTTGCAGAGCAGTCACACACACACAAAAAATAAATAAATAAGTCGATGTTGTTTTACCGTCCAGAAAAACATTTCTTTTTGCCCTCAAAGACATCTTCTAAATGACGGGCGCCACCTGAACTCAACCGAAATTATACAAAAACGACAACCTGTGCAAATGTAACTGGAGAGAAAGCATTGTAAAGCAAACGTTTATTTGTCGCACTTACACAACACAACAACTAGTTGTGTTTATAATTGGAAAAGTACAAAGAATATCTTAAATACACAGGGGTCTCTCTGGAATTTCAGCTGCATTTTTTCTCTCCCGAAATGTGAACAGCAGTGTCATTAAATCAGAAACATCAGAAACACGTTTGTTTTATTTCATCACACAGCCACAACCACAACAAAGAAAGTTATTTTATATCCAACATATCCATCTACTTAACGGAGTAATCATTATGTAAAAAAAAAAAACATTTTATAAAAAGAAGTAACGGGATATGATGATGACTGTAGTCGTCTACTAAACTGCTCAGAAACAGAGGAAGGTTGTAACGTAAGGAAGGAGAAGAACTATTTACGCAGCACTTTCAAACCTGCTGTCATTCCCCTTTAGCTGGACTCCCAGCTGCTCCACGAGCCGCCGGTAGTCACATTGTGGAGGTGCATGTTGTGAAGCCTGAAGAAGTTTCTCACTGGCATCGAGGGACCTCAGGACCTGAACGCAAAACAAAGGGACTCACTTGAACATATTTATTTCCATGTTTAAAGTAACAACACTGGCACAGAGGTGAATATCTGTGCATAAAGAAACCATAAAGAAACTCAATGTAATATTTTTATTCTCTCCAAAATTGTGAAAACTGTAAAAGACTGTGTTGTGTTGTCATCTGCCCTCCTATCACCTGTTACATTGTCTTTACCTGACGCATTTCCTCCCGCTCGCTGTACAGGCACATGGTTGCCACGGCAGCTTGCCTCACTGCATCGTTGGAATCCGTGCATGCAGCTCTCAGAAGCAAGCTGGACGTGTTTCCCGCCAACAACATGGACACAGCCCCGTCGACACGTAGCACGTTCCCCAGCGCTGCGCAGCAGTGGCGGCGTGTGGGGGCATCGGGGTCGCCGATCAGAGCCGTCAGCATGACCGCCGCCCTCCCGGCCTCCTCTGTCCAACCACGTCCCTCCTCCTCCTCGTCCGGTGGCTGTTCTAGTGCAGTAGCCATCTCTCCTTCCGGCTCGCAGTGGGCCTTCGCCGTAGTGTCGCCCTCTGCCTCGGAGCCACCCATTTTAACTCTGCCCGCTGCCGCCAGATGCCCCAACCAGTTCCCGACCGCCCTACAAGCCCCACGTCGGACGGGAATGCAGGAATCATGAAGACGGTCTATCATGCTGTTGAAAACGTCCGGTTGCACGGTGCGCAGCGTAGGAGGCCTGAATGGATCTATATTTCCCAGGAGTCTGCAGGCGGCGGCTCTGATGGGGTCGTGGGAGTGAGCCAGCGCCCGGTGCAGCGCCGAGGCTTCCAGGTGAGGCCGGAGGCGGGCGAGCCGAGGGGAACACCGGGCTACTTGGGACAACAGAGTCAAGAGCTCCACGGCAGAATCCCACAACATCTCCAGCTGCAGCAGGTCAGAGAGCAGGGAACTGGCCGTTCTGGGCAGCGGCGTCTGGTGTTGGGAGGCAGCGAGCCGGCCGTCCCTGGACGGCGCGAAGAAGAAACTGCAGTCCGCTTCTCCGAGGCGGTAAACGGAGCGCTGGGGGTCACACAGGAGCAGGCGGCTCAGCAGGGAGAGAGGCAGCTCTACCAGCGGAGGGGGAAGAGTTTTGATTACCTGCCGAAGCGCACAAAAACAAAAACAGAGGAAGAAAAAAATCGGAATCACCCAGACAACTCGTCACAGATCAAAACAGCAGACAACAAACGGCTCTACGTCCTCACAAGAGAGCGGAGGTATTGGGATGTACGGTGGTGTGCGGCTGACGTGAGCCTGTTGCAAGCGTTATCCCGCGTTGCATCAGAGCATCCACGTTCGTAGGTCTTCATCGGCGCATTGGGAAGGCCCTCACCTGCAGGAGGCTCGCCACTATTCCACAAGTGTCGTACGACTGTAAAATGATGGACGTGGCGTCTGAAGGCAGGTCCAGGGCAAACGGAAAGCACAGCAGGTGGCAGCTCAACACAGACAGGCTGTCGTGACTCAGATCCACCTCGAGTCTCGCAGGGCCGCCGTCAGCAAACAAACGCAGGCTGAAGGGGGGGATAATGTGACATTGTTAGCTCCAGGAGCTGTAGCTGTGCTGCTCTAAGAGGAATCGGTGAGTTAAGAAACCAACCAGTCGGCATCCAGGAGCTGGCCGAGAGTGTATACACATTTGGATTCAGGCTCGGAAAACGGAGCAACGCACGAGTACGGATCCTTGGTGAAGAGAAACAGCGCAATAGACAGAAAGGAATGAAGCCCTGGGGTAAAAAAAAAAAAAAAAAAGGTGAGTCCAGATGGTGTTAAGTGTTCCTAAATAATGGTGGTTTGTAAGATGCATTTATTTTACCGTTTGGCGAACAGAAGCCTGTGCCGTGTGTCGTTCTTGCCAGTGAACTGCCAATGGTTTTCCATAGATCCAGAAACACCACTGGATCCAAAGATGAAGATCCGGAGCCATTTTCATGCTGTTAAAAGAAGAATCCGGCAAAGCTTAGAGAAAGAGATTGCAGGTGTATCTCTGGTCTCCACCCAGTCAGGTCCAAATTGTTGTCTGACCTCAGAGAGCGTGTGTAGGACTACAGACAGCAGGCCGTCGCACAGTCCAATGCCAGAAGGAAGAGGAAGTTTGGGCTGACAAGGCGACACAACGGGGGGATCACGTCAAACTTGCATCAGAAATTGTCAAATGATGCCAAATTACTTTATCACAGTACCTCATATGAGTCCAAAAGCAGTTTTCTCAGTAAGGAGGTTAGATTGTCCATATCCACTTTGACTTGAACATCGTGTTGTATTAACAGAGACAAAACAGAGGCGGCCAGATGCTAAATGAGAGATCACAGTCAAATTGATCACATAAAATATATGTAAACCAAAATGAATTGCCAGGACTCTATAAAATACACAGACTAGCTGAGTATTTCTTACCGCCAAAGGAATGAGGTTTGGTTGACTGAGAATTGTGATGAAAGGCTTTGTGAATTCCTCTAGTCTGCAGTGAGAGAACAGGTGATGAGCTGCAGTAGTTATGCTCACTCACTTACACTACACAGCATTCTACTGATGAGCCAGATAGTAAAGAAATGGACTACATCCAACCTCTGCTCTTCATTCACCCAGTCACAATGCTTCTCCCAGTAGATTATAAGCACAGCGATCATTTCTCCAAATGCACCGACGCTCCACGGTCGCTGAGTAGAGGAGAGGTTGAAATAGAGTCAGGGAAACGGACTAATTCATTAATTCCATTCCTGGGCACTGACCTTGATGAAATGCGAGTTGTCTACAGCATCGTGGACGAGGTCGAAGAGGACGTGAGGGAGTCTGAGCTCATTCCCAATGTGCTGCGACTGCTCAAGGTCAGAGGTCAGAATCAAGTTGTGTAAGACCTTCAACGGGAGGTGAATCCGCCACGGTTCTCTCACAACGCCTCCTGTTAGCTGACCCAAAGAAGAAAAACGACAAAATGTTAAATTGTCCGGGCGGTATAATCAATTTATGTTTTATTGGAAGTTGTACCTGAGTACCTGAGCTTCAAACTCCAGGATCTTGGATTTAAGTTCAGGCATGATTGCACTGTAATTTAATAGTTCATTCTGCTGTCTGTTGGGATGTGATTGTTGGGCCAGTATCTCCCAATAGTCCTCGCTGTCAACATCCTGAAAGAACAAGACATTATTGATACTATAAGAAAGTGGAACTGTTTCGCAGCTCGTTTTAAAATGTTGCCCTGTTACTAACTTTGAGAAAAAACAGTGTCACAGGTGGAAGAATACCAACGTTACCCTTTAAGACTGCCAGTGTATTTGTAACCAGGGAGGATTGGCAACTGGAAGAGAATATCTACTCCATGGAACAAGACCCATTCTGTTAATCGCAAATGTCTTGACTGGCACTGACCTGCTTGTGCAGTGTGGTCTGGCTGTCTGCCTTGCATCTCTGCATCAGTCGCGGCCCAACTGCTACAGAGGGAAATTCCTGTTCGTAGTCCCTGCTAATCTGACCCCTGCGGAGGAAATGACCACAACCGTGAACACATACCTCGGGCTGTTTTGGGAAGTCTATTGTAACTTAATTCTGAACTTCCATTCACACCTGTGTTTGGATTTCACGCGGGCTTGACTCTTTGGTTGTGGGCTTTGATTGGCAGCGGCGGCTCTCGGGGATGCTGCAGCCGTCGCATAATTGACCCTTTCATTTCCCGCTCCATCCTTCTCTTTCTGTCAATGTACATGCATAAAAAAGCATAAAAGCTACTTCAGAAATGTCCATGTGACCAATTTAAGAATACAAAATCAACATGTGACTTACTTTAGCGATGTCACCGCCTTCTGGTTTCCTTGTTTTGCCGCTGTCTGTCTGTTCCCTGGCCTTCTGCAATAACAGGCTCTCTCCGGGATTCTGCACTGTCTTTGCCGCCATTTGCTGAAGTTTCAGGGCCATCCTGTCCGGACTCGGTGTGACAGTCAGAGGGCAGAAAACGCCTGTGTCTAATAACACTGGGATAACACATTAACACAGGAATAAAAGAGTTCCAATAAGAACAGTCTTTCAAAAAGATCAGCATTGTGCACAATTGGCATTTCTTAATCATCACCTAAAACACCATCAGCAACAAAGGGATGATGCAGGAGGTCTGGCCACGACAACCGCTTCTGAGGGTCTTTGGTCAACAAACCCTTCAAGAGACTCTGGGAGGGAAATATCAGATAAGCACCAATAACTTGTGAACGTGAATTGTGTCCGATCGGTTCGCCATATTTAAAATGAACATCTTTATACGGTGCAGATTTTTTAGCTTTGACTTAAATAAGATGCAGGATGATCGGATTGCGGCTCTACTGTACCGTGCAGGTGTCGCTCATGGTGCCGGGCCATTTGACTGGGTCTCTCACTATAAGCTGCACTAGGTGCAAAAGGGAGGTTGTGGGGAAAGGAGGCGCCCCCGTGTGGAGTTCATAAAGGATGCATCCCAGAGACCAGAGATCAGCAGTGTGGTCATACGGCTTCTCCTCCACCAGCTCGGGAGACATGTACAGTGGCGTTCCCTTGATAGAAGTCAGCACCATGGTGGAGACGCTCATGGCCCTGGCAAACCTACAGTCAGACGGCATCACATGTAGCTTGCGTCCGGGGATGTGAATGATGCAGCAACTTTTCCTTTAAAATATCAACCTACCCAAAGTCACACAGCTTCACCACACCGCTTTTTCCCAACAGGATGTTTTGTGGTTTCATGTCTCGATGAAGAATGCGATGGGAGTGTAAATAATACAGAGCTGAGACCAGCTGACAGGCGATCTCACGGACCTGAGAATGAGGGGAAGAATAAGCACATGGATCGTGGATCATTAGAAAGCATGATAAGCCTGATTTATGGCATTACTCTGTACGCTCATGACAATCACCTGACTCTCTGGTAGCTTCTCATCATCCTCAAGAATCTGGAACAACTGACCCTCTGCATACTCAGTCACAACCACAACCTTTAACAGACATAAAGAGCAATTATGAACTCACATGTAATGAATGATAAGTAGTAAGGTGGATACCATAATGGAAATGGTAGCAATATAGTAATAGTGTAGTAAACACATTCATGCCCTTTTACTGTGGAACATTATTGTAAATATACCTCAGTTTCAGTCTCAAAGCTGTCAAAGAGTTGAACAATGTTGGGATGTTGAAGACCCCTCATGATGTCAATCTCCCTCCTGAGACTCCGCAGCTCCTTCTCAGAACGACCCACCTTGGGCATGAACTTCAGAGCCACCACCTGGAGGAGACAGATGGCCGACACGGTGAAGCGGCGCGAGTAGATGCCAACAGTCACACGGCCGCTCAGAAGAAAAGCGACTCACTTGGCCGGTAAATCGTTTCCTTCCCTTGTAAACTCGGCCGAAGGAGCCCTCTCCCGCCAGCTCCAGGACGTGATACGAGTCCATGTCGACGGTTAGCGGGCAGAGACTAACGTTAGACGTCGGGGAAGTTCTTCCATCGCACGCGTTTACACACAGGGTCCGCGGGTGCGACGTTTGACTTTAAAAATGACGGGTTATCCTGAGGTATCAGTTGAACGGAACTTTTCCCGGTTTAGAGTTGTGTACTGTTAAAGTAGCGCTACTTGTTCGCATCCGGGGACAACAGAAAAGATTAGCAACTGCCTATTCAAAAAAAGCAGCGAAAGTCACAATAGCCAAGTTTCACTTACCACAAAAATAAACTGGTGTTCTTTTATTTGCGCATTTTCTTTCCACGTTTGAACAAAAACAGTTTTAAAGCATTATTTTAAATAGTGTATTTCACGAGTTCAGGCGGGCTATTTGGAGAACAGCACGCATGCAGGGGTCCTTAGCCTAGCAACAAGTGGTGCGTTCCTAGCAACGGGCTGAGAACGGACAACAAAGCAGACAGCAGGCCGGGAAGTGGCCTCGTGTGAAGAGCCGAGCAGTCCCACCCGGGAGGATCCACGGAAAAAGTCTTCTGCTACCCACATGCTCCCAGTACATCACAGGTTATCTATATATTTATCTATATTTAACGTTAGTTCAACGTGTCAACTTGACAAGCTTCCCCCTCCAACCTGTCCGCGGTTCTCTATCAACCTCTATGATGGTAGAGGGAGTGTTATTAAAGTCCCTTTCTTAAGTAAAAGTATCAACGCCGCAATACAAATTCACTCTGAATTCAAAATGAGTAACAATATAAATTCGAAGTGTATTTTACAGAAAAGTATTCCACAGATAAAACAGATTAGTAAATTAAATTGACAGGTCGTATATCACAAATCAATGTATTTCAAAGGGTGCATGTTGCACAAAGTAGATAAATGCTAGTGAGTAAAACAATATGCTCCTCCGAAATGTAGCGGACATATAGCCTTGTACTTGTGTTATCGGTTATGGATATTTTTTAGCAAAATACATTGGAATACTTTTACTTTTACAGGATGGATTTGCGTGTAATAACTAAACTGAACCTGGTCTTTAAATGGAAGGATCCCAGTTCCTGTGCTGTCCAGCAGATGTCGGACGCGAGTCACTGAGAAATTGATCTGACCTTGACATGTAAGCTGTATCAGAGAAGCCTCGTATTCCTTCAAACGATTTCAGCTGCAGTAACATATGGACTTGTGTCATGTGCATCTACAGCTCTGCAATACTGCTGCAGCCCACTCGTGTCCATTCAAGATGCAGGCAATTGAAGCATCCTTCAGTAAAGGGCCTCGCAGGTATTTTTGTGAGATGAAAAGTACTATTATTAAGTGCACCTCTGCAATGTGGACAAAGGTGGGGACGATGCGGTGTCAGGCGAGGTCTGAACGCACACAGAGCCCTCGAAGTAAGTGGGACCTCTGATAATCCCTCGCGCTGCTTTGGGACATGATGACAGCCGTTTGCTGTTTGCTGAGTTTTAAGTGGCTGCAGACAAAGTCGTGAGCTGAGACGCGCATCCAATGAGCCGCTCCAAAGACTGCCCCCCTCCAAAAGAGAGATAGAGTTTCCATATTTTTTTTTTTTACACATGACGAAAATGCATAAAGTCCGCAGAAGGCAGCAGTCGACTCAGCCTACACAGGTGGAGAATGGGTCACGACTAGGAGGAGTTTGCACAGAGTGGACTTGTACGACCTGCATTGTTTTAGAGGGCTGCGCATTGAATTATGCTCTTCATCGTGATCTGACGCTTGCAGGTTCAATATCTTTTTATTTTCTCTGATGCCACAAACATCGTCATGTTTATCAGAGCGACCTTTCTCCTCTGCTTTATGGTTTCACTGTCAAAGCTCATCAGTTGCATGGAAACGGAACTTTGCTTCCCCATTCGATTGGATAACCACAAACACAACAGGGGAGATTTTGACAACGACGTGGAAATCCTAAATGGGAAATGTGTCTTTAAAATACGAGCCTTCCAGCAGGAATTTGTGATCGAATTGCACCAGGACTCGAATTTCATTGCGCCTTCCATTTCCAACCAAGACGAGTTCTGGCTCTCCAACACCGATGTCACCAGTGACCTGAGATGGTGTTTTTACTCCGGGTACGTGCACGCTGACCCGCATTCCTACGCGGCTCTGAGCCTCTGTAAGGGTTTACACGGTGCATTTGGCTTTCAAGGCTGGGAATATTTCATCGCCCCGGTGCAAAATGACACCACGACCGCGGAAGGTGCGCACATCATCCGGCGCAGAACCAGCAACAACCTGAAGCTCAATTCAACCTCTAGGTGCGCCGTGGACACCGGCATAAGTCTCCAGGTCGCGCGATCGTTGGAGAAATACAAGCGATTACAAGATCACGACAATGTGACCGAAACGTTGCTGAAGAAGATGGGGAGAACGAAAAGGTTCGCTTCAATCCCCCGGTACGTGGAGGCGCTGGTGGTGGCGGACGAGTCCATGGTGCAGTTCCACGGAGAGGACTTAAACCACTACCTCCTGACACTGATGTCAGTGGCGGCGAAACTCTACAAACACCCCAGCATCCTCAACTCCATCAACATTGTGGTGGTGAAGATCGTGGTTATATCCGAGGAGGACAAAGGACCCAAAGTGTCCGGAAACGCAGCCATGACCCTGCGAAACTTTTGCACCTGGCAAAAAAAGATGAACCATAACAACGACAAGCAGCGTGACTACTGGGACACGGCAATCCTCTTCACCAGACAGGTAAAAACTAAAAACAAAGAGAGGCTTCGACTGAGTCCACGCTGCAGGGTCTGAAGAAACACGCGCTTTTACTAAATCGTAATTACGCACGGAAAGGCGCGAATCTGTATTTTCGTGCTGAAATAATGAGGCGAGGATAAAGATAACGACATATATGTTTGAATCTAATAGTTCATTCGTCATCAAAGATAATCTGTCCTGCTGTGTCGGTCAATTGGTTCAAAACACGCTTCTCAGTAAATACACAGACCAACAATACCATGACGGCGTTGACGATGGGGCTTGGTCAACAAGGAAATGAGCAATAGTCTCTTCATTGAGCCCAAGAGGGTAGTTTTACAGACGTGGGACCCACCTCCAAGGTCTCTCTGCTCTCCGGGTCAGAGGTCAGAGATGAAGTCATTGCTCAAATTCACTGGTCAGTGTTTAAACCGCTGATCTATGATGAATTGCCTGTTCTGTGGAACCTTTTTCTTAGTCTGACGTTGAACAATTCGAATACAGTTGAGAAATCAATTTTTAGATTTGCACAATGTTCAATCTGCAGTGAAAGGGTCAAACTTCAGATGAAAAGCGTGAGAATGAAAAGGTGCGATGTGCTCTAATTACCTTTGGCCAATGTCACTAACATGAACCTACACATGATCGCAGTAAACCTCAAACAAATGCTTGTTTTGACAGCAATTTAAGTGCCACAGGGGACGCATTAGTCGGAAGTGTCCTTTTTCACTCAGCGTTTCCCATTCCTCCTCCAGCTGAGTTCTTTCCAGCCCTAGCCACCACCTCGCCTGGTTCTCATTAAACAGGCCCCAGAAGGGAGAGATAGAGGGAGCAAAAGAGGGTGGGGGGGGGTTAGGAGGTGGGGGGGGGGGGGGGGGGGGGGGGTTTCTTTTGCTTTCTAAAAAAAAGTTAAAACCTCCTCCTTTTTGGGCCCCACCGGCTCAACCCCCGTCTATTTTAAAAAAAAGACCCCAAAGGGGGGGGCCCCCCACACTCCCGTAAAACCGGGGGTGTTTTTTTTTTTTCACACAAATTTTTTCTGTGTCCCCATCCTCCTCTCTCCTCCTATTTTTTTTTTAAGCAAAAGGGGGCCTCTTTTTTTTTGGGCGCCACTTCTCTAAAAAAGGGGAGCGCTTTTCTCGTGGAACACACACCCCGCGCGCAAAATTTAAAAAAAAACCCCGCCTTGGGGAGAACAACCCCCCCACCCCGAAAGTGTGTTTGTGTAAACCCGCCCCCTGTTTAAGAACCCCCCTTCAATATTCAGCCCTGGAACTGGAGACAGTGAGTCACACAGCTGTAATCTGCAAAATACAGCAGTAAGACGGACGTCAAGGGATCCAGTCATTGTATGAGTGACATTGTTTGAATAACATTTTTTTTCCGCCTTATTTATGAAAAAATTGCCATCAGAATTAATTCTCAGTCCTAAACAAATATACAACATTGCTTTTTGTGAAAAACATCATCATGTCAATATGCCAGGTTTTGTTTGACAAATCGGATGTATTTTTATACCCAACCTTCTGCCCTTCAGGCCTCTAACGTGCATACAAACCTGTTCACCTCTCCCAGACTCAATGCTCTTATTATGCTTCACACTTTAACTTCATATATCAAATAAAGAATCTGCACAAAGACCAACTGATAATGGAACATTCTTCTGTTGATTCTTGACTTGGTGACAGAAATGAGTCAGTTTAGTCAGTGGTGTTGTTTTCGTCTACCACGGCTTCCAGTGGACATTTAAGGCACGTCCATTGTTTGCTGTTTACCATCCTACAGTGTATTTTTCTGGTTTAATGAGGACCAACTCAGTGTTGTCCAGAGGCCTTCGTGCTTGTCTTTAAACTCCATCCCCAGCGTGACTGTTGTTAAAAGAATGTTGCAAGTTTACGCAGTTCGTTAGGTTAAACAGAATGTTTATTGCATGTGATGCATCCAGTCTGACTGTAAATCTGACATATTTAGGTTTTCCCAGGGAGAGCAGGGGGATTTTACTTGTTTGCCTTTACTTACGTGATAGATAATTGGTTGAGAAAGAAAAGAGCACACCCAAAAACGTCTGTATTTTATAAAGCAATAGCATCTTATCAGACGCCATTTTCCACTGCTCATAGTCTCGAGTAAGTACGAACCGGCGTGATAGTTATGAACCCTTCCCCCTCAGCATGAACTGTAAAGGGCCATGTGGTGGTTGAATGCATTGCAACCTATACACAAAATGAAATGGAAACATTTCTCTGCTAAGATAACTTGTACATTGTATTGTACATTGTAGAAACACACAAATAATCTAAAGGTAGACAACGGATGGGAGAATTAAGTCGAAGCAAAGAACAAACTCATTGACACTTCTTCGACCTTTTTTCTACGCTCCCAAAAGGCCCAATAGTTCAGATGTCGCCTTCACACATGTGCACATCTGGACTAGATTTGCACTGGGCAACAATTGTGGTTTATTCTAGGAATGATTTGTCATAGCACTCAGAGTCTTTACTTGGCTCTGTTCTTCATGTGTACATCCATCTCAAAGGGGGGTTGACATTAACCCGGGGCTTTGCTTTATCTCTAGTAGCTGACCTCCATTTGTTTTGTGTGTTTTTGGGGCATGCAGAGACAGAGCTGTTTAGGAGCCAGGCAGATGGGCGGTTCTCTGTGGCGGTTAGAGCAGAAGTTGGCCTGTGATTAGACCGTTCGGCTCCAAATGGATGCTCACTACAATTGGGTTTTTAAAACCTTGTGGTGCAGAAATAGGTCATCTGGAAACTCTGCTCTGACATGGAAATGTTGCGATTGGGGACATTTAGATTACCTCATAGAAGACGGTGTGCTCTAAACACTGTTTTACCACTAAAAATACTTCAAGGCTGGCTTGTGGAAAGCTTGACTTAACACTATCGCATCTTATCCGAGCTAGAAACAAACCTCGCTGTAATGAAGAGGACAATTCAAAAAGGAGCATTCCAGTTGGTTTCAACGTATTTCTGTGCATCACTTCTACTAGCATTAATAACTTTGTGCTAATGGAGGAAACTGCTGAAGGGAAGAATGTGACATCCCTAAAGAGAGGTCAAGTAACAGAAACATCACATGACCAGACAGGTTTTAAACAAACTGCCAGGTTGAATTTTACAACCGGGATAGAATTTTCACTCAGAAAGTGTAAAAATAAACATATATACATATATATACACACACAGGACCTGTGTGGAGCTTCCACCTGTGACACTCTTGGCATGGCAGATGTTGGCACCATGTGCGACCCGAAGAGGAGCTGCTCCGTGATCGAAGACGACGGCCTGCCCTCAGCCTTCACCACCGCTCATGAACTCGGTGAGCCCACGCGTCCATTATTCAACACACACAAGTACTGCAACATTTCCTGTAGCGTGAGTGCATATGCACAATTGACGGATTAACGAATCCGTGTAATTCCGGAAAGACATCTGGCATCTTGTTTCCCCCCCGACAGGACACGTGTTCAACATGCCACACGACAACGTGAGGGCGTGTGAGGACGTGTTTGGGAAGCTTCAGGACAACCACATGATGTCCCCCACTCTCATTCAGATCAACCGCACCAGCCCATGGTCCCTCTGCAGTGCGGCCATCATCACTGAATTCCTGGACAGCGGGCATGGTGAGCTTCCACCACCCCTGACCCCCTGTGCTCGACTCCTAGCAGCCCCACAGCTGGTTTTAAAATCGTCTAAAGTCAAAGTCAAGACAGACACAAATACACACTTACAATCATTAAAGGGTAAATTCACAGATTTTACACATAAATGTCTGTTGACACGTTTCGGCGAGCACTAGTGCATGTGTGAGAATGATTGTATAAAGTATTTTGTAGGTCCAGTAGGATCTATGTGAGGACTAATACTGTATATTGTCTCAAGTGATGCATGGAGATGGTTTGACAGCAGTGGTTGAAGGCTACAAGTTTGAAAATAAAGGGGGTGAATATAACCTCTTTAGCCAGCTCCTCATCTGAGCTTGAGGCTGCAGATTAAGACACCAGTGGTCGAGTTGCATTGTGGGTAATGAGATGGAACATTTGTTTTTGCTTTGCTGCACCACTTTTGGTACTTTTTCTTTTAAACTTTCTACCATCAATGCAACAATGTCATAGGCGAGCAATGCTAAATTGATGAAGCACTCATTTGATGAGGTTTGATGTTGATCCCATTAGGAGAGCATAGATTCATTGCTTTATTCACATAATCAGACCTTTTCCTGTCTACGGCTGTAACCCTAAATATGTATAGCACCATGCTTGTAGAAAAGACGAGCAAAGCCAGAGAGACATTCATTGGGTTGGAAGCAGAATGTTTGCCAAGCAGGCCAGACCACAGTACTTTGCCTCGGAGCAACGCTAAACGTTTATTTTAAAACAGCCCCCACATCTGTCCCAAATTAGAGAGCTTGTTCTGGGGAGAGTCGCCACAGTGGTTTGGACAGAGAGGTGTATCTGCCCTGGGTTTCCCATGCAAGTTTAACCCAAAACACACCCTTACTTCTCTCTGGGTCCAAAGATGATCCGAGGACATAAGAATCCAAAATGGTTCGGAGCAATGACCATTTTTCACTCGACAGGGAATAATTTCTATCCAACAATCTTGTAACTTGGGTTCTCTCTTGGCCATCTGTCATAAATCTGGACTTCAAAAAGCGGAGAAAAAAATCACGTTGCCACATGTTTGAGGCAGTTTTCATGCAGTGCTGCACCCAAAATGATTTGTAACCAGTTCATTTCTCCGCACACACAATACCAGCTATTGTTTCCAATGGCTGCTCTTTGGAGAGAGAGTAGGGAGGAAGAGGTGAGGTTAAGCTAGTTCAGTGTAGAGTGACTTGTGTGTATAAGATTGTACTATGTGTCAACCAATGTTTCTTCTGCACAATTTGCAGTGACATGAGACTTAACAAATTTGCAAACAATCACGGCTCACTGACTTGCTATTTGTTATGAATTCACGCCTACAAAAATGGCATAATAAACATTTCAAAGCGCGTGAACAAAGTTTTTCCCCAGTGCAAAAGCCTGTTTTGGAAGTCTAAATTCCCCATAAGGGTGAGAGGCTGTGTGATAAAAACCTCCTCCTGGAAACCTTCTCGTCCAGTGACGTTGATCTTTCATGTTTCCAAGAACTTGCTCGTCAAACTCTTCCTATTATTTCTCTTGGAAAGGTTTCTGTTTTGTTGTAAACGGGGTCACTTGACCTTTGAGCTGCTTGCTTCCCTTACGGCATTTCTAAACCATATCTAAAGATTCTCATTATAAAACTTGAGAGGATGAGTTTTGGAGTTTTTAGGAAGTGGTTAAGATGGGGTTGGGCGGCCCGGGGGGCGCTCATGCGTGTGTGTGTGTGGTATGTGGCATGCGTTGCACTAGGCTGTATTTTCACTTCAAAGAGTCCAAATCACAAGAGCAATGACTGTTCACTGCCTCCAACCCACAATCCCATCCGCACACACACGCTGACACACAAACACACTTAATGAAAAGTTTGGTGGAAATACTGATGAAGAATTGCAGTTTTCCCTCATTTTGTGATCAAACGGGCGATGAAACCCGAGAGAAGAGTCTGTTGCTCACCGAGTCTCCCTCTTCTAGGGGAATGTTTGCTCGACCATCCTCAGAAACCGTTGTTCCTCCCTGACGTGATGCCGGGAACGTCCTACGTCCTCGAGCGCCAGTGTGAGCTGGCGTTCGGAGAAGACTCCAAGCCCTGTCCCTTCATGCAGCCGCCGTGTGGCCGTCTGTGGTGCACAGGAAAATCCAACGGCCATTTGGTGTGCATGACTCGTCACTTCCCCTGGGCAGACGGCACACACTGTGGGGACAATCAGGTCTGCAACCAAGGGGTCTGTTCCAACAAACAGGTCCCACGCGTGAAGGTAAGGCTGGCATAAAGAGATGGATTTGTACCTTTACGGCCATTTGCTGTCCTGCAATGCTTCACCAGTTTGTGTATTTCCAGGTGGACGGCCGCTGGGGGAGGTGGGGCCCGTTTGGTTCCTGCTCACGCACATGCGGCGGCGGCGTCCAACTCTCTAAAAGAGAGTGTAGCAACCCAGTTCCGTCAAATGGGGGTAAATACTGCCAAGGGGTGAGGGTCAAATACCGCTCCTGCAGTCCGAACCAGTGCACTGAAACAGGTACGAGGCCCTTAGCAGGTTGATGTCCAACGATGTCCAAGGGCATTTTCCCACGTGTTCCCCCCTCTCACCTCTTATCCTCCCCCCGGTGTAGGTAAGACTTATCGCGAGGAGCAGTGTGCCAGCACTGGCCGCAGTTTTAACAGTAACCGCATCGACCCCTCCGTGGTGTGGGTACCCAAGTACTCTGGAGTGTCCACCGATGACAGATGTAAACTCATCTGCAGAGCTAACGGCACTGGCTACTTCTATGTCCTGGCACCCAAGGTAAACATTACTTTCTGCTTTGTCTGAACAAATGTCAGGATAGTATGATTGGTGGTTGGACAAAAGTCTGGATAAATTAAGGTTTGAGATATGAGGTCTGGGTGGACGAAAGAGAATAAACGTTAGACAGCTGCCTCTGGTGTAAGTGCAAAGAACGAAGGAAGGAATGAAGGAGAAAAGGAGGACAATTCGTTCAGATAGCAGGGTGCAGAGTGAGCTTTAGCAGCAGTGAAGCAGAGTTCACACTTAGCGGTCCATCAAACCGGCTCAGGGAGAGTAGATAACAGTGCTCAGGGGACACATAGCTCTAAAACACAGAGCAGCTGGATTATTTTAACCATTTAGTTGTAACTTTAAACCAAAAATGAGTGCACTGCTTTCTGTGGACCGTTCCATTTAAAATGTTAGCTGGAGTTTGGTTTCTTCTAATGTCTGACACATTTTAGGATTAGAAAAGTCAGAGTCAACCGCTAAAGAGAATTTAATAGTTGCAAATATTTGCAAACAGACCAGCAGTTGACATATATGAGATATGATGCCACCAAATCAGAATATGATATTGTATCTCTCATGTACCCGGTGTGTTCACTGTAAAACAAATGTATTATCAGATACAATTTAAATGTTTTTTGTCTACTTGCCTATTTGCCTAATTTAGAAAATGGGAGAGTAAATAGAGAACTGTGCATGCATTTTGTGTATTTTAATAAAATGGAATGTAGTAAAGATCTGTTTAAAAAATCCTACTGTGTTTGCGGCTTGTAACAAAATATGTAAGAATTCTGTACTTTTTAAGTATATGACAAGCTAACCTGTTAATGTTATTGTTCCGACAAGGTTGTGGATGGGACTCCATGCTCCCCCGACTCCACGGGAGTGTGTGTCCAGGGGAAGTGCATCAAAGCCGGCTGTGACGGAAAAATTGGCTCTACCAAGAAGTTTGATAAGTGTGGAATCTGCGGAGGAGATAGCAAGGGCTGCAAAAAGGTGTCGGGACTCTTTACAAAGCCTGAGTGAGTAAAATCCACACCGTCACAGGATATTGCTAACGTCATTCATATCCCCCCGCCCGAATTAACCACGGTGCATGATCCACTTCACTATGTACAGCTCTCATTGACTGCAAAATGTTTTGGCACGCAGGCACGGCTACAACTTCGTGGTCATGTTACCACTGGGCGCAGCCAACATAGACATCCGTCAGCGAGGCTACAAGGGAATGAGGAGTGACGACAACTATTTGGCGGTTAAAAACAGCCAGGGCCACTACCTGCTCAATGGGAACTACATCGTGTCAGCTGGGGAGAGGGACATCATCATAAAGAACAGTCTGCTGCGCTACAGCGGCACGGCCGGCCTCGCCGAGACCCTGCAGGCCGTCAAGCCCTTGGGAGAATCCCTGACCGTGGAGGTCCTGTGTGCCGGCAAGATGACGCCGCCTCGCATCCGCTACTCCTTCTACCTCGCCCGTCAGGCCAAGGAGGAAAAAGTTAAGAAGGAGGAGCGCGTCAACTCCCATAACAGTGTTCTGTCCGAGGACAGCGTCAAGGAGAACGGGGGCGACACCCTGAAGAAGTCTTACAGCAAGGAGGAGCCCTCTCTCGGGAAGTGGATATCCACAGGTTGGGATCAGTGCTCAGTGAGCTGCGGCGTCGGCTTCCAGAGGAGGATGGTGCAGTGTCTGAGTGCAGATGAGAAGCCGTGGTTGGACTGTGATCCTTCACAAAGACCCCCAGCCACCAGGGTTTGTGGAGATCCCTGTCCGGATTGGCACATTGGGCAGTGGTCACCTTGCTCCAGAACCTGTGGGAAGGGCTTCAAGAGGCGACCGTTGCACTGCAAAAACGGGCAAAGTGGGCATCTGCTGCCAAGGGACCACTGCGCTGGCTTACGCAAGCCACAGGAGCTGGACTTCTGTAACCGAATGCCTTGCTAATGACTAAAACGTGTAAACTAGAAATGGTTGTTTTAAAAGGGGGCTGAATCAAATCCACCTGCCAGCATCACACACCACACACACTGTCGGATGCAGGAGAGAGTAAGTCGCAGGATGAAGGATGAAATTATTTGTTTTCCACTGCCATCACTCTGAGTGCAAAGAACATCGTCCAGGTCTTCTTCTTCTGCTGAAAGTCCATGATAGAAAAGTCAAATTAAATGTAGTGGAATCCTATTTGCAAGCAATCTAATCGAATTTACCTGATGAGTCTGAAATTCATTTTATGTCATGTTTTAATTGTTCAGATATCATACGTTTTAGTTGAGTCTTTCAAATAGATAAATTATTCCCCCTGGTTTTCCAAACAGTTACTCCAATATACGCAGATTTACCTTCATAACTTCTTCCAACTGGAGTAATATGTAATGCTGGCACGATTACCATTATGTGCAATCTTCAATCAGCTTTTTCTCAAAATTAACTGAGAAAACAAACAGATCACCTAATTTCCCTTAATGTTCTGCTTTTGCTGCCTTTATGAAAAGCATTACTCATTGAAAACTGGGGAGCTGATCAACCAGCTGCAACATGGAAACAGTTTAAACTACAAACTAAAGTCACATTGGTGGTTTTCATAACAGATCCAACAAAACAAAGCAGGACAGGAGACAATGCGCATTGAGGGATTGCATCAGGCTGCACTCAACATAACGCTGCTTATTGGAAACAAGGACTAAAACATACGGCTTATCTTGTCACAATAATGTAGCCAAACCTGCCGAACCCACACAGCCGCCTCCTCCGTGCAGCGTGTTTGACTTCTTCCTTCATTGCCTTTATCATTTGACCACAGCAGTTGTCTTCTCAGTTCATAGTGTTCAGCCATATCGAGTCACGCTTGTCTGGCACGGTTACCACTGTAATTTATTATCAATGAGCTGATAAAGCGGAGAGTGAAAGAAAAACTGGCAAACCCTCCGTTTTGCTGTACAGAATTTGTGTTTTCCTGGACCGCCTTGTTCGTGGCCCCAAAGCCGGAGCCGAGATGTTCTTTCTACAGACATGCTGAAATCCTGTAATCCATTATATTCTTGTTTTGTTCCTTTACGGGGCCACAGTGTCCAGTCCAACCTCCAACTAAGGGAGGGATCCTGCGTTAGTTGGATTATCATTTTTATTTTGTATCAGCCTTTGCATGTTGTACAGTAAAAGAAAACTATGACCCATGGGCTGCATTGTATACTATGTATATATTTATTCAGCTCTGTGCAAAACAAATGTAAATACTTTTAAAATACTTTTTTACACAGGCATTTGTAATTGTCTTTGACTTCAGTGTATTTATTCCTAAATAAAGCCATCCATGTATAGTTACAACTACTCAATCTTTCTTTCCAATGCATTTAATGGATTCACTTGAACATTGTAGTTGGGGTAAATCCATGCAGGGTTTTGGCCGCTGGAGTAGGCAATTTGTTGCAGGAGACAGGGAATCTATGGGACAAAAAAGGCTTTTTAAATTAACTTTGCAAATTTAGCGGCAAAGCACAATAACAACCTGTTGAGTTTGCCAAGCGACTGCATTTACAGCATTTATTCTTCTTTGAATGAGATTGGTTCCCAACCAAGATGTCAGCTTTTGCACAGCAAAATCCTTAAAGTCTGAATCCTTAAAATCAAGGTTTTCTGAGGCTTCTTAGTACCTGTGAGCAACATTTGTCCATAAGCTGTACTCCAGAAAGTTTGAGGTAAGGCTAAATGCACTAAAAGCCATTTTCCGGATAATGTAATGCACAGTTTTTGGCAAAAATGCATAATACTGCCAGAGGGAGAATGATTACGTAACCCATGCTGAGCAAACCTGCAGCGAGGGTCAGCATTAAATATAAAGAGCAGAACCAGAGGAAGCAGATGAGGTGCGGACTATGATACACGCGCCAGGACATATGCTTCCTCTCTGTGAAACATCCAAACTAATCACCAACTCTCGCATGTGCAGCCACACTATAAGCGCAGAGGTGAGATGGGTGGCCGCCATGCCTGGTGGCAGCTCACCGTAGCCTATTAATTCTATATTGCCGTGCATTCGTCTTCCGCTGAACATTTCAGAAATGCAACCGCTGATGTTTTCCATCGGTTGACGTGGATTCGTTTTTCCTGTCCGTGTCAAAGACCAGCCCGAGAATGCAGCAGTGTGTGAGAAGGTGGAAAATTTGAATTGTGCGATTCTGGCACAATGACTTCCGTATGTCTAAAGACTTCTAGAGTCTAGCATGGGAGGTCTTATGTCAAATGTTTTAAAAACTCAAAAGGGTTGAATATTCTGACCTTCAGAAGAGCAAGTAAACCTGGATGAGAAGCATTTTTTAATTCACCTTTTTTAAGATATCAACTAAATTACATTGGACTGTGATACAAACACATACATTTTTGATATTTCTTTCCCAAGTTGCTCCTGGTTTCTTTTCCTGTGAACTCTGGTTTTTGAGTAACATATAGAGTTCAGTCAGGCAATTGCACTGCTCAGGACGCAAGGATACAACCATTACTTCAAAGGCTGTACGTTGAGCCACAATCTTGACTAGTTGGGTCTTTGCATTTCCTGTTAAGAAATTACACATAAATCCACATTCTTGTGGTTCCCTTACCACGGAAGGTTTTAGCCCTTATTACTGAAACTATTCTAAACTGGATGAGACTTAAGAGTTTCTGTAAGTAATTAGGGTGAGAAGCCCAGTGACAAATGCTCTATGTGGCGTCTTCTGTCTGATCAGCAACACATTTTTGCTTTCGTAGCTTTTGCTGAGTCAGATGGACTGCACACCACAGACCATTTTAAAGATGCCCACTCTCAAAGAACTGCTTTGTAAAGATTTCCTGGGATTCTGAATGGGTACGTAGAAAGCCCCAACAAGCAATCTCATTAACACACATTTCTCAGGACGTCCGCTGACTGCGGCAGAAACGGAAACGAAAAGCAAACTGCCTTTCAGCATTTCTTTTGACACATTCTGTCCGTTGCTTGACAACCAAACAGTATCGTCGTCACGTCCTCATTCGGCTGCTCCGTTGAACCAAGCATCTACCAAAAAAGCAACTTTGACGGAAAGTGGAGAGGATTCTTGTGTGTACACTAACACGAAGCCACCATTGGCTAACTGAGCCTCGCACAAACACAGGAAACAGAAACAGCTGGCTAACGGCTCTGCCCAAAGGTTATTTATGCGTGGGGACATGCAGAGCTGCCACGAGGGAATCACGCTTGTTATTGGACGAGACAGTGTCCCAATTTGAAATGCTGCCCTTAAGACCTGTATTTGTTCTCCAATGCAGTTTTTTCCATCTAGTTTGCACAAAGCAAACACAGATATTATCTTTAGTCTTTTGCTGAGCAAAGCAGTAAGAGGCTGACTTGTCAGTCAACTGTTTAGAAGTCAGCATTAAGCTGACACATTATGGCAATTTGTGGTTTTTACACATCAAATTTTTATTATTAAACTATTAAACAAGATATAACTTGATAATTGGGTTTAGCTTCAGAGATGCTCAGAGGTTTATCTATCTTTGGACAGATCCCGGCCGGTAGCTTCATATTTCGAGTTCAGGTATAAACGTGTAGTGTAGCATAGATTTTCCTATTCAACTAAAATAGCTTTCTCTTCCAACTCTAAAAGTCTTGGTATCACCTTACTTGGTGCTTCCCGCTAACAGTACATGGATACAGCGGTCATGTGACCCTGGCAGGAGAGCTTTCTGATACGTCCGTTGGTACAGAACTACACCGGTCGGCGCTTTGTCGCACCCATAAGCCCAACAAACAGGGTTTGGTTACATGTCACTGCACTCGCCTTTCCCCATGTGTGAGGATAAAAACTTTTCTTCATCAGGGATGTTCCAAAGGTGTCCATTTAGGGTCCAATCTGAATGTCTGGTTTTAAAGGGTTTCATGAAGAAAAAATAATTCTGAGAAAGGACAGAAAACAGTCAGATGCAGGGAGTATGTTGGACATCTCAAAAGATAAAGCGTGGGGACATGGTCCCCGAGGACATTTCCTTGGCCAGAGCATAATATTTACTAAATTAAGACAAGCAATGGCCACATTTCTAAATCAGGCATTTAGAAATGAATACGGCGCTTTGATAGCTACACAATGCACATTTCAGCCTCTATCCATGATGTTCATGAGATGAGGAACGAGTCCAGAAAACAACAGCCTTTCTGGAATGGACCTCTTCCCCTTTGATGGTAAACCTGACTTTACCAAGAAAAAGCTACTGACATTTTAAATAACCCCCCCCCAGTTTCACAGAACCAACTCTCATAAGATTTTGTATACTAATCGATAAACTTCTCCACAAAGTATCATGCAAAAGCGTGATCATCAGTTTCTCAGGGACAAATCGTTCAGCTGGAGAAATTAAAGAAGTGGACATACTTGGACTTGAAACTAGTGTATGCAAATGTGTTTATTTTAGTTGGAAGGTTTGTGTAATATTCTCAGTTCCTGCTCTGTCTCACTGTCTTCATAATCATCCTAACCACTGATATTCTTCTAAAACAGTTGAAAAAGAGTTGAAAAAAAAAATCAAGTCATTCACTAGAAAAGGTGCAGAGATGAAAGAAAAGTCTGAAAAGAATTAACATAATTGATGTTTCTTTTCTGGTTCCTGTCCCGTTAATCATCCCAGGGGTTGTAACCCACAGGTCTGTAACACATGAGGTAAGACCTTCTGTTTTATTATCGCCATTTGTCAGTGTTTGAATTTGTGCTGCATTTCCCATCACCGGTTGTTCATATGAAGCTCTTCAAAAAGCAATTCAGAAAACAATTCAAAAGTAGCACAAGAACATGACCGTTTTTGGTACCTTTTGATTTTGTTTTGTTACAGGGGAAGTGAAAAAACACGAACGTCAATGATGATTCAGTTCAGATTCAGTTTAGTCACATCTGTTCAACCCAAAGGTGGAATGTAGATTTTAGTGTGGATAATCAGACGAGCAAAACTAGAGAGCACGATTGGTCCTTATGCTTCGGTGCGTTTGCTGTTGTTGAAACACTAAAGTCCCATGACGCAGCCGGCTGAACGTTGCTTCAGTGCAGCTGCATGATAAATCATTAAATGTTTCATTTGAGCTGCTCATCTAAGGACAAACCATCAGGCTTTATATTGAATTTACTATAATCAAGAGTCCCAGAATGAAGAGAGACAATAAGTAGAACCATGTGTGTCTTTATGAGAGGGATATGGTAAGTACCCAAAAGTGGGGGGGCTTGTTTTAGAGTTCTGACATTTATTCTCACACTATAATTTGGATCCCAAAGACAAACCCAGGCAAATGATCAATCATGGAGCTGTGATCAAAGTCACAGAGTGTATACAGAATACTGGGTGAGCAGGACGCGGGCTGGCTGCTTTGGCACTCATAATCTCACTCATGAATATTTTGGGTGGTCTGGCTGCTACGGATCCTTTGTTTAAGCTAAACTCAGAGCAAGCTTGACATATCTATAACATGCTCGGGGAAAGTCCAGCGGTGACAGGCCAGAAAATGACAGAGAGTTACCCTTTGGCGAAGAAAATGCAATCTGTAATTCATCAGCAGAATGAAAGTATTACATGTTCATAAGGTATTCAACTAAAGGCTTCATCTGCAACAATGGAGAGGAAACTCTCTCCTTCTTTGGGTTTCTGGCTCGTTGTGCCTCCTGGTTGGAACAGGGAATGCTAATTATGCTAGCGAGCCACTTTTGGGAAACAAAATGGCTTTTTGTATAAAGTGACTTCCTGGCGAAGACAAAACGTCACGTCATGCCTTTAACCTTGACCCAGTAGACGTGTAAAGTCCTGCCGGCTGCATAGCTGTATGCATACTGTATGTGTTTGGATTTATGCCACATTATAATTTGGCCCCGCCGGTCCCCAAAGACATCTGAGCATCTAAGGGAGAAGTAAGAGTATGAAGTCATCTATAAAACTGAGTCTTTTAAAAGTAAAAAGGCCATTTTATTCAACTGCATCTGCATCTGAAACACAATGTTGTCGACAATGTGAAACAGACAATACAGCTTTATTAAAGTTAATGAGCATACTTTAAGTCTCTAATCGTAAGCCATGATTCATGAACACGAGCCATCAAGGCCGGTATACCATCGATCCAAACCTGATGTGGGCAAAACAACTTAAAACATGGTCACACAAGGTCATAAGCTGTAGAGTGGATGATGTATTAATGTCAGCAAGTGCAGATGCAAAGTCATGTTCTGCTCACTGAGCAATATGCACATTGATGCATCTTCATAACAGAAACTTCCGACATGTCAAACAAAACGATTTTTTTCTCTTATAACATAACTCAAACATGACATTCAGGTCAA